TGATGAAGAGGTGCATAAATCGCGAGCTTCTGGACTACCTCGAACGTCACAGCTTGATTAGCGACAGGCCGTATGGTGTCCGGCACCAACGATCCACAGCGGACCTCCTAGCTGACGTCACGCAATTGTGGAGTAAACTCATCCAGTCTCATGGTGAGGCTCAAGTCGTTGCTCTTGACATCACGAAAGCGTTCGATAAGCTGTGGCACGCTGCCCTCTTAAGCAAACTTCCATCCTATGGCCTCCCAGAAAAGCTTTGCAGATGGTTGGCTGACTTTATCTCTGGCCTCAAGATATCCGTCGTAATTGACAGATTCTCCTCTTCATCCCACAACGTCAACGCGGGTGTTCCCCAGGGATCGGTCTTGGCTCCAACATTGTTTCTCTTACATATCAACGAACTCCTTTCCTGCACGATCAACCCAATCCACAGCTTCGCTGATGACAGCACTCTACATGTAGGAATTCAGAGTGACAAGCCGATCTCTGCCGCTGAGCTGGAAAAAAGAAGACTAGCGACGACTTCCTCTCTGACAGGAGACCTGGAGGCTATCACTGCTTGGGGACGCAACAATCTTGTACAGTTCAATGCTTCCAAAACACAGTACTGTACTTGACGAACAAAAAGCGCCCTAGCGCTCATAAAGTTTCGATGGACGGCCGAGTTCTACCAAAGAGCCATTCATTTCGGCTGATCGGCGTCCAGATCACCGAGGAACTGATCTGGCACGAACACATCTCGTCAATAGCTGCAGCTGCTGGGAAAAAGCTAGGCTATTTGTTTAGGGCTAAGAAGTACTTTTCTCCGCATGACCTTCTCACTCTATACAAGGCCCAGATAAGGCCTAGCCTCGAGTATTGTTCACACATTTGGGGTGCTGCCTCCCCGACTACATTGTCCATGGCTCGATGCTGTCCAGAGGAGGGCGGTCCGACTGATCCCGCCTGACTTCGGCGTCCCATCCTAACCGTGTCAAACTTCGTACATCCAGAACTGGCCGATACGACCGCTCCTTTGTCCCAAGGGTGTCTAGATTGTGGAACAACCTACAAGAGGAAGCTTTTCCCAGTTCTACTAACCTTAGGCAGTTCAAAAATCGTATTAACAAAATTTCTTTGGGATCATCATAGCAGCCGCGGTGTTCCGGCGTTTAGGCTTCTGCCTGCGCGGCTGTTTTGATATAAAAAAAACAGCAATGGGCCTAGTACGCTGCCTTGAGGTACTCCATGAACAACAGAAACATTTCTTGATATTTTACTTTTAATTTTTACCACTAGTAACTGCTCAGATAAATAATCACCCACCCACAAGAGGGCTGTACCCTTAATTCCATACATTTCACATTTTCTCAACAACAATTTCCTGTCAATAGTTACAAACGCTCTTTTTAGGTCAACAGACACACACACAATCACTTTAACATCATCTACATCTTTTTTCCACTTTGTACATACAAATGCTATAAAATCCAACCTAAAGGAGGTGTTGAAAGTGACCACCCCTGGATTCAACGCCAGCGCGCTTGAAAGCCTTTTGTATACTTCGTCCCTCGTACTTCGTAACCGAGGTTGCTAACGATTTATGATATCTTCTTTGTTGAGTTCAGTTATTCCGAAATGATAAAGAATTTTGAGCAAAAAATGCCGATAGTTTCAGAGTAAAATAATAATTTTTCTCAAATTGATTGACTCCACAACATCTAGTTCTGATTTTAGACAAGCAGAAGGATCTAACACGGGATATATTGTCTTTTGGATCATATGTACATCACGAAAAACCATGTCACATATTTCCGTCTTTGTGTCCGCTAATCCTTGACTTCTATATAACTTGAGAATTAGCGGTCGGATTTTGATGAAATTTTCGAACAGGGTACTACTATGACAAGGACGTTTTTTGACATTTCAGGTCTGTTGATCGTTTCGAAAAAAAATTGCTTGGGCTTTGGTGTTGTAGGTGGTAGGAAATTGTAAATGTTACGCCTTTAGTATCAGTCAAAGATATTTCATTAAGAAGCTTCTGGTTCTGGTAACAAATGATGATAAAAGTTCGATGTATAATAATATAATTCGAAATAACTTTTAATGGTCGTGATGATCCTTAAATGTACCCACCCATTTTGTCTAACCCTTAATTTGTTTTACACAGTATATGATGGTTCTCTGGATATTTCATCAAGTGGACTGATTCAGTACTTATTACATAATGATATACAACAGAAACGGACTGACAAACCGACAAAAAAGTGAAACACGGAGTTGTATGATACAGATATCTTTAAGTAACATAAGACTTGTGAACTAAAGTTCGAATATTATCGCGAGTTCAATACTTCCATCGTTTAGGTAGTTGTATATCTCGAAAATTGATACAGTGGCGGCGGAACTACGTACAAAAAAATCGCAGTGTTACAACATTCCAGAGATTCCAGCTCATTTTCAAACATTGTTTGGAGGGGTTGAATATTTTAGGTTGCAAGCTCTATGCGGTAAATGGTTATAACTTATTGCATGTTTGGTGTCAGTGAAATACCTTCTATTCTTAAGAAGCTGCTGATGCCGGTAATATTAAGCACCTGTTAGACATAATGAGTCACACATGTTTTCCCTACATGATATGTAGAAATCGAAGATTTATCGTACCTAAGTAAACCTACCTAGTCGCGATTCGATCCCGCCTTTTGAAATGACTTTTCTCACCCCTTTGAAACCCACAACGAAGGCGTAGAAAGTATAGAGTCAATATAATTGACTTGCGCGCAGCAATATTATTATCCCACATATATCTGCTACAAGGAATTTGGGCTTAGTCATAGATAACGATTTGAGATTTACAAAGCATGTTGATAAGTCCATTAGTCAAGGTTATGGTCGGCTTAAAATCCTGTCATTCCGTCATATTTTTTCCACTGACCTTAAGATTTTACTTTGTGATACGCTTAATTTGTCTTTGTTCAATCACTGTGACTCAGTGTATGGACCTTGCTTAACAAAAAATGATACGGACCGTATAGAGCATGTTCAAAAATCTTGTCTCAGGTTTATCTTTGGAGTTAGAAAATTTGAACCTGTTACTTACAGGTTATCTGAAGCAGGTTGGTTAAACATGCAGGCAACCTGCACTATGCAGTAATTTGTAATAAGATTATTTTAAATAGAACACCGCCGAACTTCTATAACAAAATTACATTCCGTAGAGATTTTCACAATGTCAACGTCCGGTTCAGAGGTCTCATTTCTCAACCACCACAACGTACTGCAATGTTCAGTAGATCATTTTCACACTGTGTTTATCGCTTGTACAACCACGTTCTCACAGACTTCAAGTCCATGCCAGGGTCAGCTTTCAAAAGAAATTTTAAGGATTATCGATCTGCCAACAACGCGTTTATTTCCGACTAAACGAGAACAGCCGTGTTTAGGACGCCATCAGCTGTCTTGTGGAAGCCATGTTTTTGGAGTCATCTCTCATCTCTCTCTAATTTTTTGCGCCTTGTCTGTCTTCTATTTATATACGAGGTCTGTAAATTAAGTTACGAGACTGTTTTTAATTTTTTTTTATTCAAATATAATTACAATTTTATATTGTCAATCAAATGAGGTGATTTTTCAACTTCGTGATGAGAAAAAAGTCACAAGAACTCAAGTCAGGCGAATAAGGAGGCTGAGGAGCCACAGGAATGTTTTTACTGGCCAAAAATTCGTTTATTGACATTGTTGTCTGACAGGAGCATTATTGTGATGCAACACCCAGTTGTTCTTGATCTGATGAATGGTAGTGTGAGTCAAGTTTAACTCTTCTCCGATCATTCTGACAGTCAACCGACGATCTGAACGCACATGATCCCGGATTCTGTCGATATTTTCATCGGTTCTTCCGCTTCGCGGTTCATTTTCAATCGACTCTCTCCCTTCTGAAAATGGCTTAAACCACCGAAAATCCTGGACTCTTGACAAAACACTATCTCCGTAGGCCTATTTAGCAAGAGTTTGTTGCACTGTTCCCAAATCTGAGCACACCGTTTCTTGAAATTGATGTCACTCATTTTTAAAACACAACAGTAAAAAAAACAACAAAATCGCTACGTACAACTAAAGAACTCGATTGAGTTCAAACTTGTACTGAAGGCGGATCATGTTCCTCTGTCTCCCCTCCAAGCCCGACGCCTCCAGTGTTGTCAGATCAAACGCTAAGTTGCCAGTCTCATCGCTTAATTTACAGAACTCGTAACAACTCTTTGCCAATGGTATTTTGTTATCATATTTTTAGCGTCGTACATATATATACATGTATATGCAAAACCTGGCAAGTAGAAACCTATTTTTTGTTTAATTTTGTTCTCTTGCACCTTGATTAGAATCAGTCGCCTCACTATTGGTTAAATCTGAACCCATTTGCCCTGTCTTACATGCCTGGCAAAACTGCCAGCAGTGAGCCTCTCGCTAAGTGTCGTTTTCAGCTACCTCTGGAAGTCAACCACATTGTAGTAGATGTTTAGGAGTATCCTCCAATATATGCAGTTTGTGTACTCTCTCTTTCCTACCCTCTCCAGGTAGCTATCAAAACAACCGTGTCCTGTGAGGAACTGTGCAGTATAGTAGTCTATCCACACCACTTCGCTATCAATCCAAGTCTTAATATCCGAGATCTACTACTACTTATACCAAGGTTATCTCAAGAAATAGCAGAAGAAGATATTTGAAGACTCTTGTTTAAATAAACATAATTTCCATGCATTCTGATAATATATCTAAGATTGTTAGAGTCTTTTAAAATCAAAATCATGGAATGCCTGTTAGATCATCCACTATATCCTAATTATTTACCCCTTTTTCTATGAATTGTATAATCACTTTCTACTGATAACCAAAATAAAGATCGAGTTGTTGGATTTAAATGAATTCTTATTCAATACACGAATTTCAAATACTCAACGACCAACTTTTTCAAGGTGGAGAATATTGCATTATTGAGTGTCAAATATGGTTACGTTACTTACTCTAAGTATCTGACATCTTAAAAGAAAATGTAGATTTCCTGGTCCTCCTTCAACGTTCCTACTGATATCGTCTATCAACAGGCTAAGGTTATGACGTGGTCCAAACCTAGCGACCCCGTCTCGAGTCACTGCAGCTGTTGGATCAGCCCTTATGTTGCCCAGGACATTGGACACCGGATTATGACCTAAAAGATAATGTGCAAAATGAATGATTCAAGCATATTTAGACAATAGGCAAAAGCACTAATATATCCATGAAACTTTTCAGGAATTTTCTATAGAGCCAAAGTTTAATGTCTAAAATTTTACATATACAGTGAAATTAATTTAGGTTTTTGAGTTTCGCTTTCAGTGTGTACGAGACAGAGACAGAGAAGACGTATGTTAGAAAGAGTGCGTCCCATACGCATGCGATAGTGCCAAACCTTACACCATTTTCTTGAATACATGGTAGAAATGTGAGCTTTAGTTTGTTTGTATGCCCAAATAATGGCTTTATTTTGAAATTGTGAAGTAGTAGTAACGAGGGTGGTCGGCATACCAGTGTTCAAATGGTTAGTTGTTATTGCATGGTGTTGCACGCTTCTCTCTCTCTCTCTCTTGTAAACAAAAATGTAAATGTGTGGCATATTTCCAAGCTCTGGGAATTATATCCATCCGTAACTAGTTATGCAAGGTGCAACGAGATATTGTTAAGGTAGAGATTGACTGAAGATGATGTTTTTTACTACTAAATTTGATTTTGATAGGGAATTTTCATACGTACCTAATATTCTATTCATTCGTAAGACACACCCATGTAACCTGAGCATTAATATGTGTTCCCCTAGATCAACTCTCCGATTTTGTGTGTTCTGGGATTGTGGTTGCATCGACATAAACACCCTCATCTAAAAAGATCATACAAAATCTTATAAAAAAATAGCGAAATGCACTGTCTCTGAAGCGAAAAGATTACGTTCAGCACAAGTTAGCCCCTCATAGAAAGAAGTTGAATACGCACGTGTATAATGGAGGAGCAAGTCGGTCTAGTAAGCCCATACAATTATTTTATAATCCCCACCCATTTGACAACGTTGCGATCTAGAAATTTCTTTTCTGTTCTACCGACTATTCAACAACGTTACGTCTTTACAAAATGCTGCCGCGGCATCACGGATTTGTGCGAATCGGTTCCCCAATCGAGTGCAACCAACCCCTCGTGCCTTTGTTAATGTAGTACAAAGGGCTCGTGAATCAGGTGACTTAAGACCTCACAGGGGAGGGCATGCCGGTTCTCCAAGACCGCACGATCAAATACAGGTCCGCACTGAAATACTTGTCGGGAGGATACTTTATAAAACAAGGTAACATTTTTTTTTAATTTTTTTTTATTTTTACACATATTTTGGTTTATCTTCCTTCTACAATCATTATCTGAAAATTAATGACTCAACTTCAAAGTCACCCTGTATAGGGTGTATAAGTGTTTTTCTTTAAAAATATCTCTGAAGAATCTGAATTTTGGAAAAAGGCACCTCAACCATTTTGCGAAGCTTTCAATTTGCTGAACAGATATCCATAAATATTTGACTTTTTCAGCTGATTTTATTTGAACTGTTGCAGTATTAGAATTTAATGATAAAATTTGTAAACGATCTTCCATCGCAAAAAACCGTTATAGCTTTTTTACAGATTCATGGTTAAAATTCTCAACAATTAAATTTCTTAGCAAGGCCCAGTTTTTATCAGTATAAAATACAGCCGTATCGCCTGCAAAGCCAACAATTTCTCCTTCAGTCTCTGTAGAAAACAACTCGTTTATATGGATGTTGAACAGAACTGTCCCTAAAACTATTACCTGTGGTATACTATATGTTATGCGACAAAGGCTACTTGTGCTATTTACTATACTTTCACACATTGATACCGTTCACTCAAGAACTTATGGTAGAGCGTATGCACTTCTACGTAAACCCAGTATTTGTAAAGTTTCGCAATTCCTAGTATTTCTCGAGATAGATGAAAGAAACGGAATTTTCCCAAAACCGTTTTTAATTTTACTTAATCATAGCCTCGCCAGCAATTTTTCAGCGAACCCACTCGTGATGTACAGGTACATATCCAAGGTAAGAATCCTATGCATGGAGATCTCAATAACTGTGGGAGATAAGGTTAGGTTAAATTAGGAAAGAGCAGTAAAAATTTCATGGCTTACTGAGGTATTTGGGAAAAACTAAAAGAACTTTTCCATTGAAACCTTTTATGATAATTTTGCATATCAAAGTTGTGATTTTTCAAATGGAATGCCTCAAATTTTATTGCATATTTGGAAAATTGTTATAACATACTATGGGGTTTTGGTAATTAGTTACTGAGATATAAGGTGTTTTGACTAGACAAACCCCCCACTTCGGCAACCCCTCAGTCCGCCATTTTGAAATTTGGCGTAAGCGAATTTTGTATCAAAGAAAAACTTACACACCTCAGCTCTTATCTTATTTATTACTTTTTCGAATTTAACTTTTTGTTCATACAGGGTGGTCAAAAACGCAAAATGTAGTTTTTCTCAAAAATTTCAAATGCATCACCCTGTATATTTGTGCAAGTTTGGATTAAATTTTTTATTGATACTAGACACAAGGGTTAATTCCCTAAAATATCGCATCATCCTATGGTGAATATGGTGTTCGTTTTGGGCGAAGCTCAAAGAAATAGTTTCCTAGCATCTCGCATTTATAAGCAACGGTACCCTAATATGAGACATCCAAGGCCGGAAACATTTTCCACACTACGAGAACGTTTTGAATCAAGTGGAGCAGTGGAATATAGTAAAAAATGTATAAATAATGCAAGTGTCATCAATGAGGCGAATCAGTTGGAGGTTCTATTAATGTTGCAAGAAAATCCCCATTTAAGTGCACGGCAAATTGGAGCAGAAACTGATATATGCAGAACTTCTGTCCAAAGGATTATTCACAAGCATAGGTACCATCCATATCACCTATGCTTGCAACAAGGCTTTCGTCCTCAGGATTTCGCAGCTCGAATGGAGTTTAGTAGAATAATGCTAAATAAAGTGAGTGAAGACACTACTTTCCTGGATAAGGTTCTTTTTAGCGATGAGGCAACTTTTAACAGCATAACATGCACTATTATGCGACGAAAAACCTTTACTGGATTAGGCTAATAGATTTCCAAAATAAATGGAGCTTAAATGTTTGGGAAGGAGTTATTGGCAGACAAGTTATCGGGCCTTTCTTTTTCGACAACAGATTAAAAGGTACAGAATACTTGAATTTTTTGATCGAGCATTTGCCTTTGCTTTTGGAGGGTGTCGGATGCATATGTACTTCCAACATCACGAAGCATTATCATAATCGTATGCGTAACTATTTGGACACCTGGAGTAACAATCGCTGGATCAGTCCTGGTGGGCCTATATCTTGGCCTCCTAGATCACCAGATATGACACCGATGGACTTCTTTCTATGGGGCTACGTTAATCAAGAGGTTTAGAGATATCCATCATCTACCCCGAAAAATATGAAGTCAAGGATTAAGGATGATTTTCTGAACATAAGGGAACACAACGAACGGTCATTTATCCAAAGACTACGGCTGTGTATTCAACATGATGGAGATATTTTCGAGCAGTTTTTGTATATTAGGTGTTGAGTAGTGATAGTTGTTTGTTTATGTTGTTGTAATAGTTATTTTTCTCTATTACATTTGAAGCTGATTTGTACTGTTCTGATGATATTAGTTTTTACATCAAATCTGCACTCTTAGTGGCAATATAGAACTAGCCGACTGTTTGTCTTTGGTTTCCGTGGATGATGAATTTTTGAGAAAAAGTACAATTCGCGTTTTTGACCACCCTGTATGAGCAAAAATGAAAATTCGAAAAAGTAACAAATAAGATAAAAGCTGAGGTGTGTAAGTTTTTTTGGTATAAAATTCAGCACTCCAAGTTTCAAAATGGCGGAATGAGGGGTTGCCGAAGTGGACGGTTTTTTTGGACAAAACACCTTACATCTCAATAGCTAATTATCAAAACCCCATAGTATGTTATATCAATCTTCCTCTTTAGAATTGGTTCATCCAAATATGCAATAAAATTTCAAGCATTCCAATTAAAAAATCACAACTTTGATATGTAGGTCAAAATTGGGACACCCTGTCTAATTGCCAATATTTTAGAAATGTGCCCTCAAATGTCATGTATAACATGCCATAAATAGATTTTCCCAAAGTGTATTTGTTTATGAATAACATTCCGTCCACACATGGATGGGCCACCCTGTATTATTTTTGAAGGGAAATACAAATCTTCATCACACGTGTGTACCACTCATAAAAATGTTGGCGCCGACTGTTATCCCCTGAACTAACCCGTTGGCAAATCCTGAGTTTATAGGGGTGTTTGTTTTTGCGAGACGTAACAGGATTTTTAAATGAACCATAGTCATTTAAATTTCGAGCCAACTTTAAGAAAATGGACTTACTTGGCTGCCTTCTTTGGCGAAATTAATCAAGATACATATCTGTAGTATTTTTGTAGCGCAACATGTGGCACGTCAGCGTGTATTACTTTTCTTCATTGCTAAAATGACCGTCTGGCAACTTTGACGATAATAAAGCAATATTAACAATACACGATAATAACGGTGACAGGTATTTGAATCAAGAATTTGCAACGCCTACTTAAAAAAAAAAATAATCAGAATAAAAGAGATGGGTGAAGGTCGTTTCTACCTCGGATCTACTATCATACTGACCTGTTCAACAAGACGTCGTTCCAGCCTCCTCGTCGTCATAGAGAGCGTGTTGGCGGTGAGCGGCAACGCTGATGGCGGCCTGGGCGGTGCCGGTAGTGGCCTGGTACTACTCCCCTCAGAAGGCAGGTACTGTTCATGAGAAATGCCTAATGGCAGAAGGCCCCCTGCAGCAGTTGTCCTGGCGCTGCCCTGTCTGGCGCTACCTGCGCCACCGCGATTCAGATACCGTCTGCCGATGAATTGGTACATCGAGTGCTTGCGGTAGGGTCTCGCTGAAAGTCTGTGAAAGTGGAAGCTTTGAGAGGTTGCAGATACATTCGAAAATAAAGATTTAGCAATGAGAACAATTGGCACGAGAAGGGCAAGTTAATAGTTGTACGACTGATCATCATACACAAGAAATATGTTTGCAGGACTCCACGGATTGAGCGAATCAAACCACATATACCGGGTGTTTCAAATTCGATTCTCACCATTGGGATCTCGGAAACTATAAGATATACGGAATCGCTTAAATGGGAATAAACTTGCATATTTAGGTAATTAACAAAATACCGGTCAGAATGTTTCAAAATTTGAAGGACTTCCGGAGATACACAGAAAAAAACTATTTTTTCCCAAAATCGTTTAAATTTTTTCCCCACTTCTGTAGTGGGATTTCAAAACAAACAGCACATTAAAATTGCCCCTTTTTTTTCCTCTACAAGATGGCATAATTAGAATTCCAGTATGACGTTTCGTCTCTGTTCCTCCAGCATCAACTTTATTTTTTATTATTTTTGCCAGATGAATGGAGTCGAAAAATGTCTAGGACCAACCTAGAGCGTACCGAAAAAATAACCGAACGATCCGAGGCGACCCGCGACATCCGCATCGCCGTGCTGGAAGCCGAGGTCCAAACGCAGCGGGCCCATTCCCAACGATTACGAAGGGAGCTGGAGCAGGCCAGGAGCGAGATCCACAGGAATCAGAACATCACGGCGGATAACGATGACAGGGTTTCGAACGCATCATATACTTACATTACCAAACCTTAAGTTATTGAAAAAAACAGAATTTCTTATATAGGCCTTGAAATTATCAGATAGTCATTTATGCATGTTATCATTATCACTTAATCTCCTCTACAAGATGAGGTAGTAAATTATCAATTCGAGGATTCTTCTTCGCCGTCCATGAGCAACTTTGTTTTTTCATATGGAAGCTATATTGGAATTTTGTACACTTAAATGGGTTTTTTAGTCCTAAATTCAGTGATGTATTACCTTAGTTGGCCATGAATTTGTTGCTCAATTAAAATTATAAGGAAATAAAAATGTATGGTAAAACCTGAACACAAAATAAAAATTTTATTGGTGACAATAACAAAATAATCATAAATGAGCAGAGGTAAATCGTAGTATATGTTAAAAATGTCCGTTATTTGGTAGGCCAATCCTGGCTCTTCTCTGTACATTGTTCACTGCTCGATTTATTTCTCTTCTCCTCAATCTTCCAATTTCTGTTGGTATGTTGAATTTGAGGTCTGCTCTGGCTGGGCCATGAATTTGTTGTTGGAACGAACATTATAAGGAAACGAAAGGTATGGTGAATACTGAACAAAAAATAAAATTTTTATTGATGCTAGTAACAATAATGATCAGAAATAAGCACGGTTCTCTGTAAATTGTTCACGGCTCGATTTATTCCCCTTCTCATTCTTGCCAACTCTGTTACCATGCTCAATTTGAGGTCTGCTCTCATATACAAAACAAAAGAGACTGTCTGATTACTTCAAGGAAATTGTTTTTTTCTAGAATAACTAAGGTTTGGCAATGTCAATGTATGGCATATTATACATGTTTGGAATCAGAGTTAAAAATCTATTCACCTGCGTCCATAGAAAAAATAAAGCTGATGCTGGAAGACAAGAGACGAGACGTCATATTGGTGAATAATGACAGTGTTAATGTGCAATTTATTTTGAAATTCCACTACAAATAAGAAAATTATTTGGGAAACTCAGTTTTTTCTATTTGTCTCTGGAAGTAATTTGAATTTCGAAAATTTCTGAGCGGCATTTTGTTGGTTACCTAAATACGTAAGCTTTCCCCCATTTAAGCGACGAAACTATAAGCATGTTTAAATTTAAGTTTATTGTATGACGTTTGGCCCCCACGGAGGAATTTTTCAAGGACAATTTTTTTTTTTTTTATATCGAAACAGCCGCGCAGGCAGAAGCCTAAATGCCGGAACACCGCGGCTGCTATGATGATCCCAAAGAAATTTTGTTAATACGATTTTTGAACTGCCTAAGGTTAGTAGAACTGGGAAAAGCTTCCTCCCGTAGTTTGTTCCACAATCTAGACACCCTCGGGACAAAGGAGCGGTCGTATCGGCCAGTTCTGGATGTACGAAGTTTGACACGGTTAGGATGGGACGCCGAAGTCAGGCGGGTCTGTCTGGCAGACACATCGCGCGGCGGCATCATGGAAGAGAGCTCTGAGGAGCAAAGCCCGTTGGTGTAGCGATAGAAAAGAGCTAGATCGCCGACGGCCCGCCGGTGCGAAAGAGTCCCGAGACTGTCTGTTAGAGAAGAGTCATCGATCAGTCGGACTGCCCTCCTCTGGACAGCATCGAGCATGGACAATGTAGTCGGTGCGGCAGCACCCCAAATGTGTGAGCAATACTCGAGGCTAGGCCTTATCTGGGCCGTGTATAGAGTGAGAAGGTCATGCGGAGAAAAGTACTTCTTAGCCCTAAACAAATAGCCTAGCTTTTTCCCAGCAGCTGCAGCTATTGACGAGATGTGGTCGTGCCAGATCAGGTCCTCGGTGATCTGGACTCCGACCAGCCGAAATGAGTGGCTCTTTGCTAGAACTCGATCGTCCATCGAAACTGTATGAGCGCTAGGACGCTTTTTGTTCGCCAAAGTACAGTACTGTGTTTTGGAAGCATTGAACTGTACAAGATTGTTGCGTCCCCAAGCAGTGATAGCCTCCAGGTCTCTTGTCAGAGAAGAAGTCGTCGCTAGTCTTCTTTTTTCCATCTCAGCGGCAGAGATCGGCTTGTCACTCTGAATTCCTGCATGTAGAGTGCTGTCATCAGCGAAGCTGTGGATTGGGTTGATCGTGCAGGAAAGGAGGTCGTTGATCGAACGCTTTCGTGATGTCAAGAGCAACGACATGAGCCTCACCATGAGACTGGATGAGTTTACTCCACAGTTGCGTGACGTAAGCTAGGAGGTCCCCTGTGGATCGTTGGTGCCGGAAACCGTACTGCCTGTCGCTAATCAAGCTGTGATGTTCGAGGTAGTCCAGAAGCTCGCAATTTATGCACCTCTCCATCACTTTACTTATAACAGAAAGCAGAGCTATAGGCCTGTAGTTGTAAGGGTCGGTTTTAGATCCTTTTTTTGGGATGGGCTGTAGATGAGCAAATTTCCAGTTTTCTGGGAAGGTGCCGGATTCATAACATATTTGGAAGAGACGCGAAAGAACTGGAGCAAGCTCAGCTGCACATCTCTTCAGTACAATGGCAGGAATCAAGTCCGGACCAGAAGCTTTGTTGATGTCGAGCGACAAGAGCACTCGTCTTACGGTCTTATGCCTGAATGTTACCTCCCGCATAGTGTGGGGAACCCTTTGAATTGACGGCACTTGGGCGTTGGTGGGGACGTCCATGGTGGAGTTGGCAGCAAAGATCTTGGCTAGCACTTCCGCTTTGGCCTTTGAGTCGAATACAATAGTTCCATCCTGACACGTAAGTGGTGGAAGGCTACTGTGTGAGAAGTTCTTTTCAATCTGCTTGGCCAGCGTCCAGAAAGACCGACTGCCATTGCGCTGCGACATTACCCTGTGCCTAACTTTTATATCATGCTGGTTTTTGGCATTGCGAACCGCTTCGTTATATTTGTTTCTGGACTCGACGTCGGCTTGTCTGTTCTCTACAGTGGGGTTTTGTAAGTAGGTTCTGTGGGCCTTGATCTTCTGCTGGCGAGCAGTGTCACACGATTTGTTGAACCAGCCGTTGGACCCTGGTTTAGGAACTTTCACTGTGAGAGGGATGTATTCCTCCATTCCGACGTGGATAATTTCGGTTATTGAAGAACAGACAGTCGACGCATCCGCGTCAGTGAAACAGACATCTCTCCAAGGAAAGCTAGAGAAGAAGTCTCTGAGCCCCTCCCAGTCGGCATGTCCGTAATGCCAAGTTTTGCGGCCTGTGCGAGTTTCTGCGGCCACAGCGGCTTCTGACCGAAACCTAACCTCCACAACACCGTGATCTGAGTTACCCAGGGGGGACAGGATAGCAGTGCTGTAAGGGGCAGGATGCGTGGTCAGAAAGAGATCCAGCAGGCTACTGGCGTGTGACGAGACGCGGGGGAAAAAAGTAGGGCTCGTCACCAGCTGGGTCAGCCCTTGAGTAAGAGCGAACGCTTCGACTGCACGACCTGCTGCATCGGTCTTATTTGAGCCCAACCAAAGCTCATTATGGGCATTGAAATCACCGAGAAGAACTTCCTCTGAAGCGGGGTGATTGATGTTCAGGAAGTCGATCTGGACGGCGAGGTATTCAAGTAGGTCATCCCAGTTATGGTTCGAGGGAGAGCGATAAAGGCAGCAAATAAATTTGGGTGATGTTTTGGAGTTGAGGCGAAGCCACAGAATGTCCTTCCGGTCTGTTTCCAAAGAAGGATCCCTGGAGCAGGAAAGACTGCTGCGGACAAAAGCCACAACTCGCCCGTTCTTTCTCAGATTGGAGTGCACCTCGTAGTTTGGGAAGTTGAGATGGTTAATCGGTGCAGCCTCTGAGATTTTTGTCTCCGCCAAGAAAAGCACGGCGGGACGATTGGATTGCAGGTAGTGATGAACAGCATCAATGTTGCTGTTGATCCCGCAGATGTTCGAAAAACAAATTTTATCTTCGATGTTGTTCCCTCGAGCCCACCCTCCACCCGGACATTCCGAGAGTGGAGTGAGTTTACGTCCGGAGTTTTTAGTGCTCGAGGGATCCATCATCATTAATTTCTTTGTTTTGGTAGATAACCGACTGCATAGCTTAGGTGTGGAAACATGCGGACATTTATAAGACACCCTGGGAAAAGCTAGCGGGTGGTACTGCCTCGGTCGACTGGTCCTTGTCTACCACCTTCTTTTTACGTATTAGTGATGTTAAATAGACCTAAAGTGGCCCGTTGGCGGACTTGTACCGCCACCCGGCAATCGGTACTGAGGTATTCCTTAACGCGTGCGCAATCACTTGGACGGGAAGAAGTTGTATACTGGATACAACGACTTCCGGAACAAGCATTTGCCACGGCCCTCGCTCAGTAGGGGCAGAATGACACAATGACAATAATGACATTATATTTTGTTATCTGTCCTCCAGGTGACAGTTCATTTATTTTGTCTTCTCTTCATTTCTATACAGTGTGTTGTGACAATAGATTGATCGGTCCTGTAGTATGCCGAGATCGTGTTAAGCTGGTACCGAGTAAAACCAGAAAAGCCCAGAATCGGTTGGGGTAGGCATTCCCAAAAGGAGGTCAAGCCTCCCAAAGCGTCAAGCACACATGATTTACCTAATTGCAAAATTACCTCGTTAGTCCGTTCCTTTTTAAAATTATTCTCATTTCAGGTATTTTTAAAAACGATGAATGAAATTTGGAACACATGTTTTGCTAGGCGTCCTAATATTTAACGTTACAAAAATATCACTAACGGTTTCGAGAAGGGTGAAAACTAACTCCACCGCTACATGAATAATAGCAGAACTTTTTCGCAACTCTCCCAATGACAACGTTTTTTTAGTTTGATCAAGGGGTTCCAAGCATCTTATTGATTCTTTAAGTGTTGTTAGCGAAAATAAACAAGTATTTACAATTTTGTTTAATTCAGACAATATTGCGAATCTCACATAAAAGGTTCAATATGACCACCATTTTCGTTTCTGCACATAACAGTACGACGCAAAAAAATTAAAACTTGATGGAATAAGACATTTTTTTATAAACCAGCTCGTCGGGGTCGTTTTCACCTTTCTTGAACCCTTTTTTTTTGTAAAAGTCAAATATTAGGACGTCTAGCAAAGCACATGCCTTCCAATTTTCATTTAAATCAGACATGTTCCAAAAATATCTTAACATGAAGCCCTCGAGTAAAAAATGTTACATTGAAGACCTCCCTTAAAATGCGGTCCTGTGTATGATGTTTCATTTTTGGTCACGACTTGTGAATATTCCGTGGATATGGAGTACCACGCATTTTTAGGCTCAAAATAAGTAGATTGGATATGATTTATCTCTATGCAAAAGTTCTTCGTTTGACCGTAATAGATTTCTTTTAAAAACATCTATTTTTAGGGGATTTTAAGAACCGATAATCCGATTTGAATTAAATTTGGTACACGTATAATTTGCTCGACTACCTAATATTTGACTCTTAAAAAAAACGAAGTGGTTGAAACCTACACCCCCCGCTCCTACATAAATTATAGCAGAATTTTTTGCTTGCCAAATTGCCGAAAACCCTGTTTATTTAGCAGATATTTTTCTTAACTTAATTCCTTGTCTCCTATAAAACGGGCCATCTCGGCGTTCTATGTCTGACGGTTTGGAATTCGTCGAATCGGGTATCTCTCTTGATACACGCCAACACTTTGAAGTCGAGTTACCGTCGTGTTGCCTTAAGACGCAGAAGATAATTCAACTAACCTATACAGCCTTGAAGGTGGGTAAGTCTTTCTGCTCGACGCCCTCGATCTAGCTTGCCCTGATGAAGTACTAGGCTCTTCAGTACTACTCGTAGGAACATTACTACTACTGGAACTACTAGGAGGTACAACAGGTGGTGTTGTGGTACTTGGTGATTCTTCACTCGTAGATTCTTGAGGACTAGAATCACTTATCCTTGTGCCAGCCATCATTTGCCTCACACTTGACATGCCACCTGTAAAAAATACCACAGTCGCAAAACATTATATGGATACGAAAGTGGCACTTGTTTGGTCACAATTTATAGGAATGCTTGAATTCTTTGTATGTTTAAAGTACTAAACAGGCGCGTGTTCTTGTTTTGATCAAACTGCATACTTTTCAGATTAGTTCTTACCTGTAGACCGATTTCGCACATCACCTGATCTCACATATCTGGTCAGTTCAATCAACAGTTGACGTATCAATTGCAACTGAGAAATTTCAATGTTAGCTCTATCTATTCTTTCTAGCACCTCGACTCTTTGCCTCACTTGCTGTGCTTGCCTTGAATTAGAATAAAACTGTTAGATTTATACCACTGATTAACGTATTCTCAAAAATGGCCAACCCAATGCTGTAAGAAACAAAATACTCCCTTTTACCTTAAAAAAATGTTTACTTTTAAGGCCAGGCTTTCTAGATGACTGACAACTATGTTAAATACACCCACGAATTGGTCAAATAAGCAATTTAAGGTTAGAAAAGATTTGAAATTGACATTTCTCTTTTGTTACTAAACTAAATCTTGTAATATTCCGCATAATGTCCTGAAAGTTAAATAGCTATAAGTTGTAATATACAGCTATTTTAATATACAGGGTTTGCCATGAATTAGTTAACATTTGAAAAAATCGTATGAAAAAACATTTGACGTATTTTAAAAATTGTTTATTCACAAAAAACCTAATTAGTTTGAATTCATTTCTTGAAAATTATATCCTCTAAATGACCACCGTTACGATTTTTGCACCCTTCTAAACGTGTACCGAAGTTTTCGAATATTCGTCGGCATAAAGACTGCGAGATCGCCGACATCTCTTCGTTGATGTTTTCTTTTCGTTGATGTAGACACGACTCTTTAAATAACCCCAAAAAAAAGTCTGGTGGGGATAGATCTGGACTTCTGGGTGGCCATGGGATGTCGCCTCGTCTGGTAATGAGCTTTTCCGGAACAGTTCTTTGACCACCGGCAGGGACTCGTTGGATGTGTGACACGTGGCTCCATCTTGTTGAAACCATGTTTTACGATTATAGCCAGCAAATTCCAGTAGCATCGGTGCCAAGAACCGTAACATTTTCACATACTCTGCAGAATTAACAGTAACTGAATGGCCGCGAGAATCTTCAAAGAAGTAGGAGCTAATGATTCCTTTTGCTGAAATTGCAGTCCATACAGTTACTTTAGGAGAGTAAAGTGGCTTCTCGTGTTTAGCTTTGGGATGTTCGCTGCTCCAGTACCTGCAATTCTGTTTATTCACATGTCCGTTGAGGTGGAAATGGGCTTCGTCAGAAAATAAGAGATTGTCAAAATTACTGAATTGAGCTAACATCGTTTCGGCATTCGACTTGCGGAAATTTAAATCTTTAGGTTTTAGTCCCTGCACTATATGGATCTTATATGGATGTAATTTCAAATCTCATCTCAAAATACTGCGTCAATAAATCTGGATCACGTTGAACAGAAGCGGAAACTTGCTGCACGTTCTCTTCGCTCCGAGCAGTCCGTGGGCTGACGGTTTGCTTCACATTCTGTGTAGATCCCGTCTCTTCGAACTTCTTCACCCATTTCTTTATCAAAGGAGCACTTGGACACTGACTTAAGTCGTGTAAATTGTATTCAACGCGAAATAAGCGTCTTACAGTAATGAGCGAACTGTTTAAATAAAATTGTTTCGCGCGGCATCTGTTTGCGTAGTGTATTAGATTTAAATGTTAACGAATTCTTGGCCCACCCTGTATATAAGTAAAGTTATCAATGATGTTATTAATGGCCCTGATGAATAAATTTTATTAGGAATCAGAAATAAATTCTTAGTAATTATTTCCTCAAGTTTTAATGCACCAAAAATGGAAAAACGATACTAAACTGAGAAAAAAGAAACAGAGGCAAGGCGGGTTGCCGGAAGCGGCGAGAACGGGGATAGCAAAATCTGGAAGTGGTGTTGGTGGTGCTATCTAGCGATAAAACCTGCAAGTGACGCCCTAGTAACAGCCATTTAAAAATTCAAGCTAAATCCCTACTATATCGACTTTTCATTTTTATTGAAATGGTATCAAAACAACAGAAAATCCCGGAAACTTATCTAGACATCAGCATGACCAAACAATTGTAAATTTTCTTTAATAAATAAACTACGAACTCTTAAACATGACATCAACCTTCTAGGTGATGGTAACTATTGAAATAAGACATAGGGGATAGTTGCTATGCTTTCATTTGTTGTCCCAGAGTCCAATTCTAGACCATGCTGATGAGTTTCCAAAAAGCACGAAAGAGCTGTCCATGGTTGGCTGTCTGTGGCTAGGCGGACGAAATCAGCATGTTTAGCTTATTCAATAGCGAGTAACCACATCTACTATATCGCCAGAGTTGTCAGCCCCTAGCACTCACAGTGGTGACTGGGTTATCAAACCCGAACTGGTACACTGGTACAGTTCTAAATTTCAACCGATAGTTGCTACATATTCACTCTCGCAGTGGGCGACTCTGATAACAGATTGCAATTTGTATTGTCTTATTTCGGTAGATCTCATACCTCGGATAGTCGACAGTTGTTATGCTTTGGTTTGTTGACAAAAAGCATGAAACAGCTGCCTATCGTTGGCTGTCTTTGGTTCTCCCACGACGAAATATAAAACCTGGGGCAACTGTATGAAAGGTGGCAACATTGACACCAGAAGACGATGGTCGACATGTATAATACATTTGTTGGCATAAGTGGTTGGCGACGCCACGAGACTTATGTTTTCTTCTAAGCAGAGAGAACAGAAGAAATCTTTTTGTGAAATATTATAATCAATTACTAAAAATCGTATCTCACCTTTGGATGTGCGATATGGTCATGTGTATGAGACTCATAATCGGTGTCATATCCTCGCTTTGACCAGCTGAGGCAGAGTCTGGATTCCTCGGATAAGTGTGATCAGTTGCTATGGCTGTTGAAATCGGTGTGTGAAATAAGTGGCTCAAGTTAATTGTGTCATTTCTAGATTCTAGATCTAGATTGGAACTTTCTGATCGTTCTCTCATGAAAAAATTGTTGTCGTAGACTGTACTCCATGCCGGATCTGCACCCTGTGAGAAAAAAATGAAACAATTAGTAAACAAGTCAAATAATGTCCCAAAATTCATCGAAGATTTGATTCACATAGAAAGCGCAAATTTTCTTCTATAAATTTTTATTTCTTTATTGGCTCATAATGAGAGATTTAGTGTGCTTGCTTTCAGACTGAATAAACTAATACTCGGCAAAATCGGATACTCGGGTACAAACCGAGTAAATATTTAAAAAACATTTTCCATTACCCTTAAAAAAGAGAATTGTTTATTCTTAAACATGAAATCAACCTTCATAGGAAAGATTGCCCCTCAACCTGCATCGTAATTATTCCTAATGTTTCGCCTTTTAAAAATGTATCAACAATGGAAAAGGAAATGGCATAACCGAGAGGTTGTAACGCTGTCGCCTAAAGACGGAGGTCGTATTTTCGCATAGGCACGACTTTCAAATAAGGTATCTTTAGTTTAAATCAGAAAATACGTATTCTGTTGATAGGGCTATCTTAAAACATGTTAAGTCGATTAGGGATCTGGGAGTAATTTTTTATTCAAAGTTAACTTTTGCTCAACATTTAGAGAGTTGCTGCAGGAAGGCTTTGAGGATGTTGGGTTGCATGCAGAGAAATACTAGACTTCACAGATATTTTTTTTTATAAAACTCAGGGAGTCCAATATGTACCACAACAAACTTAAGGGAAAAACTTACCTATATAAAAGTGTCACCGTTTTTGAGATATTGAATTATTTCTTAAATTTAAAAAAAAACGTACCTTTTCATCTGTGGTCATTCGCTGCATGTACAAATAGTTATACTTTGTTCATTTTTTCTAGAAAATACTTCTAGATAGTTGCTTTATCATATACAAATGCAATGTAGTTAAAAGATATTAAGGAACTATGATGAAATAAGGACTGTATGGAATTTATAACCTTCTGATATTGTTTCCTCAACTTTCATAAAATCATATCAGGAGCAGGTAATAATATTGTAGCTTTGTACTACTTAGCATGTTACTGATCGGTAACTAGTGCAACTTGAACTTAAATCCAATAATTACATTGTAGTGTGTGTCAGTCACTTACAAAAGCAGCTCACTTTTTTATATTCCAAATAGTACGTGTGGTGCCTTTCTGAAATCTGTATTCAATGAGCAATCTTTTTATTCAATATAATGCAGTTATATACCAGTACATTTTTGTTTCACCACAGATGGACAAAGTATACTTCTCTTATCAGATCTCATTTAGAAGGGTATACAAGCGTCTGGAACCCCTACTATCAAGTCCACATTGATAAATTGAATTCTACACCCTCTGTTAAAAAAATAACCAAAGTTTTTTTTAAAATAGAAACACTCAGTGTACATTTTGGGATAATTCTTTTTTATTAATCAATATACTCTCCATTCGCTTCTATATACTTATGTGCACGCTCAACCAATTTGTCAAATGAGTCGGAAATGTCCTTTTCATAAACCTTGTCTAGCTCGTCGGTCGTCGCCTTTTGAATGCGGTCAATTGTGTAGTGGTGCTTTCCTTTCATTGTAAGGTGAAGTTTCGGAAATAGAAAATAATCGCAGCGAGCCAGATCAGGTGAATACGGCGAGTGGTGCAACATAATAATCTAATTTTTTGATAAAAATTCACTCACAAGGCGTGAACGATGAGATGGAGCATTATCGTGCAAAAGTGACCAACTTCCTGGTTCGCGATATTCAGGCCGAATGCGACGAATTCTGGCAAGCAAACGTCGTAAAACGTCACAATAGTACTCCCCCGTCACTGTTTGACCGGCTCGGACAAATTCTTTGTGAATTATACCTTTCGAATCATAAAAACAAATGAGCATTGTCACTTTTCACTTTTGACTTCTCCAAAGGACTTTTTTGGGGATGTCCTTCCTCGGGCGACCTCCATTCAGCAGATTGACGTTTTGTTTCCGGCTCATATTCAAAACACCACGTCTCGTCACCAGCTACTATCGTTTTCAAAAAGTTGGGGTCCTTACGAGCACTTTTAATTATGTCTTTACAATGTTCAATTCGATCCCATTTTTGGTCATCAGTGAGTTTGTGTGGAAGAAATCGTGAGTTTACCTTGCCAAGTCCCAATTCTTCGATCAAAATGCGATAAACGGTACTAGAAGGGATGCCCAATTCCATTTCAATGAAACGCACTGACGATTTCTTGTTAGATTTGATAAATTCACGCACTTTTTCAATGTGTTCTGTGGAATTGGAAGGCCTAGTCTTTCGTCATCGCTAATGGTTTCTCTACCCTCTTTGAATCGCTTGTGCCACTCGTAAATTTGCGTGCGGGATAAACAATCATGACCATATGCTTGTTGGAGCATTTGGTGCGTTTCGGTAAAAGATTTACCTATTTTTAATACAAAACTCAATCGCAGCTCTTTGTTTGAACTTCATTTTCCGTCCGATAGTCAAAACATACTAATACATACGACGCAATAACTTGACCGGTTTACATCCTTGACAGAATGTTAATGAAAGTCTGCGCTTTCGAACGCAAAGAGTTTACAACAGATGGCGCTAGTGGTTCTTTCTATTTTGAAAAAGTTCGGTTATTTTTGAAACAGAGAAAATTTATTAAATATATGTATAATATAATAAACATCCCCAAGGACTGCATAAACTACAAGGATATGGAAACTGACCTAAAATTTAACAGTCTGGTCAGGCGTAAAAAAAATTTTGACACCCTCTTGTGCCACAAAATTATTACCGGACTAATAAATAGTCCCGAACTCTTGGGCATGATAGATTTTAATGTTCCTCCTAGGACAATAAGAGGCCAGAAGTCATTCAAACTTGCTCAACATCAGACCCTACACGGTCAACACTCTCCCCTAAATAATATGATGAAAAATGCAAACAAATTTCAGGGCGATATTTTTCATATATCCCTTGATTTCCTTAATAAATAACTTTTATATATGTTAGTTCTGATTGCATTGTGCTTTATTCTTAATACTTTGACTGTGTTAAATTTTATTTATGTGGACATTAATTTTGAACTTACTTCATTAATATTTAGTAAATTTAGTTAACTTATTAATTAAAACTGTAAAATTGGGCTTGTCGCGTGAATATATGAATAAATAAATAAAAAATAAATACATAAAATGCGTTAATCAATAGTAACACCCTGTACTGAAGTAACGTATCTACAAACCTGAGATCTGTTGGGACTAGGCTCCTCAGCATTGCTCATCATCTCCATAGAATTGGCCACATTCCTCAAAATTTGATCCGACTGGTTAACAATGCTGTCCAGTCTTTCCGAAAAACTCCTCATATGCGTATTGTTGATGCCCAGTATATCACTGGCCCTCATACTGAGTACATCGTCCAAGCTGAACTCTATGTCATGAAGAATGTTTGAATAGATGTTGCTCACGTGGTCTGTTCTCGGTGGATCCGGAAGAGGGTCCAGGGAGCTAAAACTTGCTGAAAATAATCAAAAACACAAGCTAACTAAAAATAAATAATCTCTCTATACCTGTATACCATACTATACCATTCATTGACCACATTATGTATATGCAATGTACATGTGGGGTCAACAAACTAATTTAATAACTCCGAGAGACGTCATAGCATTAACGTACTCATCAACTGAATAGAAACAGTGGTTAAGCAATGTTTTTTTTTTGGCAAACTTTGAGTAGTATACGTTTTCAAAATTATGTTCTTTATTTCTATTGACAGAAAAATTATATAATTTTTACGTTAGGTCTATTATTTTTAGTCATGTTCACGCGCGAGTATGGATTCCTTAGGTAAATACGAGGGCCACGCTATATATTTTAAGATACACGAAAACTAAAAATCATTTTTCGAAAACTAGTTTATTTATGTTCAAAGTATTCTCCTCCAGCATCAATGCACTTCTATAGTCTGACCTTCCACAAATAAAATACTTCTAACCAGTCAGTTTTTGGAATGCCTTCAACAAACTGATTAACTGATTGATCGATTTCTTTTTCGGAAGGAAAATTTTGCGACCACGCAGATTTTTTTTTCAAATTGTTGAAGAGCCAGACGTAACACATTGCCAAATCTGGATGTTCTACCATTTTGATATGGCGCTGGCGTCATCAGTAAGCTGATGTGACACCCAGTGCCGTATGCTCCGCTGTTCGATTTTCGTACGCCGGCGCGCATGACGTCACGAGGAGAGTGATTATCATTTGGGTTAATATGGAAAAGTGCATATTTTCACCTACAGGCCAAGGGCTGGACGGATTTTCACATATGAAGTGTCGTTGTATTCGTCTTAGCGGTGCGAGTGACACTAGATACGTTAAAATTTTATACAAAACAAAATGGCGGATTTTAATAAAAGATTTCAACCTTGTAATTCATATTTCATAGGCTACAGCTCAAACGGCTTGATAGATTTTCACATATGAAGTGTCATTGGATTCGTCTTAGCGATGCGAGTGACACAATCTACATTAAAATTTCATACAAAACAAAATGGTCGATTTAAATAAAAGATTTCAACCTTGTAATTCCTATCTCACAGGCTATAGCTTAAACGGCTTTCTAGCAGCACAATAGAGAGTGTATCGTCACTTTACTGTAAAAGCAAGCAAGATTTTTCTACATTACCTATATTTTAGTATGTTCTGTGGAGCAGGATTAACATGCTCATGACGTTAATACTGCACTACATTTATTCATCCTTATTTCACAGAACATCCTAAGTACTAACTACATCCAAGTGTGAAAATGTACTCAACTCCAAAAGTAGAAAACTGGAGTTATCATCTTTTTGCAGTATAATAATAAATGGAAATGACAGTCTAAGCCACAATTTTTCTCCATTTCTTTTCAGGATTTTTCTGGTCGTTCAAACTTTTACTCAGTTCATTAATCCTGAAGAACATCCTTGACCTGAAAAATAGTTTCTTAGCTTTTTCAGGGCAGTCAATGTTGGCGCTCTTCAACAGAAGTTCGCCTATAAAGTTTTGCTTGTCTGTCACTATTCCGTCCCCATTGAATGTAGTAAACACCTTATTAAGCTTCTCAATTTGATTCATGAAAGCTGTGGAAGGTTTTGATAATCCACTCTCACTAAGATGGTCTATCCAGGAGTAAGTTTCATTTGAGGAACTTTTAAACCTCTCATCCCGCAATTTATGGCAAACAAAGTCGGCCAAATTTTTCAGCCCATCATACTCGAGCTCATCCATTTCTTCCACTAAAACTTCCTCGTTATAGTCAGCTGATACTTCAGGTGCAATCAGTTTATTCGTTAATGATGCGGTTAGTGGAATGTCCGGAGTATCATCTTCCTCTACGCTGCAATACTCTGAGTATGCGCCTTCGTTTCGCCTTAAAACATATGACCTTATTCTATACTTAAACTCTAGGGGATAAGTTGAGCCCTTTGCCTTTTTTCGTAAGCACTTTTCCGCTTTTCCCCATCAACAGATGTAGATGGTCCAGGTGATGATAGAGTCTTGGGTAAATTTTCCATAGGAATAGCATCATCTTTTAGGGGTGTAACCCAAAAGGGTATGTTTCAAATTGACCTTATAGGCACTTTCACAAAAGTGCTTCGAGCAAACTCTAGCGCTTTTTAGATTGACTTTGATTTTTGTTTTTGTATGATGTAGCCATTTTTTGCTAAGGTTTGGGTCTTGAGGAAAACTGTGGAACTTCATGTCTTTGCAAGGATTCCGTTTAGATTGGTTGTGGCAATTACATCCCACAACAGCACACCGCATTTTTATCAATACTAACATCACAGGGTATATAAAGTATGTATAACTAATTTAACAAGTCACAAAACTACCAAAAAAACACCAACAAATCGCACTATATAGTATTAACCACGTGAACTGCAGTAACGTTACGACAATCCTGCCGCTGGTAACCACGAGCCGATATCTCTCCGGGTGACGTCACGTAGCTCCGCCCACATGCGCAATATCATATCTTCAGTTTATGTGTATCGTGTGTGAAACCCATCTCGCAACATTTTTTTTTAAATTAAGATGATCATGCAAAATGGTGTGCACTGTTGCGGATCCTAGCCCAAGAGTTGCCTCTATAGTCGCATATGTGCAGCGAACATCTTCTTCAATTAGCCGCTGATCTTTAGCAATGTTTTCTGGAGTCACATTAGAACATGGCTTACCACTACGTTCTTCATCAGCCAATGAAACACGCCCTCTTTTAAATTATGCATACCAGCGTAGCACACTTGCCCGGGACGAAGATTCATTACCAAATGCCTGTTGCAACCGTTCGATACAGTGATGTTCAGTTAAATCGACTTCAAGGTCATAGTAAATCATAGCGCGATAACTCTCTCGAGACAACTCCATGTTTCGTCTTAAATTTGTTTACACCACGCGCACTGTAAAATGCTTTCAAATGTACTGGAACCGGCGACTTACTAATAAAGGACTGCTCTTTCTAATAGTGCACTGTTGCCGGTTTTAACTAGTATATGCAGTTAATGCGCAGCTCAAAATATATAGCGTGCCCCTCGTAACATTACGTAGTACATGAGTGTGTATTTCTGCAGAGGTTTGATATTTGTTTAGATTTCTGTGCACATAACATAGTACTTCAAAAATATAAATTGATGGAAGTGGTAATATTTGTTAAATTTTTGAGGTGATTTCTACACGTTGATCCATAACTGGAGTTTGTAATTATCCTCAAATCCGTTTTTTGTAAAATGAAAATTTTGTTATATACCTCTCAGTTACTTTTTTTACACCGAATTAGCCGCGCAGGCAGAAGCCTAAATACCCGTCACCTGGGCTCCTATGTGGAGATTAAAGAAATTAGGAGGCTGAAGTTAGGCGGGTCTGTCTGGCAGGCACATCGCGCGGCGGCATCATGGAGGAGAGCCCTGAGGAGCAAAGTCCGATGAAGTAGCGGTAGAAGAGCGCTAGATCGCCTAAACTCCACCGGTGCGAAAGAGTCAGGATACTGTCCGTTAGAGAAGAGTCATCAATCAGTCGAAGAGCCGTCCTCTGAACAGCATCGAGCACGGATAATGTAGTCGGACCACAGACCCTAAACATGTGAGCAGTACTCGAGGCTAGGTCTTATCTGAGCCTTATATAGAGTGAGGTCTTGTGGAGAAAAGTAAAAATAGTAGTAGTAGTAGTAGTAGTAAACAAATTGGCTAGCTTTTCCCCGGCTATTAACGAGATGTGTTCGTGCCAGATCAAGTCCACGGTGATCTTGACTCCGACCAGCAGAAGTGAACGGAACTTTGGTATCAATCGAAACTAGATGATCGTTAGGACGCTTCATATTCGTCAAGGTGCAGTACTGTGTTTTGGAAGCAAGATTGCTGCGTATGTCCAGTCTGTCAACATTACGTCTGAACTACAATACAGAGAGACGTAAAAAATTGTACGCTTACTAGGAAGGTTATAGGCATGGTTTTATCCATGAATTCAACGTGGATTTTGTAATCAACTGTCACGGCATGTACCAAAAACCTCAACATCAGCAATCAACGTCAGGCCGGCAACAGCTCGGCCGTTAATCCATACAGATGTTTTATTTTGTACCAAACAGCTAGCAGTATCTTTTTGTATGTAACGGGTGGGCCATCTATCGGTTTCGATTTGAACCACGTGTTAATTTGACGCTGACAATACTTATGTCAATCTGATTTGTCATAAAATTCAGTATATTATCTCCGCTGAACGAAATGAATCGATTTACGCTTGAGCAACGTTGGGTAATATTGGAAATTTATTTCCAAAACAAAGACAATTGGGCAGAAATTGCACGAAAATGCCGTTCAAAATTCGGTCGCAACGAAGCACCAACAGCGCCCGGTATACGCAAGTTTATTAATAAAGTGCGTGAAACTGGTTTCATTGTTGATGCTCCAACACGTCAGCGTGCTCGTACAGTGCGTACACCCGAAGGTATCGATGCTGTGGCTGCGAGTGTGCGTGAAAATCCATCAACGTCAACACGTCATCGTTCCCAAGAATTGAACATTTCCCGCACCAGTTTACGACGAATTTTGCGGAAAGATCTCGGTATGACGCCTTACAAAGTTCAATTGGTTCAAGAGTTGAAGCCGCGTGACCATCCACTTCGTTCTGCCTTCGCTACATGGGCCAACGAGCAACTAATCAATGATGTCGATTTTGCGAAAAAAATAATCTTTTCAGACGAAGCTCATTTTCATATTGGTGGCTACGTCAATAAGCAAAATTGCCGTATCTGGGGCTCGGAAAACCCACACGAGGTCTTAGAGAAGCCAATGCATCCCTTGCGAGTGACTGTTTGGTGTGGATTGTGGAGCGGAGGCATCATTGGCCCATATTTCTTTGAAGACGGGGACGGCGCAACCGTTTCTGTCAATGGAAACACCTATCGCACCATGATAACTGATTTTTTTGTTCCTGCTCTTGATGGTATTGATGTGGAGAATGTTTGGTTTCAGCAGGATGGTGCAACTTGTCACACATCGCATGCCACAATCAACTTATTGCGCGAAACCTTCGATGGCCGTTTAATCAGTCGAAATGGTGATGTCAATTGGCCGCCAAGAAGCTGCGATTTGACACCATTGGACTATTTCCTGTGGGGCGCTGTTAAAGACAAGTGTTATGTCGACCATCCAGAGACAATTGACCATTTGAAGGCCAACATTCGTGATGCCATTGACGAGATACGGCCCCAAACACTCGAAAAAGTGCTCGAAAATTGGTCCGATCGAATGGGCTACTGTGAGGCCAGCCGCGGCAGCCATTTGAATGAAGTAATATTTCATTTCTGAGCGGAACAATTGTACTTCAAAACAAAAAAATAAATTTGGCAATATCTCAAACCGTTTTTGTTTTATTTTATTTTTAAATCGAAACTTTTAAATGGCCCACCCAATACAATAATGTATCATCTGTAAATATCTGAATTTTACAATATTCTAAAATATCAAAAATGTCATTAATGTATAAAATAAATAGTAGTGGACCCAGTTTACTACTTGCGGTACACAAGCAGAAATATTTTTTGAGCTAGATAATGTAGATCCGATTTTGTTTCTTCTACTTCTGTCAATCAAGTAGTTTTGTAGAATTTTAAATCCATAGTGATGCAGTTCTGTAAGTAATTTATCCATGTCAATCGTTTCAAACGCCCTTTTGAAGTCCAGAAATAGTGCCACTATATGTTTCTTATTGTCCTCCGGTTCTCCTACAAAACCATTTGAGTTCGATCTGTTCGTAAATAATTTCTTCAAATACTTGTTCAACATCTGGCAGAACATTTTTTTCTAAATCCAGGTTGATTATTTGTCATAATTTTGGTTTCTTCGATGATCTCTATGATTTGTTTGTATATTATCCCTTCGAACAGCCTCTCGACATCGACATCGGGCAAGGCATTAATCGGTCGCATATTTGTATATAGCTGAGAATTTTGAGCTTTTGGCACAGGAGTAACTTTAATTTTGATGGGAATTCACCATCTACTAAACAATGATTTACCAATAATAATAATTTCTTTCCAATTATATTGAAACAATCATTTATTATATTTTTTGAGAGATTCTCACTTGGATTTTTATTAGATTTCAATTTTGAGATAGCTTTTCTTAGATTGTTGATGTTAATTGTCCTAAATTGATTCATTGATGAATTCTGACATACTTGTAATGGAAGTAAGTTTGGATCACCGTCATCAATCGTCTTCACTATTTGATTTACACTTTCTATAAAATAAGTGTTCATTCTTTCTGCTATAATTAATGTGTTTGTCACTACTCCATCTTCGAAACGCATTTTAGATAATTCAGTCTTTCTATTAGGAGAAACAATATTCTTTAATGTTTTCCACATCATTTTACAATTATATTTATTGCTATCGATCTTCTTCTCATAGTATTTTTTCTTTTCCCTCCGGAGAATTGCTACACACTCATTTCTTGATTTTGTATATTGTTTCCAATCATTTTCACTTTGGGTTACTAAAAAATTTTCTGTAGTCGTTATCGCGTTTTAATTTAGCCTCCTTGAATATCTGTGAAAACCAGGGTGTTGGGTTCACTCTTTCATATATTATTTTCTTGACCATAGCTTCACTAATATATCTATCGACATTATTCATCATTTGTTCGAAGTAGTTGTCGTCATTATCGATAATTTCAGGCATATTGTGTTGTAAAAGTGTTTCTCGTAATTTTGTGAATTCAATGACTGTAATTTCTTTCATTTTATTTTGATTGAACACATTTCCCACTTCGAAATATATCCATGAGTGATCACTTATCTTTGGGGTATATTTAACTTCAGCAATTAGATTTTGTTCATTAGTTATGAGCAAATCTCTTTTTGTTTTCGAAAAGCTCGTAATCCTTGTAAAGTCATTTATTTTCTGCCATAATCCATGGAAGTTTAGTACTTGTTTAAATTTTCTAACATAGAAATCTTTACTGTCAAAATTTATATTGAAGTCTCCTAAATGTACATTTGTGCAATTCCTGTAAATATACAGATTTTATTTTTTTTCTATCCTTATTTCCAGATTGATGTACCACCACTGATATTCAACAACTTCAATGTTCTGTACTTTGACTTCAATGCTATATAGTGTATATATAAATATACCACCTGTATGCTTCGAAACAGAGTTTACTCTTACAACATGATAGCCGTGAATATCGATCTCTCCCTCTTCAATATCTTCTGTTATATGTGTTTCTGTTAAACAAGGTATCAAAGTATTATTGGTTTCTCTATCACCAAGAAATTTAAAACCTCATCTTTATGTGACAAAAATCCTTGAATGTTTCAGTGGTATATATAGTTTACAGCTTGTTTTGTTCGTAATTGCTATGATCTGTCTCCATAGCAAGCTTTGTTTTTTGATTTTTCATATCTCATTTGTATTATTCTACATATTTTGTTGAACGGTGAGTGGTTTGTGTCAAAATTTGTATTATACCTCAAATTTGATTACTTGCAGTTCAGACAATTCACCTCATTTTTTGGTGTTTTACAGGTTTGAGACTGATGGCCACTCTCACCACATTTTATGCAAACACTCTTCTTTGTACAGTTTTTAGCTGTATGGTGGAATCCTTAGCAGTTAAAGCTCCTCATGAGATCATAAGGCTTGAACACTGTACACACATCCATTGATACAAACAGTAAACCTTCTTTCATAATTATTTTAAATGTTTGCTCATCTAATTCCAGAATAGCCTGATATCTGTATTTCATCTTTTTAATTGCCACTATTTAACATCGAATCACTGCTTATAATATTGTTTCTTTCTTTCAAGTCTCTAATCAGCTCTACTTTATCAAATTCCTCACTGAAGCCTACAACTTTAATCATTGGTAACTTCCTATGCCCAACACTCACTTTACGTTATACCTGTGTCCTACTTGTTTTTCTACTTCTAACTTCAATTTTGTGATGTCAACATTATTACATTCATCTCTCTGATCGCCGATTTTTTTTATGGAGACAATAATTTTTGCAGGATTTATATATTTGCTGAGTACCTTCTTTGTGTGTCAACAGTTTTGACTTTTATCGTTTGGTTTTATTATAACTGTCCTTTCTGGTTGTACTGTAGGAGTAACCAAATTTCTATTAAGGTTTGTGTCTTTGACTATTACTCGGTGTTCTGTTCTGTTTTATTCGTGTTTGATAGAGTGGGAAGTTCAGTAACGCCAGTGTCTTTATCTAGATTTACTTCTTTTTCTTTGCAAATGATTTAGTTCCATTTTTTCTATTTGTAATTCGTCTGATTTCACTTGCAGATATTCAAACTTCTTTTGCAGCTCTTTTATTAACAAATCTTGTATGTGAATTGTATAATCCTTCATTTTTATCACATCTTCCACTTGAAATCCCTTTTCATTTTCTTTTTCGGCATTTTTTGTGTTTCTATTTTCGTTTTTGATTTCGTTTGGCATAGCTTTTTTAATGTAGAGAACTGGGTTACCATTGACAAAAAATTGTCAGTTATGTCACTGATCTACTTCGAACCGTTGATCTTCGAGAAAGGACCCTGGATCAGCAGCCGTTAGTTTAGAAACTTCCCCAATAATCTCCAACTCTTCTCAGAAAGATGGCAATATAAAAAATTCGGTCTCAAATCCACCTAATTCTGTTCGTATACCAGGAGCAATTTCAATTCAATTAACTATACCGAGCGATATATCTAGACCTATCAAAAGAAATCTGCGCCGTTAATGCTGAAGATTTTACGCAAAGCACTTATCGTTTCTCCCAAAAAATGTATAACCTATTTCACGAGTACCCAACACTTTTAGATGTCTACTGAGGTGAACAGTTGATCAGCAACTGCCATATTATTCTGTAACGTTGGCAAAAATGAATCGAGTGTAAATCTAGTAAAACTTGCTTGTAGCGTTTTTTTTTGTATGCAAATGAGCTTTTCTAATTAAAAGAGTGGTTAGCAAGTACAACCTGAATGTTTAGCGTACAAAAAACAAAACAAAATACGGCTCTGTCTACCTTGCGTTGATGGATCCGTCAGAATTATGTGTCATTTGTCGATATGGAGAATTTTGAAATGTTATTGGATAATCAGCAGTTATTCTATCGCAATGGATACTCGTAAAAAAGACAATATAGCCTAACGAGTCCCGCAACAAAATGTTACTTGAATAAAAACACTCACATTCATGAGAAGGAGGATGCAAAGGTGGAGTTGTAGGTGGCGGCGGATCATCCTCTGAGTTCTCCCTTTCAGCATAGTTGATGATTTCATCAAGTGCAGACTGCCAGTGGAAAAACGGGCTTGGTCTTGCTCTTCCTCCTGAGATATGAGGACTACGCCTCAGTCGTGCCAACCTGTATAAAGACATAAAGGATGCCCAAAAATTCGTGAAAAATTTGACGCAAATACGAAGTATGTAGAGTTTTTCTTCTTCATATTGTTTTTATCGGATGAATAATAATAAAGTAGGCAGGATACGGCCATGGAATATTATATCAGGTAAAATGTCGTTTATCAAAATTTCTAGTGAAAATTTTACATAAATGTGGCTGAATTTCAGTGACATAATGTTGATTTCCCTCCTTCAATGCACGAGTGTGCGTAGGCATATATTACGTTTATTTATACCGATGACAAATGAGGGACATGTTTTTTGGTTATGTCTTACAACATTCAAAATACTTAATATCTTAATTTCTATTTTTTTGCGATTACAATACTTCCTCGCTAGATTCTATTCACCAAAATGAGAGTACAAGAAATATCTCATGTAAAGATCAAATTGTTCCACGGACTATATATCATATAGTACCATCTTGTTAGAACCACACGTTATCCATACCAAAACAATCCAATTTAGGCAGACAAACCCACAGGCACTCGTGCACTCAGCCAAATTTATGCAAAATCATCATGGAAACGTTTAATAAAAAGTTACTCAGCAAACTCTTTTGTATCTTTAGATGAAAGGTACTCAAGAAAAGTCCATTGCAAAATATGGCTATACATTTTTCTTTTCTGCAATTCTAGATATATTTCAAAAGTTTCATTTCAGACTTTCATAATTCATAGTCTAAATAAATTTGATTTTTTTATCCTTGAACCACCACGAAGCCCTAAACACTCATGGGTATCGTCGGGCTATAGGGGATACAGGGGAAAGGGATGCCACATGGTCTCTAACGAGGGAACACGTGAGCATGCAACATGCACACATTCTGGCCTCGCCTTAGAGCTCCGCGTTCGACAGTCTACCACCTACGGACAATCACAACATCCATATCCAAGAGAAAAATAATCTTGGGACGAGATTAGAACCCGAGCAGCGCACGGCGACTGATAAGGAGATCCATAACGTCGACCACTACGCCACCGCTGCTGCCTGATCGTGCATTAGTGTAAAATTTTAGTTAATGTAACTGAAATTTATTAAGACAATGGAAATCAGAAATAAAACTTGAAACATCCTCCTTGTCTACAAGCTTCAAACAACTAGATGTCTTTATCTGTTGTCTGAGGTCAAACTTGAATCTTACCTGTGATAGTCAACCCTGGTAGGCATGAATGCTGATATCCTATGTGAGAAGAACCTACGTCTGGGCAAGGAGATGGACGTATAAATGGTAGAATTGGTAGTTCTGGTGTTTGTATTAACGCCAGTAGCTGGTGGTGCTTCCGCAGAAGAAGCTCTGTTGTCTACATCTTGTGCAGTACTTGAAGTGATTGGCGTTGAACCAGCAGATATGGTACTGGTAAAATAGAAAAAAAAAAGAAATATGAAGGGTATGAATGATATCGGAACATAGTCAGCCTGCTTCAGCATGTTGAAATATGAGAAAAAAATCATAAAAAAAACATATTATTTAATACTGAATAGTGGTGTAGTTACAAACCTAAATACTTTTTAAACAGTACTAGGAAAACCTCCCCAGGCAGGCTGTTCGAGAATTAATTATAGGAGGCAGAATCCACACGGGTCTGCCTAGCAGGGTCAACGCGCGACAGCATCATAGAGGAAAGCTCTGAGAAGCCTATAGACATAGTAGTAGAAGAGACCAAGATCGCCGACCGCCCGACGGCGTGAAAAGGTACTGAAAGTATCCGTTAGAGAAGTGTCATTTATCAATCGAGCATGCCTTCTCTGAACAACATGGGCGCTAGGGCGCTTCTTGCTATTCAAGGTACAGCACTGTGTTTTGAAGACAGTAAACTATGCCCAAGCGGTGATCACACATCTCGTCAATCGCGGCAGCTGCTGGAAAAAAGATAGGCTATTTGTTTAGGGCTAAAAAATACAATCTTTTTCACGAATATCCATTACGGTAGAATAACAGCCGATTATTTACTAATATTTAAAAATTTCCCATATCAACAAGTGACACATTTGTACTTTTTAACAACTATTTCATTTCGCAAAGTTCCTTCGCATACTAAAAATGAACAGGAGTTGAACGGAGTTTTACCACATTTACACCCAATTCATTATTGCTAACGTGGAGGACTAATACAAAGATGTCACTAGCTGAACAGCTGTTCACCTCAGTAGACGTCAAAACGTAATGAATACTCGTTAAATAGGGTTATACTTTTCTCCACATAACCTCCTCAATCTGTACAATAATGATAAGAAACAGCCGTGAGTATAGCTCACAACTTTTTGGTGCTTCCGCCCCAACTAGATTACGCATGCTCGCTGCGGTTCAAAGAGCTGTCTGACTGATCGAAGACTCTTCTCTGATGGACAAACCATCGGCGACCTTGCTCTCTTCTACTATGTCAACGGGCTTTGCTCCCCAGAGGTCTAACTCAAGAAATCGCCGTGTGATGAGCCTACCAGACAGACCCTACTGACTTTGGCCTCCCATTCTAACCGTGTCGAACTTCATACATTCAGAACTGCCAAGAGAAAAACCTCGAAAATATGTTCAAGTTTGAGTGAGGTTTCTAAGAATTCCGCCGTATTACCCTAACAAAAAAATACCTGATCTTTAAAGTCGAGGATAATGTGAACTTTTTTTGTTCGACAATTTTTGCTGCATCTCTGAAAATAAAGTGGTGGGGGGGAGCATCCAAAGGTTTCCGTAAAAAACACCCTGTGGATTTTAACAAATTTTGGCTAGTACAAAAGAGCTATTCTTGGGCTCCAAATGTTGTATATTGTTTTTAGTTTCACATGTGGCCGCTAGAGGGCTTTCTTTGACATTCCAACAGAAATGGTTAATTTTCTTAAAAAATTAAATACGTACGATAGCTAAATGATGTCTACACAAACTCGCGAAAATCGCATATTGATATCTTGTTAATAACCTTAAATTTAGGCGAAAGAAAATTTTATACGGAAATCTTCTAAATGCTTTTTTTTAAAACTAATTTTTATGGAATTCTTTTCTATTCATAAAAATGAAATCACCCTTTTTGAAAACATTACAAAATAGCGCTAAAGGTAAGTGATGCTAATAACAAAAGGCATATTTTTTGTTTAAATTCATATTCACTATGGGTACGAGTATATACGGAAAAGGCAATAGAAGCATGGCATGGGATAAAACAAGCAAATACCTAATCAAAACATAAATAATTATCAAATTGTTTCTTTCACTTTAAGTCTTATTGTTTGGAGGGCAAAACCCATCAGAGTTGATTTAGCAGAATTTAGCTGTAAATTATGTTGTCTAGCATAATTAACTATGGATTTTAAATCTTTATTGAGCTAATGTTGAGCTTGGTGAACATAATCGCAATCAAAGTGGTGATAAAGCTGGGTATCATCATCAAAAAACTGTGCATTGCAACACTTCACCGATCTATCTGGATCAGAAATGTACAAGAGAAACAGGAGGTACACCAAAATTTATAGGGCTTTCACAGCTTACTGAACGTTCATCTGTTGACGTTGATTGACCAGCGACCTTTTGAGTGCGTTTTAATAAATCATTGAACTCATTTTGAGTGCAGTTCCACAGAATCCATAAAACCTACATTTAGCTAATAATAAGGAATAGTTTATCGTATCAAAAGCTTTGGAAAAGTCTAGTTGCACTAGTGCAGTAGTTAACTTCTTGTCCCAAGCTCTAACAATGTTGTCCGTTAAATCGATTAGCGCGCTTGTAGTATTGTGGGCGCTTGTAAGACCCAATTGTTTCAGAGGTAAAATGTTATTTTCAGTTAAATGTGCGACTAGCTGTCTATACATTATCTTTACTAAAATCTTTGAAAGTACGGGTAGAGTGCTGATTGGGTGTAGATCATTAAATAAATGTGGATTACTATTTTCAGGGAAAGGAAGAACAATAGACTGTTTCAAAGCTATAGGAAAATCACCTTTTTCTAAGCAGGATTTTACAATATGTGTGATGTAATGTAAATTTTCGGAAAACACAGCTTGATCATTTTCAGGTTTAGTCCGTCGTTCCCCTGAGCATTAGACTTTATAGATTCGAAAGTTTGTATTGTCTTTGTGATCAACAAGTTTAAAACTAAATTTCTGTCTTGTCGTTGTTTGAAAAAAACGTAACAATAGAATTTTTTATATCATCTGGGTCTTTCAATCGATCAGTTATATCAGCCATTTTTGACTGCCTAATTTGTAGTCTTTAAGGCTTTGTGAAATGCTGAGTGGTTGTTTTGTCTGTTCAAAAAACGCAAATAAGCAGCTTTTTCCTTTCTCGTTGCAGCAAGAACTAGATTCCTTATCTCTTTATAATGTCTCCATGACTGCTCGGTTTTACTCCGTTTAAATTAAGCTAAGGCTTTGTGTCGACATCTCATCACATGACTTTCAAGCTGTAAGTGAGCCAAGGAGCAGGAGGTTTACTAACACGGACAGTTTTGATCGGCGCATATATGTCAAATAAACATTTTATGCCTTCATTTAAGTATGACACCTTTTCATCTATGTTTTTGATGTGAAGGATATTTTGCCACGGACATGACGTTTTATATCAAACAACATATCACAGAAGACTAGATCGTGATCAGTCAGCGAGTCCATGTTTACTACTCCGCTGTTCTAGAGCCTTTTTGGTTGATTTACAAATATTGGATGGAGCAAGGTACTGCTGGTCCCTGTGACTCTTGTGGGCCCGGAAATGATGTGTTGAAACCCAAACGAATTAAAGCATTCATTGAGCTTATTATCAGGAATCATTAAATTAATGTTAATATCGCCTGTAACCATGACAGTCATAGGATGCAACGAGAAAGAACAAAGCATTTTCAAGTCCATCGATCAAAACAAGGAAATAGCATTTGGAGGCCAGTATACTACCTGAAATCAAATCGCTGAGCCACCCAGCTTCAATTTGATAAATATACATTCCAGACAAAAATCAGTAAGATAATTTTCCATGTTTATTTCTTCACAAGAAAGTGCATTTTTTACATAAATCCCTACGCTACCTCCACGGCCATTTCTGTCTTTTCGATAAAAGCTGAATCCTGCGATGTTAATCAAATCAGAAGAGATGGTATCATTAACCCATGTCTCTGTTATTGCCAAAACGTCATACTTTGAGTCTACAATCAGTTCAGAAAGGTCTAAAATAGAAGACACAAGGAAGCGTATATTTCGGTGTGCAAATTTAACTTTAGGTGATTGGCGATTATTCATAATCGATCCTACTTTTAAGGTTCGAAACATAGCTTTCAAATACAGGACATTTTAAATCCTTAGATGAGTGATTTGATCGAGATGCGGTTTTCGCGAGCTTGTTTAGCTCCTTTTTCATAAAAAAAGTCATACCAATGCATTTAATTATTTGAGAAAATTAACTGTCGGAAAGTCGAAAAAACCTTTCTATCGGCCAGATATGAAACTAACAAAACTTCAAATATTGTAACATTTGGAGCCCAAGAATAGCTCTTTTCAACTTTATTTTTAGAGATACGTCAAAAATGGTCAAACAAAAAAGGTTCAGATTAGCCTCGTATTTAAAGATCACGGTTTTTTTTGTTAGGTTAATATAGCGGAATTCACAGAAACAACATATTTTTATTTAGATTCAAGATTGCAGTTACACTCCATAGCGGCCATTTCAGAAACTTGAAAATATTTTACAGATTTTTCTCTTGGCCGCTATAAAAACTAACATTTTTTTCAAACCTCGACCATGCGCGAGCCAAGAGAAGGTAGAGCCACATTTTTCCAAATAGGAGGACCTGAAGACTTTTTTGCTCTTTGGTTTACAATCTGCGACAGTTTTTTTGATACCCCCCTCATGCGGTACTGCTGGCTGCGCCCATGACATCTATATATTTACCTGGCTGTACTAGTAGGCGGAGTATCGTCCCTAGAATTCAACACTCGAAGGCACTCTTGGAACAATAAACTTGAGAATGGGCGATTACTTGGAGTTGACGCGGTTGACGCCTCACCCAGTTGCGAACTTGATGGGCTGAAAGGGTTTGGAAGCAGAGGTGTGGGGGTTGTTGTAGGGGTAGATGGTGTACTAGTGTTAGTGATGAGAGATGCTGAAGGTAACGTGCCGCTTCCTGAAACAAAAAAAGGCGTGAAGTAGACTGACTAGACTTCCCACGTTGGTTAGGGGTTTTGACTCAATTTCATGTCTGGACACATCAAGCCCCATATATGATATTTCGAGTACAAGAGTGGCCTTTTTCACGTACAATGATAATAATCCATGTGAGATGCAAATTTCAAAATAACTCGAATGGTATTGAAACTTGTTCAGCTAAGTATGGTGTATTGTAAATGTATACTCTCCAAACTATAGAAAATTAATCTTTATTACTGTTCCAACGGCAAGTGTCTGAATAATACGTGTCAATATCATGTCTATGCTCGAATACTGGGGGTAGATACTCAAGGAAAAGCGTGGGTAGCGAAGATTCCACCAACAAATTGGTAATAATTGTAAAGTCTGGCTTTTTTGGTGCAAGTTGTTCAAGGGGGTATTTAAAACATGGACGCATAAAATGGGTACACCAACTTTTGTGTGAAAACTTTTTATTCGACAACAAATAATGAGTAAACGTGTTTTTTGGGATTCAATCGAACTTGTTGGCAGGAACGAAAAAACTCTTCATATCAGATCTTTAGGTATTTATGAGACCTACAAAATGAGACCACTTGTAAAAAGATCCAACTAATAACAAAAAAGTTGGCCGAAAACCGAGGCAAACTGCGTGTTTTGGCACTTGTTGCTAATGCGACGATGGTTTCTCGCAGATACTTGAAATTCTTCAAACTTGTAGGATTCGTACTTCTAAATAACCATAACAAAATTGAGTAGATTGGTCAAGTAGTTTTTGAGAATTTCTAATTGTTTATCCCAAAACACCTGTTTTCTTGCCATCACTACTAGATTAATGAGCAATATACAGGGTTAGTTGAAAAGACATTTTATTGCAAAATACACTAGTTTACCTTACCGATATGAATCGCAACCATTCCGGAAGATAAATGTTATTTTTACGCAAAAAAAGATGGGTTACGTTTTTTCTTCTAAACAAATCCAAACATTTCGTATTTGTGGGTGTACACAGTAGATCGTATTTATCTCTTTTTTGTTTGATCCAAAGCAACTGATGATAACTGATACAAGCATATGTCTGCTAAAGGTGCTCCTACATTGCAGCCTTCTGAATGATGAAAACCCTTTGTAAGTTGCATTGGCTGAACCAGCTAAACCGTAATTTAATTTAGATTGAGATAGTCCACAATATGATATCATGGCAGCATCTACGTCAACAGTATTTGCAATTTTGCGAATAACGCCAGTTGCGCTAGTTTTGGACATAAATCATTAATGCGATGTATTCAATATACATAGTCATGCCATAAGTTCTGTCCCTCGTTTTCAAACAAGTGTAGACCTGTTAATACTTGTCCGATTGTTTACATTGTGGTGTCAGTTGATTAAGCGCTTTTCGGGTAATTACATATACCTCAGTTTGTATTGATCTCTCGAAGCATAACGATGGAGTGGGGCAAGGCAGAGAACCGTATTGCAGTGATAGCTTTACATAAGTGTAATCACAGTGCTAGTCAGATTTTTGAACTCTTACGCGGCCTTCAAATATCGCGTAAATTTGTGTCTAGGACCATTCAGCGGTACAATGAGACGTCCTCTGTTGATGACAGGCCAAGAAGCGGAAGACCTCGTCAAGTAAGGACTCCAGCAGCCATCAAAGCCGTAAAAGCCAGGATTCAAAGGAATCCACTCCGGAAGCAGAAGATCCTATCCAGGGAAATGAAGATTCCTGTCCGGACGATGTCGCGCATCATTAAACAAGACCTAGGGCTAGGGGCTTACCGGAGACGTACGGGCCAGCGACTTACGGCCACCTTGAGACACATCAGGGCGACAAGATCCAAGAAGCTCTTGGAGAGGTACGCAGCTGGGGGATTCCGAAAGATTTTGTTCACGGATGAGAAAATCTTCACCATAGAAGAAAAATTCAACCGACAAAATGACAAAGTGTATGCAAGGAGTTCACAGGAAGCTTCGGAGATCATTCCGAGAGTTGAGAGAGGCCACCACCCTGCGTCAGTCATGGTTTGGTGGGGGGTGTCCTACGAAGGGGTCACTCAGCTCCATTTCTGTAAACAGGGCGTGAAAACAAAAGCGGCAAACTATCAGAGCGACATACTGGATCCTATCGTCAAGCCTTTAAGTGGTACATTGTTTGCCAACCAACACTGGGTCTACCAGCAGGATTCCGCCCCCGCTCACAAGGCTAAGAGTACGCAGCGCTGGCTGGAAAGCAATGTGCCAGAGTTCATTGCTGCGGAAGATTGGCCCTCAGGGAGTCCGGACCTCAATCCTTTAGACTACAAGTTGTGGGACCTGCTAGAGCAGTTGGCCTGCTCCAAAGCCCACCGTAATATCGAGTCCCTGAAAGCGGATTTGATCCGATCAGCGGCAGCTATTCCTTTGGAAGCTGTGCGTGCAGTGATAGATGAGTGGCCCGCGAGATTGAAGCAGTGTGTGAAGGCCAAGGGGGGACATTTTGAATAAAACTGTTTGATTATGAATTCTAAAAATGTTGTCGAATAAATAATATCTTTCATATAAATATATCTTATCTTGTTTCATTTTTATCATGAGATTATCATGGGACAGAACTTATGGCACGACTACGTATACAAGAGTTCAAGTTTATTCCTAAAAACTCCAACACCGAGCCAGCTACTATGCCCTTTTGTAAAAAAATGTACATATATTGGCTTTTTCTGTAATCAAGTGCATATGGTTGTTGTGACAGCGACATTAACTAGACTGCACATATATTTTGCCAAGTCATTAATATATAGTATAAATAAAAAGGGTCCAAGTATGGATCCTTGAGGTACGCCTTTTTTTATAAGTGCATCACTGCTATGATTATTCACACGAACCGTTTGAACTCTAAGATACAATATTACAATATCATTTGGAACTCCCAGTAATAAGTAGCAGCAAAGCATCATGACTTACACAGTCAAATGCTTTGCTCAGATGAGTGAAAATTGCAACATATGATTCACGATGATCGAAAGCCTTTATCTAATAGTTGAAGAACTGCATCAGTTGTGAAAACCGAACTAGCTACTATTTAAGATTTCACATTTATTTGCATACGACTTCATACGATCTAGTAACACATATTCTATAATTTTTGAGATTCCTGGAGTTGTATGTATTTGTCTAAAATCTTCAGGACTGTTGATATGTCCTTCCTTATGGACTGGCAATTCCTCAGACTTCTTGTATTTTATAGAAAAATAACATTATATTGATAAGATATGTTAAGGGATAGACTATCATAGTAGCAATGACGTACTGATATCATACTTACAAGTTTTTTTAGTAGTACTAACTTGAGCGATGCTTTTCAATTTGTAGAAGGGTCACGGATTAGCGGACAGACAGAGAGACTTACTGAGGATAATGAATGTCATGGTCTTTGATTGAAATAAGGCAGGACAAACCACTATCTATCACCAGAATCGACAACTGCAAGAGTGTAGAACAGCTGTTAATTGGAACTGTAAAGATCTCAGTATGTGTTTGATAGCTCAGATACCATTGAGACCGCTAGAGGCTGACGATTCTGGCTACCGCCAGTTGATGTGATCTATTCGCCATTAGCAACTGAACATGCTTCTTTCCACTGCAATCCGATGTATGAGATCTATCAAAATAAAACAGCAGTGCTGCGTGAGTGTGATTCTGGTAATAGATTACGCGCTTTGTGCTGTCTTAAATCAATAGATCTCATACCTCGGATAGAGGATAGTATGCTTTTGTTTGCTGCCTCAGAGACCAAGCCTAGACCATGCTGATGAGTTGCCAAGAAGCACGAAACAACTGTCCAAGTTCAGTTGTTCAATGGCGAGTAGACCACATCTACTATACCGCCTGAATCATCAGCCTCTATCAGTCACAGTCGTGACTAGGTTACCAACAGCAAACTTGAGGGTTGCATGGAAGAGCAACGGTGTTGTATGCTGCCTCCCTCATCAAATGTTTTATTAATTGTAATTTTAATCCAAAAATAGTCACATTATTATTATTATCTTCACAGTTTCACACTCACACAGTGGTCGATTCTCGTAATAGATCATGCTTTGCTCTAACGTTTTTCGATAAATTTTATACTTCAGATAGGGGAAAGTTTCTATGCTTTCTTTGTTGTCCCAGATACTAAGCCTGATAAGTTGCCAAAAAACTCTAAACAGCTGCCCATGATTGGATGTATGTGATCGGATGGACGAAACCAGCATGTTTAAGATGGTCTTTCGTGATGTAAAATGTGTAATGTGATATCAAAAAAAAAACAATATCTCATTTGATCAATAATTTAATCGAAAATAACTTACGTGGCGATCTATCATCATCCCTTTCAATTTCAGTCAATAAAGAAGTGACTAGCTGTTCCAGTTCCGTGTTGAAATTCCTCACTGAACTACTGGATGTAACACTAGGCGTACTACTACTAGCACCGCTAATACTGGTCGTACTATTTGTCGTAACGGAAGTCTGAGACGTCACGTGCGAGGGGCCTTCTAGGTTGCATCTTGAAAGACGGCTAGAAAAAAAGGAAACTTTAGTTAGTTGAAGTGTCACAATGGCATCCAGAGATGACAGCTTTCATCAACAGGTGGGCAAGTTCAAGCCGACTAGCTATGACAGAGCTAGCAAGTGGATGCGTTGCCGTCTCTTTGGAGTGAACGCTTGTATCTGAATATACCTATCCTCCGAGTCGGGTTGCGGTCGCTTTTCGTGAAAAAGGACCCTAAAGGGTTGGACATCACACCTTGATGTAGTATTTGTTCTAGAAAATGCCCGTTTTTTTAATTGCCATAATATTGTATCAAAAAATGGCGTTCATACAATTTTTAGTTCAACGAAATAGTATAATAAAGCATCCTACCTGTCGGAATTTGAATTATCCTCATCCGAAGTACTACTTTCTGACGAATCAATTATATTTAGATGTCTTCTGTTAGGCCTTCTCAGAAAGACAGGATACATTTGTCTAACCCTTTTTCTAACATGCTCTCTTCCATTTTCAAATAACCTGAAAACAGTTTATAGTCATTTTTTCTCGCGAACACAAGGTGTTTGCAAAACTGACTACTACACCAGGGGATTAATTCCTGAAAAGAGGAACGACTAACAAGAAGCGCGCTAGAGCTTATTCGGTTTCGGTGGATGGCTGAGTTCTACCAAAGAGCCGTTCATTTCGGCTGGTCGTAGTTCAGATCACCGTGGACTTGATCTTGTACAACACATCTCGTCAAACGTAACAGCTACTGGTAAAGGCCTAGGCTAACCTAACTACCTGATTCTGTACAAGGTCCAGATAAAATAGCCTCGATTATACTGTTCACATGTTTGGGGTGCTGCCGCCCCGACTAGACTAACCACGCTCGATGCTGTTCAGTAGGCCAACCCGACTAGCCAAAAATCGACGATGTAATGTAAATGTAATAGGTGGTTTTGCAACAGATTAATATTATTGAGAGTATATGACAAGGCTCATCGAAAAAAAAATTGCTAACTTTATTAAACGCGTATATTCAAATAGTGGATTATTGGTGTAAGTGGTCCAAGAAAAGTGGATAAAAATACTTCAAAATGAGACCTTACACTGCCAACTTGCCGTAACTGTTAATTACAAAAAAATGGCGTCAAGTAGTTTGACTCTGTACTAGGATTTGGCTCCCTGAGAAAATATCCTCTGCCTTGTTCTTCAAAAAATTTTGGAGGCTTTCACACAGCCGTTATCTTTTTTCGATAAATGGCCGTCTCCTCTGAGAAACATTCCTGTGGGCGCATATGATCGAAAACTATGTGTACATCAGACGTGGATGATGAATGGTGATCGGTTCTTATTTAGTCGTGCAGTGGAGGCCGACTGCTACACAGATGCATCGGCAGGACCGCGACGCGTATGATCAATCGGTCGGAAATATTTCTCGACCGTTTAAGGATAACTGTACGGGGAAATATATGATGAGTGAAATATGTCTACAAGGTGCGTATAATTACCACGGCTGGAGTATATTACTGTCAAAAAATGTTTACTTTTTACTTTTTTGCCAATAGCTCCACCGTCACTGCGTCGATTTTCAAAAACTAGCTTTTTCGTAGTAACTTTGTGTAAAAATTTCATCTAAATCCAAACAGTACTTTCCCAGTTATAGACGGCTCAAGGACAGACAAAAACGAGTGTCATGGTTTATCGTGATGTTTGTGTCATATATTTTAGAAATTTTCGCGATTACAATACTTGCACGTCAGTGCTTAGGAAGTATGTAAGAACGTCAGAAATCGTCGATTTATTATGTATTTTTTACTGGAAAATGCATGACGGTAAATCTGAAATAATAGTTAAAAGATGAAGCCTTTGTGTTGATTAACAGCCATAAAAATATCACTCACCAATGCTCAACCGTTTCTGCAATTTTTCACTTGTTACTAATCTTTGTCAGAAAAATGATATTTTCTGATGAGCTGTCCTGCGACTTTGAATTGATCAAATGGTCTCATAATAGGCTCATCCTCTCGCTAGAGGCTTAGTTTAATATCACATTGAAAGAGATACCAGATTTTCTTATACAAACTATGTTAAAAAGCGTAACAAATGGTACTTCCATGTTTACCTTATAAACAATTTGTTGTTTTTTGACAGTCGTAATTAGGAAGCCCACCACTGAAAAGAAGATGAAAAATTCACACTTTTACGAAAACAGGAACTTGTTTTTACCTTCGGTGGTACAGTGAAGATCACATTTGTGACTGAATTCTTTACAACAGAAAGAATTTCTATCAATATGTGGTTTTATTGACCAGGCAAGCATGGGGGATTACTTATATTACAATGTAAATTTTGAATAGGATACTCAGAAAAATACATTTTGCATAAGAAAATCAAACATAAAATACGACTCCGCCTTTGTACCGTGTATGTAGTCACAATATGAAGAGTTTTAAACAGAAAGTTTATAAACACCAAATATTTTTTAAACGTGAGCTTAATTGGGACCCTTAATGTTGATCACTTACGTTATGGTTGCTTCTTTAAGGAAAAATGGTATTTCGGCTACCAAGGGCCTAAAAAGGTACAATTTTTCTCCAAAGTGTGTAGTTTTCATCAGCTTTTCAGTGGTGAGCTTCCTAATTACAACTGTCAAAAAACAACGGACTTATTCTAATTGTTTATGTATTCTTGGCGACGATTTTCAAAATGATTGGTACAAGAAAATCTAGTATCCCTTTTAATAAGGTATTAAATTAAGTCACAGGTAAGATAATAAGTCCAACATGAAGCCATTTGATTGATCCAAAGTGGCTGGACAGCTCCTCAAAAAAGGCCATTTTTCTGAAAAAAAAGAATTGTAACAATTAGAAAAATGGAGTTGAGCACCACAAATGATTCAACTTTTGGCTACTATTTCAGATTTACCGTAATGAATTTTCCAGTAAAAATAAATTTAAAAATGGACGACTTCTGGCAATCTTTTGTAATAACAAATTAACCGTTATGGCAAAATTGGCCGTGTACAGTCTTATTTTGAAGGTATTTTTATCTCCAACAACTTGTTTTCGGTCACTTACTCCAATAATTCATAACTATTTTTTCCAACTTTGTCGTAAAAAAGTCAGCCAGCAAAACTTTTCGTACCTTTCGGCGAGGGGCTTTTCTTTATACCCTCAAGAATATAATTCCATTGTATAACAGCTTATTACAATTTTCTCTCTCAAATTCTAGATATTCTGATCCATCAGATCATCTTCTACCGCTATGTCAACGGGCTTTGCTCCTCACAGTTCTTCTCTATGATACCGCCGCGCGATGAGCCTGCCAGACAAACCCACCTGACTTCAGCCTCTTATCGTAACAGTGTCGAATTTCGTACATCCAAAACGGGCCGATACGACCGCTCCTTTGCTACTTATTACCACTCCTTTGTTCCCAGGGTATTGAGATTGTAGAACAAACTGCCTGATGAGGATTTTCCGAGTTCTACTAACCTTAGCAGTTCAAAAATCGGGTTAATGAAGTATCTTTAAGCTCCTTATAGCAGCTGCAGAGCTCAGGAATTAAAGCTTCTCCCACCGCGACTGCTTCGGTATAAAAAAACAACTAATTGGAAAATTAAGAAAAAACTCTTCCATCAATCTTATCTCTACAAAGTTACCGTTATGATGAAACATTTACTGATATAAAAACCCCAGTGGATGCATTCACAAACTTTTCTGATAAACGTCAAAACAATTGTCAAATGACGCCAGAAAAGTTTATACCGGTTGTTCTATTTTCTCGTTTACAAGGTTCTTAGTTTTTTTTGAACAGTATTTGAAGAACGAAGAAACTTCGCATACAACTTTTACTACGAAAAAAATTAACAGAACTACAAACTGTAACCACGTGACCCACCTAATCAGTTCTGGCCTATCATTAGCCGGTACAGAATTGATTATCGGCAATATTCTATTTCTAACTTCCTCTTCTGCTGTCCTCCTTATATTCAACAACAATTCTTCGACTCCATTGATGGTTGGATTCCTACTGCTATCTGAACTAATACTAGTACTCGGACCATCCAAATTTTGGCTATTAGAAAGTGGGGCTGTCGACTGTCTAATTTCGGAGGCCATTGGATGGGTCGTCTCGACTTCTGGATCTGTATTGTTCGATTCAGCTAAAGCTGGAAAACAAAAAATGGATCAAGTTAACACTAATGTTTCCATTGATAACAGTGCTTTCATATAACTGCTTGTCAAAATTCACACATATGTTGTCTAGGCTGTTCTTCTTCCTAATTGATTGCTCTATTGTTGTCTGAATGCCACATGAGTCCAGTAAATCTAACAGAATATCTAACTTATAACGTTTTTTTAAAAAAATACATATTGACGTTAAAATCACCACAAATATAATATGTAGATATTCAATGTATAGAGTAAATCAGAATCTGGGCTTCTGTACACACACAAAACAATAATTTTAAAAACCTTAAATCTTTGATTCAAATTCTTTTTAAACAGCAACACTAGACACATTTTGAAAATAAATACCTTTTTGACATAGATTCCTACACCTCTGTGTTGATGATAAGACCTACAGTGAGAATTTGCTACCATATAATCAGTCAATACCAGGGATTTTAGATGAGCCTCTTTAGCCCAGTGTTTAGACACACAAAAATATCACAATTATTATTCATTATTTACTGCTCTACTTCATTATCTTCTTTTCCTCGAATAACCATGGAAATTTCGACCATCCTACCCTCTGTCGTTAAATCGTCATTGATTATCGAAATAGCTGAAAGTTGTCTTCTAGCTCCAGATTATGTTTTCCAGTTCGGAAGTGTAGCTTATTTCCATGTTAATAGCATGCTCTTCAAATGCCATGTTTTTCTTTTCAAGAGATGCTATAGATTTATCCCTATCGACAATATCTTGCTGGGCCTCCTTGAATAAGCTTCTGGGTGGCAGCAAGTCATCTTCTAATTAGCTTGCTTTTTGTACATATTTTTTTACTGCAGTAATTTTTTTTTCCAATGACATGTTTTTTATGGTATGCATTGCGGCGCACAACACTCATAAAGAATTTGTCCAACATTTTCAACATGTTGCATAGTTTCACTAGACTATTATTGTTTGTGTATGTTTACAGTACACCTTTACAGAAACAATTTGTTTGGGAGCAGTAAAAAATATTATATTAAATAGTATGCAGTGGCACTTGAATTATCGTCTATGTTTGAATTTCACTTTATATTTTTTCCTCAACAAGTGTACAGTACACTCGTAATCAACATCATACCATAGTCGGTAAAATTTATTGATATAACAGTACCACGCCCGAACCTTCCATGACATATGTCATCTACATCACAACACTGACATGGGATGCACAGAATCAAATGTAAATCAAAACCTACTGCAGTTACCAAACACAGTTACCTTAAGTAATGAATGAGGCCTAAATTACCTTGATCACTACTCATATTGCTCATTGCTTCCTCTTCCACCCTCGATCGTATCCTAAACTCTGATGTATCACTGACACTAGCCGTCGATTCTGGACCAATAGACACCTCAACAGGGCTATTCAGTTGCTCCAACTCAACCCTCAATGCTTTTTCATCCCTTCTTTGCTCTTGTTGACCCTCTCTACTCCTTTGCTCTTGACTTTGCACTTCTGAACCTCTTTGCTCCTGATTTTGACCTTCTGTACTCGTTCCCGCTGTCTCACTTGTTGCTCTATTAGCCGATCTTTTTAGGGGCCTAAAAATTTAAAACCTTTTAAATTACAGTTCTACAAAAAGCTATATATTAAATCATTGATTAACATATTCTCTAAGAAGCTGCCCATACTCATGCAGTATTCGGATGTTCACATGGAATTGCCATTGTCACAACCATGTTGCCAAGAATCGCATTAATTCTCTCAAAAGTAATAAAACACAACCATGTTTCCATTCAAATAAAAGTATTTACCTAAGCCACAATGAATTTATTTCAATAAATCTCAAGTCATAAGTTTTATGTAGATCGTGAAATCACGTTTTTCGCTTAATTTCGGTTGAAATGCTACAATAAGTCTACATTTTGAGAAGCAAAGATTTGGATACAAAAATAAACTCATTTTTGAAAATACTGTGCCTTGGTGCCCTATTGAAAAAAGTTGTAATCCAAGGGTAATTTAAAAATGGATTGTTTTATAAATATTATGTCATTCGGGTATACTTGGTTAGAAGCAACAAATACACTTCATTAAATTTGGTGGACTCTTATCTACATATACAATATCGGCTGTAGATTTTTCAAGTATATTTTTTTATTTAATTTTATACTCTTCAGCCTACATTATTCATGTTCACTGAAAAATGAATACGAACATTTAAAAACTAAGTGACCGTTTTCATCTACACTGAACATGCTTTTAGGTTGTAAGCATAAAGTTTGGAGAATCTGCTTTCTTTTCTGGTTACAAACTTTAGCGCCCTTACACTCGTTTTCAAGCTTATGACCGTACCATAATCCATTCCAAGCTTTGTTAAAATCAGTATAGCAATTACTGAGATTGCACAGTGTCAAGGAAACTAGAACGACAGGTGGGTTATCGCCAATGGGTGGAACGCTAAAGCATTATGTGGCTTCGCCTCAACTCCAAAATTTCACCCAAATTTATTTGCTGCCTTTATCGCTCTCCCTCGGACCATAACTGGGATGATCTAGTTCTTCTCGGTGATTTCAATGCCCATAATGAGCTTTGCTTGGGCTCAAACAAGACCGATGCAGCAGGTCGTGCAGTCAAAGCGTTCGCTCTTACTCAAGGGCTGACTCAGCTGGTGACGAGCCCTACTTTTTTCCCCGCGTCTCGTCACACGCCAGTAGCCTGCTGGATCTCTTTCTGACCACGCATCCTGTCCCATACAACACTGCTGTCCTGTCCCCCCTGGGTAACTCAGACCACGGTGTTGTGGAGGTTAGCTTTCCTTGGAGAGATGTACGTTTCACTGACGTGGATGCGTCGGCTGTCTGTTCCACGATAACTGAAATTGTCCACGTCCAAGACCAAGGCGGAAGTGCTAGTCAAGATCTTTGCTTCCAACTCCACCATGGACGTCCCCCCCAACGCCCAAATGCCGTCAATTCAAAGGGTTCCCTACACTATGCGGGAGGCAACATTCAGGCATAAGACCGTAAGACGAGTGCTCTTGTCGCTCGAGATCAACAAAGCTTCTGGTCCGGACTTGATTCCTGCCATTGTGCTGAAGAGGTGTGCAGCGGAGCTTGCTCCGGTTCTTTCGCGTCTCTTCCAGATATCTTAGGAATCCGGCACCTTCCCAGAAAAATGGAAATTTGCTCATGTCCAACCCATCCCAAAAGATCTAAGACCGGCCCTTACAACTACAGGCCTATAGCTCTGCTTTCTGTTATAAGTAAGGTGATGGAGAGGTGCATAAATCGCGAGCTTCTGGACTACCTCGAACGTCACAGCTTGATTAGCGACAGGCAGTATGGTTTCCGGCACCAACGATCCACAGGGGACCTCCTAGCTTACGTCACGCAATTGTCGAGTAAACTCATCCAGTCTTATGGTGAGGCCAGTGTAGTTGCTCTTGACATCACGAAAGCGTTCGATCAGCTGTGGCATGCTGCCCTCTTAAGCAAACTTCCATCCTATGGCCTCCCAGAAAAGCTTTGCAGATGGGTGGCTGACTTTATCTCTGGCCGCAAGATATCCGTCGTAATTGACGGGTTCTCCTCTTCATCCCACAACGACAACGCGGGTGTTCCCCAGGGATCGGTCTTGGTTCCGACACTGTTTCTCTTACATATCAACGACCTCCTTTCCTGCACGATCAACCAAAACCACAGCTTGGCTAATGATAGCACTCTACATGCAGGTATTCAGAGTGGCAAGCCGATCTCTGCCGCTGAGCTGGAAAAAAGAAGACTAGCGACGACTTCCTCTCCGACAAGAGACCTGGAGGCTATCACTGCTTGGGGACGCAACGATCTTGTACAGTTCAATGTTTCCAAAACACAGGCCTAGCCACGAGTACATCGTTTATGCTCGATGCCGACCAGAGGAGGGCAGTCCGACTGATCGATGCCTCGTCTCTTAACAGACAGTCTCGGGACTCTTTCGCACCTGCGGGCCGTCGGCGATGTAGCTCTTTTCTACCGCTACACCAACGGGCTTTGCTCCTCAGAGGTCTCCTCCTTGATGCCGCCGCGCGATGTGCCTGCCAGGCAGACCCGCCTGACTTTGGTGTCCCATCCTAACCGTGTCGAACTTCGTACATCCAGAACTGGCCGATACGACCGCTCCTTTGGCCCGAAGGTGTCGAAATTGTGGCACAATCTACAAGAGGAAGCTTTTCCCAGTTCTACTAAACTTAGGCAGTTCAAAAATCGTATTCACAAAATTTCGTTGGGATCATCATAGCAGCCGCGGTGTTCCGGCATTTAGGCTTCTGCCTGTCCCGCTGCTTTGATATATATATATATATATATATATATATATATATATATATATATATATATAAGCACTCTATTTTTCAAGCCTATTTTCCAGAAAATGCTTATCATACATAGTTTAGGCAGTAAAAATAATAATACGGATTACCCTGTATAAAAACAATTATTACTCTTTGACATGCCAAACTACGCATTACTCAGAAATCAATTAAAAGTTGGGAACACATTCAGATGAACCAGCCGTCAGTAACCCTTCTTCTCTTTATTCGTATATTTTGGTAGCCTCCAGGCTCATCATAAACAAAAAAAAGCCTATTGTATAGCCGTATGTGTGTTGGTGTACCTATCCAGTTGAAGGGTGTATGTAAAGCTGGACATACACACTAATAATATGCAAAGTAGCCTGGTTGACTAGCTATTATGGATATTCAGATTCATGATTCCTCCACTGTATGATCTGTATGAATATTTTGGTGACAAATCATAATCAATTGTCTCTCTGTATCTCTACCCACACTTCGTCGATTCACGATGCGATTCCGTATTGAAAATCTCCCAGCATTTGAAAAGCTTCATTCCAGCCGGGGTCTTTGATTTCTTACCTTTGGTCTTTTACCCATAAGCAATTCGTCTATAAAATGACCAAGTTGATGATTCCTTTATTACTAAAGGCACATTTCAGGGGTGGAAAAAGTTGCGGCGGTTTTTAATATAAAATGATATAATTATCATCTTTCCTATTTTTAAATCGTCATAACACAAGAGATGAAAATATGTAATATACACACTCCTTAAAGTGTTTTGAAGCGAACTCCATGTGAACTTTCGCTAAGAATTCTGGTTGCTACGCTCGACACTTATTTTTTGCTATTGTAACCGCATGTCCTTTCGGTAAACATTAGCGTGTATGTATAGCTTTTGCTTGGAGTGATCCACCAGACAGGGTTGCACTATCAGATGGTTATCGAATGCTCAGATAACCGCCAGAGATGAAAGAAATAAACTGGCAAGAAATTTTCCTAGAAAAAAGAGGGACGCTCTACATACGGACAGGTCGCAGGTCGAAGTGTGCCAAAAAGGTAGGTTGCGCAAACAATAAATTATAATCCACCAGCACTGTTATAATAAGGTAGTGGTTCAACAAAAATACATTTTCTTCCTTCTCCAATACGATCGCTCTCCAAAACACTTGAACAACAACTGATTATTAATGCTAACTCCACTAAACGTAAGGGTTAAATAGAAAAATACGACTTTTTCTAGCCACTGTCAATTCCTTTGTGAGCCAAAAATACAAAATATATCTTTTGCCTTTGAGGTGCCGCGCCGCCGACTGCATAAACGTACCCGCTGGTCGTTCCACTTCCACATTCATAAGAAAAAATTAATAATTAATACTTGAAATTTAAACGGTTATTTTGTTATAGTACCTAGTTTTCATTAAATATTTTTTGTTTCCGTTTATTGTATATTCCGTCAGTTTCTTTTTATATTTTAGCACTCTCTTGTGTTTATATTAATGCGAGTACTTTTGTATTATAACGTTTACTACTATCTTCTAGCTTTTAATATGTTATGGGTTTTTTTTTAGTTTTACTTAATCTTATGCTTCAATTTTATTAAGATTATGTTGTTTCAAGGTTCAACTGTCTCTAACTGGTTAATGCCCAGCAAAAGTTTATCTGTTTGGTGTTTTCAGTCTTTATTGTACAATCGTATTATTGGAATCCATATCTTGTAAATTATTTCTTTTCCTACAATAAACCACTACATCGGCTTCTGGAACGCCCTGTATGTCCCTATGCTACTGGTGCTTTTAGATGGAAATGTGGTTTTTTATTCAAACCTGGCTAAGGTACTTTTTTTTGCTCCAAGACCTTCAATTATTCCTAAGATTTTATATTCTCATATTTCTCAATGTCAGTACATGAAATCCCATAATCTGAGGCATTATTACGAGAGGTGGCAACATTGGCACCTAAAGACGGTAGTCAACACGTAAACATAGGCTGTGGGTTGTGCCAGATTATGTATGACTATTTTCGGGTATGGGGGCTTTCAACAAGATTGGGTGCCTTCTTGTGGAATAAGTTAATCAATGATCAAAATCTATCCATACCTCTTGTCGCTCTTTTTGAACCTCTTTTCTTGACATGGTTCTCCTGATGCAGCATCAGCTTTGTGTTTCCTAGACTCGACCGTTTGAGTGCCTCGGAAAGAAGTTTCTGGTTTTTTCATAGTGTTGAAAATTCTGCTGGGTGTTATCAGAGTGTGGGTTTCTGTAGTCGAATCTGAGGTTGATGGTTGTTCTAGAAAGAAGTGAAGGCGAGTATAGTAATCTGTACCACCACCCTGGTGTGAACTATTTCAGTAATTAAAGAACATTTACGAGGAAAAAATGTTCAAGTAGGTAATACAGGAGACATTTCTAAAGTAAGAACCGATTGCGCATCGTACCCGTGCATCTTGTCATGTGACATCCGTTCAACCTCATACACTCTTGGCCACTCTTTCACTACGCCGCCATTACGTTTCACGTCTCTGCCGGTGTTGGTTGCGTGGTTATACTGCTTTCGTTGTCGCCATGTAACTCAGTAGATCCGCGCTCTGTAATTCGGTTTTGAGATGCAAAAAAAGTTCGTCCTGCTATAAATGCTGAGGTGCTATGGAACATTATTGCTCTCTACCGAAGTCAATCTGCTTCACAGCAACGCGTGACCGCGCGTTGGCGCACGAACATAGAAGAAACTGGACAAGTTTAGTTGGGAATTTCTATATCATCCACCATACAGCACCATCAGAATTTCAACTTTTTTTCAAAACTTAAGGAATTTCTTGGTGGAAAACGCTTGGAAAAAGATGGCATATTGAAAGAAGCTGGTTAAAGGGTCAGGCGGCAGCGCAGCGTTCTTTGACGACGAGATACAAAAGCTTGTGCCATGAATTTACAAGTGTTTAAGTGAATATGTTAAAAAATGTTCATATCTTGTTTATGGTACAATTACCGTTCATAAATAAAGTTTCTCTGCCTCCATTACGAAACGGTTCATACTTAAAAAACGCCCTCGGATCTGCGGTAGCAGCTGGACAAGCTTACCGGGAAATCCTGAAAGGCAGTAAGTATTACCTGTACCATTTCCTTCAGCTTTAGCAGACGTACTAGGACCAGGCTCAGGATTATTTCTGATAGTTGTATTCACTTCTGTATTCACTGTACTTGGTCCTGGGGTACTTCCATCACTAGATTCAGTCTGATCATTAGAGGTTTGGGTACCACTATTGTTGAACCAAGGATTTGGTTCCATTGGGTCGGTTCCTCTGTCGATCTCAAAAATAATGGCAAAATTACTAATCAGTATGTTAAACAGCATGATGATTGTTTTACCTTTATGAAAGAGGAAATCATTAAGGCAAGGTTCTCAGGATATTTGTTAGGATAAATTTGAATTTCAAATTGACAATTATGATACTAAACTAAATCGTGTAATCTCCCGCGTGGGGTTTTAGTTAATTAACTAGGGGATAAGTTAAGGTGGTTTTACAAACAACTTCTGTTTTCATAAAGATAGAAATTACACTTTTCACTGATGTTGAACAAGAAATAAGTATATGATGGTTTTATATAAAAACTACAATCCATCTTTTCTTATGCTACTTACCATTGTTGGAGGCCTGTACAACTGTAAGTATCTTTGCACTAGTTGTTCATATTCCCGAACTAAGTTTCTATAACATGCTGTGATCCTTCTTTCTCGTAAAGGGATATTTGGTACAAGGTCTATACTACCTTCTCTATTGTTGAATCGAGAATCTGAAGGTGACTAAAATACAAATAAAAAATGTTTATGGGCTTTCTAAGAACAAAATATATGTATACAGTGCTTTCCAAAAAAGTTCCGATATACTTATTTTTTGAATGGGCCAAATTAGCAAGCTGAAATTTGGGGTAATGAAATTGATGCCATTTTGAAGCTACTTATGACCCTATCCTATATCCAAACACCATAACTTGGAAATGGCGAAATGACAAGTTGCCAAAGTTAAACGTTTTTGTACATTAATAACATTAAATAATTTATGTCACTTATAAGTCAACAACCATCAATCATCAAAATGCTATAATATTATGTTACATCTTTATTCATCTCTTGGAAACATTTAGCAGAATATATAATAAATATGAAACATTTGATTAAAAAATTAGTCAAAATCAATATTTTATTGCACATTCAGACCTTTAAAAAAAGAAGACATATAACACACTATAACGTTTTGATAATAAGTTGAATTATAAGCGATTCAATTCACAAGAAAAAAAAACGCTCAAATTTGTCAGCTTCCCAGCCGTCACTTTGTAAGATAATACATAATTTTATATTCTAGGATTATAAGGTACTCATACTGTCTGTTTCACGAGTACATCCATTAAGGTGGAATAACAGCTGATTTTCTAGTAATATTTCAAAAATCCCCATATCAGTGACACACATTTCTGACGCACAGCCACCATCTTATCATACAGTATAGTATCCCTGCATCAATCTCATTACCCTGAACTTCAGCTTGCTAACTTGACCTGTTTGAAAAATAAAGAATGGAAAATGACCAAAATGGAAACTTTGGATTGTGAAACATTTAAAGTTTAACAGTTTAAACAAAAAATCAGGAATGCGAGCACCAACTAAATTGATTCAAAAATCAAAGCTAAATTGATTCAAAAATCAAAGCTAAATTGATTCAAAAATCAAAGCTAAATCAGTATGTTCCTGGAAATGTATGAAATTAGCGATTTCAGGTAATTATAAGGTGAAATTTTCAATACTGAGGCTATATAGTTACATTCATATATAGAACCCACAATCTTTCTGCGTTTTTGCAAGATTAGCCCAAACCTGGATTTCTGGTGACCATATCCAAAATCAGCGTACCAAATTTCTTTTCCACTTATAACAAATGAGGATGGAAAATGAATGTCAAAAAAAGCCTTATAATTAGACAAAACATTTTAATATGGTGATTCAGATATTATTGTAGAGCAATCAATGATGACACATTTGTATCATTTTGGGACAGGTACGGCTAAAGTTTTTACACTCTGTATACATCATTACTCACTTAGCAATTGGAAAGCCTAATTCAGACCTTTGTATTGTCTGCACAATTAACTAACCTGTAAAAAATACCATGCCTGCACCATTAGAGTATAATGGTGTATGAAAAAGGATTTCCAAGAAGACCCAGTTAAGTTGTGCAAATTATGAATGCATGTGACAGATTTGTATGATAAATACCTTAGCATCACATTATAAAAATCTCCTAGAGATTCTATATCATTACAAACATCTTAAAATTATTTCTAAGATCAAAACTACTTACATGTGAAGTGCCAGGTGGATTAGCAAGCCTTTGAGTTATCCTCCTCCTGTATGGATTTGAACACATTGCTTGTCTTGGGACTGGAACTGGAGCTCTAACTCGTTCCCATCTTGTTTGTGGACTGTTTGCTATGCCTGTTATTAGTTTATGGCCTAGGTTATCGAATGCTACATATCTCACCTAAAAATTATATACATTGAAACCATGACTAACAATTTCCAAAAATAGACACCTGAATGATGAGGGTTGATCCCTATGCAAAGCCCCCGACCTATTTGCACATCATTGATGATTGACTAACCATACATCAATAGAATGAAGGAAGATCCCATCTGCTTAAAGTACCATATAATGTAGTCTGAAGGCCAAGGTACTGCATGGATTGATCAAGTTAATCTTTATGTTCTTACCTTTTCTTTGGGATTGCTTGTAGCAGCATGAACAAAGGGCTCAGGCTGACTCCAATCCCAAAAGTAAACTTCATTATAGGTTGCAATCACTAACACTCGATCATTAGGATGAAAAGCTAGTGAAGCTATTACAGTTTGATGTGCAGCAGTCCAAACCTCACTGCCACCCTAAAACAATTAAATAACATGATACCTCAAAAATTTTTATTCCATCAGAAGTTCATAAAAAAATGTTTTCCAGTACATGAGCAAAAAATGAGAACACACTGGATATAAGCAATATAAGCTATTAAAAAAGCTAAATAGTTGCTGCTGCTAAATACCTGAAACTAATACTTACACTAAGATCCCAAATCCTAACTTGTCCCCCTAAGCATCCTGATGCCACAATCTGATCAGAAGTAGGATGAAAAGCTATGCACCAGGGTGTCCTAGGGTGGCCAACAAGTGTTTTTATGTTTTTACCACTTTTTATGTCAGTTATGTATATGTTATGGTTGCCATGTGTGGATGCTACCTTTGATCCATCTGGACTGAAGACCATTAAAAAGGTGGATCTGGGTACACCTGGCATTTCACATCGCTGGAAAAAATAGAACAGTAAGTGTAATACTGAATAAAAAATAAAAGCATATGGAAGCTGTCATATGCTAGAGGGATGCAACACTTTTAGGGTGTTTCACTTTGTTTAATAGTCCAAAAGGTTTTCAATGTTCTTCAAGCTCTTAAAATGGGACTGCCCAATACTATAATGGGTTTGAATTCTTAGCTCTTCCTAGCATAAAAAATGTTAAGTTTGTTAGGCTTACCAGTTCCTCATAATCTTTCTTCCTGATAAATTCCTCCTCAGCATAAATGTCCAAGTCCTCCTTACTTTTCCTGCATCCAAATAAATATCCATATCTCCGATTTTCCAACCCATTTATTAAATTTAAGGCAGCTCTCTTTGAATCCTTCCTCAAATGGGTGTAAATATCAAAGTCATCTTTACTCATTTTTTCTTCTCTATGGAAAATGATGGAAAAAGTGTAAAAGGGTTTTTGAAATCATATTTTTCTAACCTCTCATGAGAGGGTTAATTTAACATGTCTTTCACTGATTTGAGTGGTTTTTTTAAGCAATGCTAAATGTTCAACAAACAAAACAAAGCATTGTCTGTTGAGATGATTCTTAAACATGTTTGAAAAAAATCAGTAAATCTGTTTGGAAGTTATTGGGAGACAATGTGGGGGTGGGCAACACAAATAAGCCTGAACAGGGTATCAAATGGAAGGGTTTGATTTGAAAATTACTAAAATCTTGAATAAAAGGTATTAAGACAAGAGATTTACTTGAAGGTTGGGGATTTTTTGTTTAGCAAATATTATATACTACCAATATACTACTTACCTACTGCTTTGCTGATTTTGCACTAATGTAAAAAATGATTCATTGTGGTGGATTTTATAAGCTGTAAATTTGCAATTTTTGAAAAGAATCTCAAAATGTGATCAGCAGATAGAACTCAGCAGCGTTGATACCGTGTATTAATGGACTATTTGAACTTCATTTATGATTATTTTTAACAGATTATGGAACAATAGACGTCATATAAACAAATCTCTAATCTTTAGGGTTGGGCTGGTTCCTTAGAAATAGCAAGTCTTGTATAGGCTAGTCTAGTCACTTACCTGTATCACTAATTATAAGACCACTAGAGGATTATTGTACAATCATTAATATACTGTTTTTCGTTATATTCTCAAATGGCGTGCAACTTGACGTAACACGTCTTATCAAACGTTTTTTTTACATATTTTTCATTCTATCCTAGACCACACACCATACCACTCAGCTCCACTCATCGCACAAAACCTCAAATTAGAGATGTCACTAACTTTATTCCTTTGTAACCACAATCCGTTGCATAACTAAGGCGGGTCCCACACGATGCTTCCAATGTTGTATTCAACGTTCGACACCCCACAATTGTGTCTCCTACACGATGGTTTTTAAACCGGTCTCACACGATGTGGCGAATTCCTTACAACGACACATGGCCATTCGCCACATTGTGTGGGAGAGTGCCGACTTATTGCATGTGTTCAACGTTACAACGTTGGAAACATGGTTGATTACGCTCTCACACGAGATGTCATGTGTTTGATGGTTTTAGGTTAGAACCAGTAGCGGAGAAAAACATTATTTACTTGTTTGCTGTGATTGTGGTGAAGTAGTGGTATGTGTGAAGTATTTTGATTTGAATACCTAGCTATTCATGATAATTTATGACCAGTAACTAACTTTTGAGGAGAATGAATTAAATTAGTATAAATACAAAGCCTAAGCTGAGATAACATCACTTGTTTCATATTACTAATATTTAGTACGTTTCGCAGGTGAGTTATAGCTGGCCTAAGGATATGTATTTTAGTAAATTATAAATTATCAAGTGCTTACAGTTGTTTCATTATAATGTCTTGATGCAATACAGGACTAGTTGAGAAATATATTGACTTAGATTTCATAACTAACGAAAACGATTAAATACATGATAACTCTGAAAGTACTATCAGGATTTTGATGAAACGTTGACCCTAAGTTACTACCATGAAAATTACGAAAAAGCTGCAGTTTCTGAAAATTGGTACAGTGGCGGCGGAGTTATCGTCGAAAGACAAAATTGTTTAATGGTTCATTTTGGATAATTTTTCCTTCAGTTGTAAAGGTTCAAGCCTGACACCGCTAATAGACGTTGGTGACACCAAGCGTCGAACGTCCGAGACTAGAAAGTTCATCCCATCATGTAGGAGACACATTTGCCAATTGTGGGGTTTCGTACATTGTAAACAACATTGTACACAACGTTGTATACAACGTTGGAGGCATCGTGTGGAACCCGCATTACCTCTCATCTCTAGATTTGTGGCACCGTGATAGCATGATATGCCATTTGTGACAGGTGGCAGCTACTCAATTGTTGGACATTTGTTTACCTTTAATAATAATAATTATACCCTTTTCATTATAATTAGATCAAAGTACGAAAAATACCTATAACATTTATAAAATGTTGTAGTTGACGTCATTCTCTTGAATTAGAATCCTCGAATTAAGCGGAAGATAAGAAATAATAATGGCAGACACATTGGTGTTAGATTGGTTGGATGAGTTCGAATCTTTAACTGAGAGCGAAATTCATACGTATTCTACTGAACAGGAACATAATCATGAAGTTATGATCGCTCTCTACAGTATTCTATATGACCCACATAAGTACAAACCTGATAATGTAAGTCGTTTTAAGCTTTTGCAAGTTTACCACACCTTTAAGACGGATATAATTACCTGGCCTGGGATTTAAGCCCCCTTCAAGTCCCCAATGGCTCTGCAGCCTTTTGGGCTTATTCCACCTTGCTCCTCAAATTTACAGGATCCAGTCCAGCAGACTAATGTTCTGAACTAGTTGGCACAGTTTCCCTGCTGGCACCTTTATAAACTCCAATAGTTCTAAGTTTGGGTTTCCTGAAGAGTTGATATCTTTTGTGATCGAATACCACACACTCACATAAGGCATCTGAGGCTGATTCTGTTTTTTTTCTGCATTGTCTGCTGTTGGTCCTGTTAGAATGCCTGTAATTGTTGCTAAAAATTACAAAATAAATTATGATATTTAACTGTAGTGTACTTGATGTAACTTCAAGTATTTGGGGTCAAAAAGATTGACAGTGTTGCTAAGTTCAGTTGTCATTGTTTAGAACTAATAAAGTTCACTGAAGTAAAAACCCAAACACTAACTACATGGAGTTGGATTGGACTCATTGATAGCAGTTCTGCAGCCATATTAGGATATGGTCTTGAGATAACATCTTTCCCATGCCTGCCTCCAGTTACTAAATGCCAGTACTACTTGTGCTGGCTTCTTACCCATTCATTGACTTCATCCCAAAGCAGGTTCTGGGCCTGTAAAGGTTTGTGGATGATCCTTGCCTTGCAAGCTTATCTGCCTTTACATTTCCTAGATTACCTCAATTTATTGGCTTCCACATCAAAGTTACCTTGTGTTCTGCCAGTGTGTTCAGTTGTTGTTGGTATTAACAGATTAGTGCAGATGTCACTCTAGGACATCATAATGCCTTGAGTGATACCTGACTTTCAGTGTAAATGGCAATCTTTTTATTGTTGTACATCTGCTCATTATTTACTCTAGCACAATGCAACATGGCATACACTTCTGCTGATAATCCAAATGTGTGTCTTCCAAGTATGCCCAGATTTACACCTGTTCCCTGCTCAGCTTTTGACCCATCTGTGTACCATTTCCCCTTGCAGGTTGTGCCTTTGGTGTTCCATTAAATCTACTGTTTTGGTCTCGAAGTTCTTTTTTTTTTATTACAAATTATTATGATTTTCATTATTAAATAACAAGTACTATAAACTCAAAAATTGTATCAGTGGAAGGTCCAGCACGATATCAAGTGCTGCAGCTGGAGGCAAGTCTCTGTACCTTGCCTAATTCTGCAAGTGTCTCATCCTTGGCCACCAGACTAGATATGCATAAATTATTATGGGTCTTACCATGATTATGTATGTGGAGTACATCATCGAAGGGCTTAATCTCCATGTTTTACCATGAGAGTGTTTGGACAACATTAAAGTTGACTCTGCTCTCCTTTTAATGCATTTTATCTGTGGATTTCAGGTCAGTTTGGAGTCTAGTATCACCCCCAGGTACTTAACTTCCCCCAACAGTTGTAATTTCTTCCTTCTAGTGCAAGCAACTATAGATGCCTTTGAGGGACTTTCATTTAAACATTTGTTTGATACCCATGTTGTGACCACATTCACAACCTTTTGCATGTTGCAACCTGTGATCCTGGTGTTGAATTTGCCTTACAATATAATAACGATGTCATTTGCATATCCTAGAATTCTGTGTCCATCTTGGTCTAGTTCCCTTATTAGCTCATTCACTACCAGGTTTCAAAGTAGTGAGAGGGGGGTTCAGTACACCCCCTGCGGGCATCCTCGGGTGATTTGAGTCACTAGGGTCTCTCCCTGACCTATTTTCCCAAGTTTAGTTTTTAGTGTTGATACTGGGAAGTGTACCGCTAGAAGCTCTCTGATAGTCTCTTTTCTGGTAGAGGTAAATTCACTATTTTCTGTTTCAAGTGTATTTATTGAGCTGTGAGCTTCCCTCGAGAGAATTTTTGAAAGCCTGGCACATTCTTAGGTCTTTCTTATTCTCTTTTGGACTTCCTCTGAGCCTTTTTTTATACCAAAGCAGCCGCGCAGGCAGAAGCCTAAATGCCAGGACACCGCAGCTGCTATGAGGATCCTAAATAAATTTTGATAATCCAATTTTTGAACTGCCTAAGGTTGTAGAACTGGAAAAAGCTTACTCTTGTAGGTTGTTCCACAATCTCGACACCCTCGGGACAAAGGAGCGGTCGTATCGGCCAGTTCTGGATGTACAAAGTTCAACACGGTTAGGATGGGAGGTCAAAGTCAGGTGGGTCTGTTTGGCAGGCACATCATTCGGCGGCATCATGGTAGAGTGCTCTGAGGAACAAAGCAGGGTGGTGTAGCTGTAGGAGAGAGCTAGATCGCCGACGCCCCGCCAGTGCGAAAGCCTTTTTGCAGAGTTGAACTTCCACCTTGCCCTGCTCCTCAGATTGGCAAGGTCGTCAGACGACTAGGGCACGTTCCTGTTTGTTCCCTTGCTTAAATGGGGGCAGTTGTTACGGAAGACGGATATGACAGCGTGCTGCAGTTATGCCGGTGCTAGTTCAAGTTTAAACCCGTTTAGGTAGTTCGTAGTCTTCCAGATTTTGGTCTAAACAGGTCCAGTTCCCAGTCTCTCTGAGGTTTAAGATATGTTGCTTTGATAGGTTCTGATTCCAATATGCTAAAGTCGATGTGTCTGTGATCCAAACATGACGTTATCAAACAAGTGGCAGTTCATTACTTTCACGCGGATAAAGGATGTTGCAATAGTTAGTGAGTGTTAGAACATCTCCAGATCAGATGGTATGCATTTGAGTGACATTCAATGATCAGGTCAGGTCCTTTCCCTCTGTAGCATCTCACTAGCTCTTCCACTTCCCTGGTTGGTGGTGGATCTGAACTGTCGAACGGAAGGTATGCCAATCCAAGTGTTAGCAACCTCGGCCATTTTCCATTCCCAGATTGAATTCTTACAGCGACAAGTCGCCTCGATGTTCGTAGTTGGTAGTAGTTTCAAGCCTTTTCTGGCTAGAATGCACGCTCTTGGGCTGGCGTATGATCTGCTATAGATTAGTTTTCTTCTTGTCCCCTTTTTTATAGTCCCACCCCACTGATGCATGCAGAAATGGGCAGGTCCCACGCGTTTCGCCAGATCCGTCACTGTCGTGTCCTGAATTAATTTCTACGACAGTATCTTTCTCAGGAGTTCCCTCAGAAGAGTCCATGCCTCTCTCTGTTTCACTCTCTTCTTCTTCTTATTTTCTGTTTCTCTGATCCATCTTTTCCTACGAGTACCGGGTCGCTACAGTGCATCCTCTCAGTGCCCCGATTAGGAAAATAAGGTGTAATTACGAGCGGGTGCTCCCGGTTTCCAGAAGGCTTCGTTCAAGGCACCGACCGCCGCCGGTGCCGTTCAGCCCTTGGCACGGATCGCGTAAAATTTTGGCTTAGGTGGTCTTCAGGTCGCTTCGAATGTTCAGTCGATTTCTCAAGAAGTGATTTCTTGAGAACTGATACTGATACTGGTAATGCTGTTGCCCATCACCGGAGTAATTCGGGACTCTAGACCAGATCCGCCAGGATTAGCGTGACGTGGCCACTGCGTGAAAGGTACAAACGTTTGCCCGTCGACGGAGGGCTGGTCAGAAGTTTCATTATCTGATCATCCCCCGCACTCTCTGGGACGGAATTAGGAGTCGTAACACTCTCCTGAGGCTGGAATAGCGTCGATATTTCTCTGAGGGTTACCTAAACGCCTTGGTCTGCTATTTATAGTATACTTTTTTGCCATTGCCAGTTTAGTCAATTTATATATGATGCGGCAGCATAACTTTCTTTTTTCAAAATTTAATAAAACCCATTGTATAAATCGTTTTTATTTTCTTTTAGGCGAGTGCCTACAGTTTTGTTTTACACAGTTTTGAAGATCAAATCAGATAGGTGATGTCCCCCATTCTCCATACATTGAATAAGCCGATTTGTGGTGTGGTTATGTTGGCAATTTATTCCTGGATGTTGGTCTTCAAATCTTGTAGGGTCCTTAGATGGTTGACATAAACACGAATAAAACAGCCATAGATGCCCTAAAAGTGTGTGCCATTGCACCGTCTTATTGGAACCAAAGGCCCATAAGTTATTGTCAATTGAAAAAGGTCATAATGGTGGCCGTCAGTAAAAAGTAATTTAAGTATTTGTGGTTTCATTTAGCGGCCAGAAAATCATGGAGGCCTATCAGCATGAAAACCACAGGATAAATTTCAGGTGTTACATTAACTAAACTGCTCCTGTTTGAAATCCTTTTATAACATCCTGGTGCTTTTCTTCCAGCTCATAGATGGCATCTGCCAACAACTATTAAACTTCTACAGATCAGGAGAACCCCATTTAAAAAAATTCACTATGCAATTCATACCAAGCCTGGCATTCCTCCACCTCACGGACAAATCGCAAACATCTGTTCAAACCCTACTAGTCAGCCTGTACAACCTAGAAGTTATTGATTCTAAAGGGCAACCTAGAACTGTATCCTTTAGAATTCCCAGCATCGCCCAGTCTTCTATATACCATGATTCTAGCACGCTAGAATCAGCTTTCACAGCTCAAAATTCTTTGAGGCGATGGGAAGAGTGTAATTCAAAATTGATAAGTTGGGGTCCATTGCCTCAAGTTGAGTGCCTCAATGCTCAAAATAGGCAGAGGGTTGTGACAGCTTTGATGTTTTTGTATACCAGGCAAATGGCTGATGTTATACAACAGGGGATTGAGTTCACTTGTAGAGGAATCTCAAGGTAAGAAATCGAATATCTTCAGTTTTTGTTATTAATTTTTGCCATTATTTTTAAACCGCTCACGAAGTGTATTTTAATTTTAGGATAGTGACACAAGGATTTAGTATGTCATCCGTAAGCAACCGTAGTTCATGTGCCAGTGACAGTAGCTTACAACACAGCTCTCTGCCTAGAGTTCCAGTATCAGGTCCTCTATTGATTGAACTGTGCCACTTGATATATCATGCTGCTGAAAGATGTGCCGCTATGGCGATACAAGCTTTACATGACGTTATACAGCGAGCTAGTTACGAGTGTTATGCAGGTAAAAAAAAAGAATTAACAACAGAAAATTTGTATTAACCCAAAGTGAAAATTATCAGAAACAATACACAAAATCAAGGAACGAGTGTGTAGCAGTTCTCAGGATAATAAGATCGATAGCAATAAAAATAATACTAAAATGATGTGGAACACATTAAATAATATTGTTTCTCCAAATAGAAAGGATGAATGACCTAAAATGCGTTTCAAAGATGGGGTAGTGACAGAAAAAATAATTATGGCAGACGATTGATGACGGTGATCCCAACTTATGTTCATTACAAGTGTATCATAATTCAACAATGAATCAGTTAAGGACAATGAACATCAGCAATCTAAGAAAAGCTATCTCAAAATTGAAATCTAATAAAAATCCTAGAGAAAATCTCTCAAAAAAGATTCTAAATGAATGCTTCAGTATAACTGGAGAGAAATTATTATTATTGGCGAATCATTGTTTAGTTCATGGTGAATTCCCATCAAAGAGTTCCTTTGCCAAAAGTTCAACATTCTGAGCTATACAAGGTGGCCTATCCATGTGTGGACGGAATATTACTCATAAACAAATACATTTTGAGAAAATCTATTTAAGGCATGTTATACGAGCCCCTTCCCACTTCATTTGGCCCAACTATTGAAATCTTAGTTTTTTTCTTATCAAACACAAATAATAAAAATGTAGCAGGGTGTTATAGGTTTAAAATATTAACAATGAATATTTTGATAATATATAGTAGAAGACACCAACTTTATCACTCCCTAATCAAATTTGCAGCATAAAAATAACACCTGTTGCAATTACAGCATATCAACCTATTTTCATTTCAATGCAAAATAAGTCTATAACGCATAGGTGGCTGTGAAAAATAAAAGCCATGACAATTGTTTTTATTAATCACAGCTGTCGGAATACGTTTAAAATAGTTTTGGGTAGTTAAGGTTTTCAAAATGGGTAGAGGAAAGGTTATTAGTGAGAAAATTCGGTTAGTGATGTATACATTTTTTAATTCTGGGAAATCAAACTCAGAAATTGCAACTTTGTTAGACTTATCGCGGTACAGTGTGAGAAATATTGTTAGAAGATATAACTTAACTGGCACAGTTAATATTAAGCCACGATATGTGAAAAACAGTAATATCACAAATGCCGACCGAAGAGCATTAAGAAGAATAATCGTGAAAAACAGGCGTGTCAATTATTTACAATTAAATGCTCATAGAGAGGCCCACAAACTTTGATTTAGCACTTGCAAGGTAAGTTTTCTTATAAAAAAAGTGAAGTAAAAACCCTAAAGTTGCACAACTTGTTTATAGGCCAAAGAAAAGCCACTATTAACTCCACTGCAAAAGAAAAATCGGCTTAGATGGGCTAAAGAACATAGACAATGGACACCTCAACAATGGTGTGCAATACAATGGAGTGATGAGGCCCGATTCAAAGTTTGTGAAATGAAGCATTCCATGTTGACTGTCTGAAGAGAAATGTGTAATTGCCAGCATCCATTATGGTCTGGGGTAGTATGTCATCAAAAGGAGTAAGAAAACTTCATTTTATTGATAGAAATGTGGATACAAACAAATATTTAGCAATTTTAGAAGAATCGCTTTTACCAGTGATGGAAGAATGTTTGACATCCGGCCAAGATTTTGTGTTTCAGCAAGATGGTGCAGCGTGTCATACCTCAAAAAAGGCTATAAAATGGATGGAAGAAAATAATGTACCACTTTTGAAATGGGTTTCTAGCAGTCCAGATCTGTCACCTATTGAAACTTTGTGGCGCGAGATGAAAAAGGTTCTACGACAACATCCTTTTCGTACAATCAGCGAACTGAGACAAAAGCTTCAAGAAATATGGGATTGTTTTACACCAAATTTTTACCAAAACTTGGTTAACACTATGCCCCAAAGAATTTCAGCCGTAATAAAAAATAAAGGTGATGTTACCCAATGATAATCTTTCAATTGTTGCTTTGTTAACTTCGCGCATTTATTGGCACATTGTTTATTTGTTCAGATATTCTATTAGTTATAGGTCTAAGTGATTTAAAATATGTATTTTTTACGACTAGAGTGTATCTAAAATGTTTTTGAGAAAATAAATTGTTTTAGAAGTAAATAGTTTCGTCATGTTTGGTTTATAAAGGCATATTTTGGTACAAATCTTGAAGTGGGCCAACTGAAGTGGGAAGGGGCTCGTACATGACATTTGAGGGCGCATTTCTAAAAGATTTGCAATTATACAGGGTGTCCCAATTTTGACCTACATATCAAAGTTGTGATTTTTTAAATGGAATGCGTCAAATTTTATTGCATTTTTGGATAAACCAATTCAAAAGAAGATAATTGATATTGCATACTATGGGGTTCTGGTAATTAGCTACTGATATATAAGGTATTTTGTCTAGAAAAACCCTCCACTTTTTGGAGTACTGAATTTTGTATGAAAAAAACTTACACACCTGAGCTTTTATCTTATTTGTTACTTTTTTGAATTGTAATTTTTGCACATACAGGGTGGTCAAAAACGCAAATTGTGTTTTTTCTCAAACATTTCAATTGCATCACCCTGTATATTTGTGAAAGTTTGGATTCAACTTTTTATAAGCTTTTTTTGATACTAGACACATAAGGGTTTTACGGCTATTTTTTCAGTTATTAGCACGTCTTTTATGGAACGGCTTAATTTCCTAAAGCCGCGTATCGATTACGCGCTCCTGGAGCGCGCGCGAGGAATGACCGCGCCGTGCATGCGTTCCGTGAAACACGTTCTATTTGTTTGAGGTATATCAACTGAGCGCGCGTGGCGACCGTTCCAGTGTTTTACCGTTCAACATGGATGTTGGTCGTGTACGAGCAGCTGCCGCGTTTATACTTATTCACAATATTATACACAAGCGAAAACAGAAACGAAAAGTGCGTTGGTGGATGAAATAATTGTACCGAAATAGACTGCAGTATGGAGTGAGACTTATGAGAGGTATATGCAGTTTGAAGCTGTTGGTGACACAATAAAAAACTTTACAAGAATGTCAACAGATGACTTTAATCAATTGAGAAATTTGATTGAGCCAAGGGTAAACAAAATGGACACCCAGTTTCGAGAAGCTATCACAATGACCGAAAGGTTGGCTATAACCTTAAGATTTTTAGCCACTGGAGACTCTTATACTAGCCTTCAGTACCTTTTTAGGGTTTCAAAACAATCTATATCTAGAATAGTCCCTGAAGTATGTGATGCCATCAGTGAGGTTTTGAAGGATTGGGTAAAGGTAAGTAAAGAAATCGAAACATTAAGAAACTTCTTTTTATTCAACTAACTCTTATAATAATAACTATTGTAATAATAATAATAATTGGCCATTATCATTAGGTGACATTGTGGCTGAGGAATCATCATGTAAAGTAGGTGTTGAGGAACTTTGAGTCTCTTGATGTGTCGTGTACCGATACGTTGGACTATACTTGCCTAAATCAGCCTCAAAAATGACATGATTTATTGCTTGTTTCACGTATATTAAAGTGTGATTGACATACTTTCTCAATTCATTTGCTATGTGCTGGCCATAACTGAAATATGGATCAGTAGCTTGAGACGTTTCAGTAAGAATTTTAAATGCTTCCGTCAACATTTCGTTTTCCTCTTCATCATGTTTTCGTTTCTTTGCGTTCTTCTTAGCAGGTTTTTCTCGATCCTTGGAGGTATCAACCTCTTTTGATTGTTCATTCATATTATCATACCACCCTACAATATTTTCTTCATTATTTTGTTGTAAAGTTTCTTGTGAAGATTATTATGTGAAGTAGATTCCTGGAAAACGTGCGTATATTTATTAAGTATTTTTTACAGATCCCCACCTCAGAGGAAGAATGGTTGAAAATTGCGGAAGAATTTGAAGAAAAATGGAATTTTCCTCATGCTATAGGTGTCATGGATGGAAAACACGTTATGATACAAGCACCTGTTAACAGCGGCACGGAATATTATAACTATAAACATTTTTTTAGTATCGTCCTATTTGCACTTGTAGACGCAGATTACTCTTTTAGATACGTTGACATTGGTTGTCAAGGAAGATTTTCTGACGGAGGGATCTTTAAACATACTACATTATACAGAAAACTCGAAGAAAAGTCTATGAAAATTCCTCAGCCATCTATACTCTAAATACCATATGCCATACGTAATTTTGGCAGACAAAGCTTTCGCACTAAATGAATACACAATGGAACCATTCCAAGGGGAGCCAGAGAGAGAGCCTATTAAACGAGTGTTTAACTGTCGTCTGTCAAGAGGACGTAGAGTGGTGGAAAATGCTTTCGGAATCGCAAGCTCGGTTTTTAGAGTTTTAAGGAAACCTATGTTACTGTCACCTGATAAAGCTGGAAAAGTGGTTTTACCTATTATACATTTACACAACTTTTTGAGAAAAAAATCCAACTCCCAATACACGCCACATGGATCTTTAGACATGGAGACCGATGCTGAAATAATACTTGGAAGTTGGAGAAATGACAGTGAATCTTCATCATTACTTCCTATAACTAATTTATCACGTAGAAGTGGAAATGACGCTAAAGAAATACGCTTACATCTTGCAAAACATTTCGTCACTAATGGAAAGATACCATGGCAAAATAGGTATTAAAAATATTTGACATCATTTACGTACCTGCATAGTGTCTGTTGTGTCATTGGGTGTAAACTTGTCTTGCATGAAACTGAAATCGTCAAAACCAAACCATTTTGATACATACTATCTCGACCTGTAAACAATTAAAATAGGTATGAAGAACTTAACTAGTTTTATTTAGAGTGAACCCACGAAATACTTAAAATGGTTTTTGTTTTATATTAAATACAAATAGTTATCAGAAATTATATTTAAACAAGATATTATTGTTCAGGCATAAATATCAGTGTAGATAGTTACCAGAGCCAGTAATTTGGCTTTTAGATATTCTCCATTTTTCTCTTCTGTAGGATGACAAGAGCACGGTCATTTTTTTCTTCAGTTCTGGCACAGATATTCCTATTTCAGCGTTTATTTCTCTCCATGCGTTTCTCTGAGCGCTTTATTATGATAAAAACGACTTTTGTTATTCCACAATAATTCTTTTGAACCATACATTTTAATCAATTTACGGCAAGTTTGGTTATCCATAGCTCAGAGCGCAACGAACACCTAAGCCGGAACAACCGTTCCAACTGGCGCGCGAGCCAATACTGAACCTCCTTTGATACGCGGTATAAAACCGACACCAGATGGAACGGTCCGCTTCACGTTTGACCGTTCCAACGAACAATTTGGCGCGAGTTCCAAGGCGGTATCCATTTCACGCGGCTGGAGCGTGCGCCAATGTTCGACTTCATGGAGCGCGTAGTCGATACGCGGCTTAAAATATTGCATCATCCTTGGAAACAAATAAATTGTTGATTAGTTGCAAACTGTCAAAATTAGCTTTGTGAGCATTATAATAAAAATGTGTTTAAAAATGAATTTTTCTAAAGAAGAAATACGACATCCAAGGCCGGAAACATTTTCCAAACTACGAGAAAGGTTTGAATCAAGTGGAGCAGTGGAATATAGTAAAAAATGTATAAATAATTCAAGTGTCACCAATGAAGCGAATCAGTTGCAGGTTCTATTATAGTTGCAGGAAAATCCCCATTTAAGTACACAGCAAATTGGAGCAGAAAATGATATATGCAGAAATTCTGTCCAAAGGATTATTCACAAGCGTAGGTACCATCCATATCACCTATGCTTGCATCAAGGCCTTCGTCCTCAGGATTTCGCAGCTGAATGGAGTTTAGTAGAATAATGCTAAATAAAGTGAATGAAGACACTACTTTCCTGGATAAGGTTCTTTTTAGGGATGAGGCAACTTTTAACGGCATAGGTGTTGTCAATAGGCATAACGTGCACTATTATGCGACGGAAAACCCTTACTGGGTTAGCCACATAGATTTCCAAAATAAATGGAGCTTGAATGTTTGGGGAGGCGTTATTGACAGACAAGTTATCGGACCTTTGTTTTTCGACAACAGATTAACAGGCATAAAATACTTGAATTTTTTGATCGAGCATTTGCCTTTGCTGTTGGAGGATGTTAACCTGCAAACTCGGATGCTTATGTACTTCCAACATGACGAAGCATTATCATAATCGTATGCGTAACTATTTGGACACCTGGAGTAACAATCGCTGGATCAGTCGTGGTGGGCCTATATCTTGACCTCCTAGTTCACCGGATATGACACCGATGGACTTCTTTCTATGGGGCTACGTTAATCAAGAGGTTTAGAGATATCCATCATCTACCCCGGAAAATATGAAGGAAAGGATTAAGGATGATTTTCTGAACAAAAGGGAACACATACTGAGGGATGTGCAACGGTCATTTATTCAAACACTACGGCTGTATATTCTCAACATGATGGAGATATTTTCGAGCAGTTTTTGTAGATTAGGTCCTGAGAAGTGATAGTTGTTTATTTATGTTGTTGTTATAGTTGTTTTTCTCTATTACGCTTCAAGCTGATTTATACTGTTCTGATTGTTATTCGTTTTTACGTCAAATCTGAACTTTTAGTAATTTTTTCCTTAATGTTTGTGTGTTGTTCTATTAAAAGCTTAATAACTCAAAATCTAGTAATTTTATCTGAATCAAACCTTATACAAAAAAAACATAAAAGATTTAATACAAACTTGCACAAATACACAGGGTGATGCATTTGAAATTTTTGAGTAAAAGTACAATTCGCGTTTTTGACCACCCTGTATGAGCAAAAATGAAAAATCGAAAAAGTAACAAATAAGATAAACGCTGAGGTGTGTAAGTTTTTTTAAAACAAAACTCAGCACTCCAAGTTTCAAAATGGCGGATTGAGGGGTTGCCGAAGTGGACGGTTTTTCTGGACAAAACACCTTACATCTCGGTAGCTAATTACCAAAACCCCATAGTATGCTATATCAATCTTCTTCTTTTGAATTGGTTTATCCAAATATGCAATAAAATTTGAGGCATTCCATTTAAAAAACACAACTTTGATATATAGGTCAAAATTGGGACACCATGCATAATTGCCAATATTTTATAAATGTGCCCTCAAATGTCATGTATAACATGCCATAAATAGATTTTCCCAAAATGTATTTGTTTATGAGTAATATTCCGTCCACACATGTACAGGGTGCGGCAGGACGGACGCGAACAGTTCGAACTCCTGCAAATGTTGAACGCGTTCGAGAGGTCTTTCTTCGCAGTCCGACTCGATCTGCCCGGAAACATGCTGCTGCACTTCGCCTTAGTGATCGTTCGGTAAGGCGAATTTTGCATATGGATCTCCGATTTCACCCCTACAAATTGGCCATTGTGCAACAGTTACAGCCCGGAGATTATGCACAACGAATGAACTTCGCACTGATCGATCAAAATGAGAACCTCATTTTGTTTATGAGTGACGAAGCCCAGTTTCACAAGCCCCGAACTCTGGACGAATTGAGGGGCGAAATTCGCGTGGAAGTCGCCCAAGTTGAGAGAGCGATGTTGGAGAGAGTCTACTCGAACTTCCAAGAACGCCTCCGGCACTGCATCAACGGTTTCGGCCACCACATACCTGATGTGATTTTCCACACTTGACTGTCTCAAATTCTATTTCCTTGTGAACCTGATTCCATCAATAAATTTGTTTTCGAGTAAAAATTAACTATTTTATGATTTTTTTAAAACAGTCCATCCTCTCTGCCGCACCCAAATATGCGACTGATGACGAGAATCTGTTCGAAGTGATTATATACGAACAAATTATTCAATTCTTGGAAAAAAAACAAACATTTGACAGATTTAGAATATTCTACAGAAACACCACTCCAAATCGTGGTGGAAGATTGGAGAAGTATAGTTGAGAAAGAATGTAATGTAACAGTATTTTCAGACTTGAAAAATGCATTTGAAACTATAGATAGGCAGAAATTGTTAATGAAATTGAAAAACATTTTAAAAAAATATTTAGTAAATAGAAGTCAAAAAACTAAAATTAGAAATATTGTGTCAAGCGTAGGGGTGAAAATTAGGGCCATTATCGTCATTAAACATATGGACACTGCTTCAGAAATGCTAAATAGTGATATTAAAACAATCATAAATTGGTTAAATGTAAATAAACATAAATTAAACACTAATAAAACAAAATCTATGTCAATAGGGAATCATTTAGGTGACGATACAATTAGGCTCATGATTAATGATGAAAAAATTGAAGTAGTCAAATCATTCAAATATCTGGGTATATATGTGGATAGTAAACTACTGTTTCAAGAGCATTATGAATACATTATTTCAAGAATATCAAAAAAGATAAATTACTTCTATAGAATTTCCCATAATTTCAGTATGTATTCCAAAAAAATTGTGTATAACAGTATAATTCTTACCCATTTTTTATATTGTTCAACCATCTTGTTCACAGTGAATAAAAACATATTTTCAAAAGTTCAAATAATACAAAATAAACCTAAAAGAATAATATTTTAATTAAAAGCAAATCTGCTATGTTAAAAGGACTATTGTAGTTGAATGTAAAAAAATGTATATGTTATTTAGTTTTCATTTTCATATTCAAATTAAAAAATCACTTATTACCACCACATTTAGAAAACTTCACAAGATTAAAATAGTCATAACTACGAAAGTATAGATTTTCATCTGTAAAATTCTGTAATAATAGCAGCATAACTCGCAAATCTGTATTTCAAAAGGGAGAATTTGAATTTAATCATTTGAATAATGATATTGAACAGTGTTCCAAATTAAAATGCATAGTGATGTATTTCTAATAGACAACCAACTAGAATCACAGAAAATTCGTTCAAAACATGTTTAAATGAATAATTATACAAATTGAAGTTGTAGCATAGTGCTAATAAAATGTTCAACAAACAAAAATCTTTGAATGTTAGCTTGCGTTTTTTTGTTTAAATTGCAAAACATGAATTTGAATTTGCAGAAGTTTTGTTGGCTGGAAATGCGATAAAAAACCTGATGCATCACTCGCCGACAGTATCTGCTGCTCCACGGCCGTCTCACAGTCATGGCGTGTCAAAATCCATGATTACAAATGCTTCTTTCCGCACCAAAAAGCTGCCTGGTAAGTGGTGTTTACATACACTTGTAATTTAATGATGTGTTAATCTGACAGTCGGAACTCGTTAGAAATTATCATTTTAAGACCCGTATCGTCAGTCGTTCCTACAATTGTAGGACGCCTTTATGGCCTCCTTGATTGTCGTAGTTTTCTACTTTTCCGTCTCAGCGCTCTATTTATATTTCACAAATATCTATCTGTATCAAATTGTGCACGCTTTTGTTTTGTATCAAGTTTTATCAGCCTGAAATTTCCTACAATTTAAAAAGAAAACATATCTTCACAATAGGAGAGCGCTGACGCTGACACGGAACAGGTGCCTTAGGCCCGTATCGTCAGTCGTTCCTACAATTGTAGGACGCCTTTATGGCCTCCTTGATTGTCATACTCTTCTCTCCTTCAAACATTTCTAGATTACACTCGTCCCGTGTCAGCGTCAGCGCTCTCCTATTGTTAAGATATGTTTTCCTTTTAAATTGTAGGAAAATTCAGGCTGATAAAACATGATATAACTCAAAAGCAAGCACAATTTGATGCAAATAGATGTTTGTGACATAACCTCAAAATAGAGTTCTGACACGGAGAAGCAGAAAACTATGACAATCAAGGAGGCCATAAAGGCGCTCTACAATTGTAGGGACGACTGACGATACGGGCCTAAGTCACTTCAATTAGTAATGTGGTAGTAACCTTCGAAAAAAATCCCATATGCCGTTAAAAAAATGCATAATATAATCCTATTTTTATGCGTTTACATCCATTGCTATAGCCTCGATAGGTTGTTCAATGGATTCCTTTGAATCCTCATGACATTGATTAGATAATGTGTGATGTAAAAAGTTATGTTTCATTTAAGAAAAGTCAAATGTTTGTCGAGCTGTGAAAGTAGATTTAGAAAAATTCATGATTATACAACGGCGTAGCGAATTCAGAATTGTTTTGGGTCCGGCTACAACGTTGTTTTTGACCTTTAAGGAAAATATCATAGATAAAATCTAAAGGCATTTTTATTCCGCAATAGGAGATTTCATTGTGAATGATCATTCATGCATATTTTCCTTTTATAAGATGACTTAGGGAAACAAGAAAACTCCATAACCTGATAAAGCGCGGCACGCACCAAGAATGAATATGTCAATCGTGTCATGAAGAAATATGCATGTTTGTATTGAAATAGATGGTCATTGAGTAAAGAATGCTCTTGTTCTGGTAAGATACTTTGTTCGGGCCTGGGACAAGAGTATAGAGAGTTTATTCATTATAAAATACACCGCACATACATTGTCATTTATGATAAATAACTACAGTTAAGAAGATATAAACAAAAATATTTGGTTTGTAATGAACGAAGGAATTCAATAATCCACAAGCCCGTATTGCTGCTTGTGATGTTGAAACTGTCGAAACCGTGGCGATCATATTCTGGTCAAAATACGTCAAAAGTAGTAAAAAATGAAATAATGGTACAAGTTGTTAACTCATTACTTTTGTGTCAGACCTAATATAATTTTAATAATTTCTGTTGCCGTTTTGTAACAAGTTTTCACTTTTCTTATTATCTACACCAATCAGTTTGTCTATTTAAAATATTGTATCGACACTGCGCTTAGCACGATGTATCTTTTGATCCTTTATACTTCTTAAGATGCTTATTTTTCTTTCAGCATTTTCGCAGATTCTCATTAAAAATATGAACTGGCTTTTACTATTTTACTACTTTGTAGAAGTATTGCGCAAATGCTTTAAACGGCAGACATCTGTATTATTTTCCTCTGATGTACCACATTTTACTATATAGCTATGGAATAAGTGGTGATATGGAATACTAAAAAATAATGTGGCATGCCTAACTAGGTCACCCTACAGAGACACACGCCCCTGAAGGGCGCCAGTGTGGCGAAGTTGATTAAAATTTATAAGATGTTTCAAAAATAACTTGGTTGCAGATGATATACCAATCCAAGATCCAAACCAAACAACTCAATCTGAAGTGCCTCTAGACTCGATAACAGAAGAACATGAAGATGGAGATAAGAAATCGAAAGCCGGTGCTTTGAAACACTTACCTAAGCTACCAGGGCTTAGTAAAAAGCATAAACAGAATAAGCAAGGAGAACAAGTAAGTATTTTTGTTGATTAGATAACATAGACCAAAGGAAATACAATCAACCAATATCACAGCACTTAGTTTCCTTGATACAGCGGCTCAATGGCTACGTAAGGTTGAATCATCAGCCACCCCAAGCTATCGAAAAATTTGGTGATGTCACTCAGCAAAGTTTCCCAAACTGGCCATAGAAGGTCAATGCTCTCCTAGAATGAATTCTCGTGTTGATATCCTATTCCAAGCAATGCTAAACCGTCTCGACTATCTGTTAACATACCCTACATAAAGATGTATCAATTTTAGTTTCTGTAGCTGATAATATCCAGCCGTAATGTCAGTAGCAGATCGAAGCTGATCTCAAGACATATATATATATATATATATATGAGACGTGGTCATTGTCGTCTAGACCAGTTAGGTGAAAAATTAAAGCTTCCGCCTTTTGTTGGGTACTTCGACAAAATTTAAGTAAGGAGGACTCTTTATACTTTTTTTATTCTCTCTAGCTTTCAAAGGACTTTGCCATCATCATCAGGAGAGTAGTATGTGAGGATGTTGCTAATTGTTGTTTACGTTAAGGATGAGGGAAACACCCAGTAACATGGTGAAAGCTGGATAAATGGTACAATGGTCAAAATTATACAAACTACACACAGCTGTATGACAAGAACAAGTTAAAAACAGATTAAAAAATATTTAAAACGAAAGTTAAGCATTACATCGTGAAGCCACTTGATGATTGCACAAAATGGTGCCCACCATGTTGTGGAATAAAGAGTCCTCCTTGCCTAAATTTTGTCAAAGTACCCAACAAAAGGCGGAAGCTTTAATTTTTCACCTATATATATATATATATATATACAGGGTGACTTTGAAGTTGAGTCATTAATTTTCAGATAATGATTGTAGAAGGAAGATAAACCAAAATATGTGTGTAAAAATAAAAAAAATGTTACCTTGTTTTATAAAGTATCCTCCCGACAAGTATTTCAGTGCGGACCTGTATTTGATCGTGCGGTCTTGGAGCACCGGCATGCCCTCCCCTGTGAGGTCTTAAGTCACCTGATTCACGAGCCCTTTGTACTACATTCAGCATTTTCGTAAACATGTGCCATTTTTTATTTCGTTTGAGTCACGCAACAAACACCACTATTCACTCACGCGGTACCGACTGACACATCGACTGAATACAACTGAATAAAATTGTACATTGTAGTAAAAACATCGTTTCAAATTCTTTCGCTTTTTTGTTTCCGATGCGATGAACCGATAAGGCGGATTATATACGTTGTTGCCAAACACGAGCACATAATATTATTGAGACAGGGCGGTACTCAAACTTCTAAAGGGCTATAACTTTGTTACTTTAATTTTACACAAAAATGTTAACGGAAAAAAACATTTCTTTTGATCAGATCTACTCACTGTTAAAATAAATGACTCAACTTCGAAGTCACCCTGTATATATATATATATATATATATATATATATATAGCATATTGCTACTTTATGACTAGGAAGGACTACTTTGAAGACCTTGTGAGTGTATCCTTTTAGCATAGTTGTCATGACTCCGATGCAGAGATTTTATGGGCCCAGAATTTTGGTTTTAACAACCCTTCATGTCAGTCGGCCAGCTCTTAAATTGTGAGTGATACTTCACACAGGAACAGTCATATTGCTGTTGATAGAGGCACTCACAAGTGCCAAAGGTCAAACGAGTGCTGTTCTTGTTATGAGCTAACACCCTATATGATTGTGTTTCGTATTTTCAGGTGGAGATGGCTGGTGGAGATCAAGAAAAGGGTAACGTCGAAATAAACCACGCGGTGCATGTTAGTGCAGTTTAAAATATGTGAAGATATAGTTTGAATAATCCCTTCACATATCCGAGTCATACTTTCTTATCATCACTGTTATCATACTCAGATATTGTAAAATCGTCGTCACGGCCAGGGGTCAATTCTTGGTAATGACGGTGTGAAATAACCAGTTTAAAGTGTTATATTCCTTTTTCTGGTAGCCTTTGACGTATTTTTGACAGGGCCAGCTTCTATCGCCACTCCTGCCCGAACAAGAATTTCACAATGGTGGATAGCGTTGCGTTTTAGTACCATAGGTACTCGTAGGTCATCATTTTCTCAGAGCCGTATATATACATATACGTACCTGCATACATGTACAACCTAGCAAGCAGTAACCTATTGCTGGTTTCTTAGTATGTTCTTATCATCTTGTACCTTACTCAGATTCATCCGCCTTACTGTCACTGGTCAATCCAAGTTTAGTAATATTTGGGATCAACCTTGCACATGTTGCATAATATTTCTCCTGTCATCTAACAAAAAGCGACTCCCCTTCATCACTTCTAGCTTCAGCGCCTTTTTATAGAATGTGGATTTCTCCTCAGCCAGAAAATTAATGCGGGATACCAGCCACCATTAGCAGTGCATCGGTCGACACCGTTCTTTAAGCACAGACCAGCTGTCTATATTTCTTTTTCCTCAATGCCTTGTTATATTGTAGATAGAAGCTCCGTATGCAGCGACTTTACCTTGTCGCTTTACACACGCTGAGATACTTGATAGCATTTTGGCTGTACAAATATCAGCATTCTCAATAGCCATTGAAGTTAGCTTCTGTCTACTGGAAATATAATCATTTCGGTCTTCTCATGAATTAACTTCAAGCGATTTTCTTCCATCCATATGGAAATTCTGATGTTTCCAAAAGTCTTCATAGTATAAGTCTCTCCTTGCTAGTCACTATCATCGCCAGGTCATCAGCATACACTATCATGCAAATTCCCGGCAGCATCTGCAGTCGAAGATTCCCGTCGAAGAACAGGTTCCAAAGCAACTGCCTTAGGATGAAGCCCTGCGCCACTCCCATTATTACTTTCATGTTTTTTGTCCAATCTCTTCTCGTTAAATTAACTCTTTATTATGTTCAATAAATAGCTAGAGGTGTCTACCTTCTAGATATTTCCAACGATTTTCTGCCATTGTGCCATTCTTGATGTCGAAGGCAACCCATAACGCAAAACCTCTTACTATCGTAGCTGCCGCTATCCGCAGCTTTCGCCCTTTCTAAATTCATATTGCGCGGGAAACAGAGTGTTCTTTTCCTCGATATATTTTCTTAATCTAATCAGCAGTTCTAGTAGCTTTCCCAGTGAACTCGGCAGAGATCTGTATTCTGTACTATCAAAAATTGACCTACAGGTTGCCTTTATGAACAGTCATTATTTTTTTTATACTTGAATCACCACGAAGGCCTAAACCCTAAACTCCCAATGGGTACCGTGGGGCAATAGTGGGATATAGGGGAAAGGGGGAGACGTTACACGGACTCTGACGAGGGAACATGTGTGCATGCAACATGCTCTTATGCTGGCCCCACCTTGATCCGGCGGGTGGTACCTCCGCGCTCGGCAGTCACAGACTATCCGGTACGAACTACTACTACTACCTTACTACCAGCAAGAAAAGTGTGGTACCCCTCGGCAGTTCGTTGCTGAGGAAGCGTCTTTCAAGGTTGACGGCGCTGCTAAAGAAATCAGAACATGAAAGACGGTTTTACTTATCTTGAGTTTGCATAATTTGGTTTTATACTGGTGATTTTGTTTACAGATTACAAGCAAAAAGGGTAAAATAGGGGTATGAGGGTGAAGTAAATTCAAATAAAATGTAGTTCAATATTCAACGGGCATGAAGAAAGGTTTATGGAAAGTAGAGAGAACTTATAAAAGTGAATAAATTATTTTGTAAAGAAATGCATAAACTCATATTTAAATGTCAAATCTCATAAACGAAACCGTATTCTTTCTGATGTACTAAGTATACAGGGTGTCCTCAAAGTTGGAACTTTACAGAGCGTATAGATCAGGCACTAATAGACATTTTTAGTAACACATAAAGCTTTAAAATAACCGAGATCTTAGGTTCCAAAAGCAGTAAATGAACCAGTACGACCCTGCCTCCCGCCCCTCTCACAATCGTCTCATACGTCAAAACGTATGATGTAGTCTTAGTGAGTCGGTAACCAAATCAGTTGTCGTGTGGTTTAGTTTATAACAAACCGCATTCGAAAATCTGAAATTGACACACTCCTAGAGCAATAACGTAGTTATCGATTTGATATGAGCATCTTCAAGATCCTATTGATATTCCGCGAGTGCACTCAGAACGTCGCTGTCGCCCTCGATGTTTCTTTCCATCAGAGCTGCATGTTTGTTTGTATCGTGCAAAAGCAATATGGTTGAACACAGTGGAAGATATAGGCAGCCCCAAATGTTGCAAACTTGGGAAGAGGTAAACAAACTCGTGTTTCTGAATCGAACAGAGACAACTTCAAGCAGTGTTCACAAACAAAACATGTGACAGGGCAGTTCCGGAAATTCCTTACCAATAGTTAGTATTTTTGTTCAATTTTTTACGTTTTCGGTGTTGTTTTACCGCAATTTAGCTTTCGTATTGCAAAAGTAGTTGACTCTGAAAAGGAAAGTCCCAAACTTTCAGGACACCCTGTATGCACTTGCTCTAAAAAACGAATCACTCAAACGTTTTGTAAATAGCGTATTTATTAACAGACAAATATAATACATTTAAGCAATATATTGTTGTATATCTTGTTATAGCCTTCATGTGATATCTGATTGTTGGTTTATTTTCTCCTAAAACAATTGGAGTGTGCGGGATGTTTCGCACAAATTCGAAAAATTTAATATTTTTTTTCAATTCTGGATAGTTGAAGCATTCTCTCGTGTATAAGTATCATTCCAGACGTGGGTTGTACATGACCTCTTTCATTTTGGATAATTTTTGAAAAACTTATGCGAATGACATAGAAAAAAGCACGCAGATACCAGTAGAATCAAACAATTTTCCAAATTTGTTATGAAACATTCTGTACAAGTAGATATGTATGGATATTTTTTTGAATAAGATGTTACACAAAATTACTCTAATATAGGTCTAATTGCCACTATGTGTTTCTAAAAGTAGTTATCATTCAAATATTGTCAAGACTAAACCATCTGATATACGAAAAACCAAGTATTTCATATTATGTATCATGTTTCTAAATAATTGTCCTCATCATTCGTTCATACATATATTTTTCAATATCACAGTGAATGTATTCAAAACTTGTTACCAAAAACTTGATGCAATTTTTGTGAAGAATTATTTTGTGATATGTAGTTTATGAAGTGAATAAATTACGCATAACATATATAGGGTGATTCAAATTGGGTTTCCACATTAAAAGTATTTAAAAAAAAGAAGACATTGAAAATTATAAAAAAGTGTGTGTTTGCCCTTTCAGGGCAGTTCATTGCAATCATGCTTGAAAGATGATATCAAGTAAATGACCGCTGCGGCTCATGTGGCATGACGTAATCCGTTTCGAGAAATTTTCGACTACTCCGTGGCACAAATCAGGTCCTATGTTGGTAATTCCGCGACTGATCTCCTGTTTCAGCTCCACAATTGTGTTCGGGTTATTCTTGTAGACTTTGCTCTTGAAATACCCCCAAAGAAAATAATCTGAGGAAGTTAAATCACAGGATCGCGGCGGCCAATTGATATCGCCGTTACGTGAAATAACGCGACCTGGAAACTTGCCGGGCAGTAATTGTATCGTTTCTCCTGATGTGTGACCTAGGCTCCAATTCCTGTGTTATTTGGACTCTATATGGGTGTAACTTCAAATCTTTTGTTAAAAGGTCCAGTTGCTGCGATTGATGACGAATCGAGATTCTTGGATTTGCGGCCACACTTTCGACAACAATAGCAATATTGTGTTCCGACCGACCTCTACGAGCACGCCTAGGGGTTTTGGTGTTAGCGACGGATCCAGTTTGCTCGAATGTTTGCACCAAATTCAAAACTGTCCTATCACAAGGCCGATTTTGTGCGCCAAAAAATTCACGTAAAGCACAAAATGTATTCTTCCTTGATCGGCCGTTTTCATTATAGGCTTGGATAATTTTAACACGTTGTTCGGTCGCATATTGCTTCATGACTGTTTTGTTTATATTTTGATGTTAGACATGGCACGTTGTCGTTGACAAATTCAGTGGCTTTACAAAAAAAAATATTTATAATGCGGAAACTCAATTTGAATCACCCATTATTTTGTGTTTTAATGACTGACCGATAAGACCGCTCCCTTTCTTCCCTAGGATGTCGAGATTGTGCCTTTGGCTTTGTTTTACCATTGATTAAAGTATTCTATCTGAAGTTAGCCAGCCTAATGCTATATTCACACGTAAAAAAGTTATCCGAGATAAAATGAGACATTGTAGAGTCAGCTATGAGAATTTGACAGAGGCGTTTCCCTATTTGCTATATGTATGTACTTTCGTAAGGTTAGTGATACATAGATGACACTGTCTATATGAGCATATACAATTGTATAGGTGACTACAGCGCCATCTATGACACGCTAATCACATAAGTACAGCTCGTCAAGTGAAGGAAGAGATGCGAATTTTTGAATAATGTCACGCCTTCTCGGTGCACAGCAGCTAGCGGCTCAATTCGCCGGACGAAGCAGTAGTCTAGACAAGTTAGCATACAGTCAGGAGAAAAATTGTCAGGCAGTGAAACAACTTTATCACTTATTATCTGTGCATTGTATGTATTGTTACGAATTCGTGGGTTGAATACATACAGTTTTACGCTATTGATTGTCGCCATTTATTTCTTGGTGTGCTATGAGATTTACTCGTTTATAATGGATTTTAAATCCAAATTACAACGTAAAGTTTTATCAGGACAAACTAGGGAGGTTGTAGCAAATGTTATATTTTTATGCAACGAGAAGCAGAAGGAAATAAACCTCTTAAAGATTTGAAGAAAGTTCAGGAGCGTGCAGCCATGAAATTTAAATCCAATAGGAAGTTGGGTGATTATCATAGTGAGATGAACTATAGTAACGATAAAACTAGTTCAGGATAAACTGATTCCCAACCTACCACCAAATAGTGTTTTTGTTATAGACAACGCTCTGTACCACAATGTTCAGATAGACAAATGTCCTATTATGTGTTCTTAGAAGGATCATATGAAAGAATGGCTAAGGCAAAAAAACATGCATTTCACTGACGACATGTTGAAAACTGATTTGTATAGTCTATCAAAATGCGTAAGGCGGCTTATATAACTTATGAAATAGACAGACTAATGGCTGAAAAAGGCCATTGTTTTGAGTTTGCCACCATATCACCCCGACTTGAACCCAATTGAGTTGGTATGGGCATCTTTGAAACATTATGTGGCTGAGAGAAATGTAGATTTTAATCTCAAGACTGTCGACAAACTTTGCGACGACTTTTTCTCGTCTTACCCCATAGAAGAATGCAAAAAGCGATGTGAGCATGCCGTAGGTTTTGAAAAGCAGTATATGGAAATGGAACTAACACTCGACTTAGTTGTGGATCAAATAATAATAAACCTAGACGAAGATAGCGATATCGAAGACGAATATTTAAGTAGCTCAGAGATGGCGTTCAATACTTTTTATTATTTTATGGAATGAATTGTTTTGGTTTCCTTTTGACACATGCCAACAATTTCGATTAAAAAAAGCAGGCTTCACAATTATTGAAATTATTCGATTAATTTAGGACGCAGACTGTACCATTCGAGATTGAATGGCACGTATTGTACGTGCTATCTCTTTTGCGCCGAATGCGTTCTCCCTCTCGCATGTGCGCAATCCAAGCAAATCCTCATATCTCTTCCTACACTTGACGAGCTGTAAACAGAAAAACAGGTGTGAAAAATTCTCATAGTTGACATGGTATCTTATCTTCAGGTAGAATACGTTAATCAATGGTGTTACTAACCAACTCAATTCATTTGAAAGCACTGCCTTCGGGAAAATAATCATTCGCATCAGAGCTTTGCCTACAATACATGGTGTTTCAGAAAACAAACTATTTCTACCGTAGAAACTAAATCCAAAATAACAACAAAAAGTTGCTATAAATATGGGTCCAAAGGAGCTCCCCTTCCGCGATACAGGGTGATGAAGTTTTAATTACGCAATTTAAAAAAAATACAGGGTGACTTTGAAGTTGAGTCATTAATTTTCAGATAATGATTGTAGAAGGAAGATAAACCAAAATATGTGTGTAAAAATAAAAAAAAATTTAAAAAAAATTTTTACCTTGTTTTATAAAGTATCCTCCCGACAAGTATTTCAGTGCGGACCTGTATTTGATCGTGAGGTCCCCTGTGAGGTCTTAAGTCACCTGATTCACGAGCCCGTTGTACTACATTAACAAAGGCACGAGGGGTTGGTTGCACTCGATTGGGAAACCGATCCGCATAAACATGTGCCATTTTTTATTTCGTTTGAGCCACGCAACAGACACTATTCACACGCGACACTGACTGTATGTATAACTGAACTGAATAAAATAATAAACTGTACACAAACATCGTTCCAAATTCTTTCGCTTTTTTGTTTCCGATGCGATGAACCGGTAAGGCGGATTATATCCGTTGTCGCCAAACACGAGCACATGATATTGAGACAGGGCGGTACTCAAACTTCCAAAGGGCTATAACTTTGTTACTTTAATTTTACCAGAAAAATGGTAAAGGAAAAAAAACATTTCTTTTGATCAGATCTACTCACTGTTAAAATAAATGACTCAACTTCGAAGTCACCCTGTATATATCTATGGAGCGGGTAAAGATACTGAGATAGGACTTTAGACGTTTAGTAAGCATAAAATCAGGAATAACCACAGATAGTTTTCCGGCCCAAGCTAAACCACGGACGTAGAAACTAGGATACCTAGTAAATATTTTCTACGCTACTGGCCTTTTTAGAGAAAAGAATTACGTTTTATAAAATATCATTCAATTTTCCATAAGTTTTGTCTCCTAAGGAATTTTTGTCGGATCACTTCTTTTGGAGATATTTAGGTTTGGATATTTGGGGTAAAGTCCTAAAATATTTTTAGGGAAAGGATTAGCCTCCCCCATTCTGGAAACACCGTGAAGCTTGAAGCTTTTACGCTACTGATTGAGGATAAGACACGCATATTATTCAATTAATGTTGTAATGAAGTGCCATAGGTTTCTTCACATGCCGAATAGTGTTTCTAACAGTTCCCCATGCATACCGCAAAGTATCGGACTCTGTCTTGGTGGCTTTCCATTATTGCCCTCACTCAGTTTAGTAAAGGCTGCCTCTTCCTCTCAAGTAAAGATACTTCCTTTCCAATCAACTTTTTTGTAATTGATTAAAAAAAAGGAGTGTTTAACTGTTGCCCGGATATTATCAAGGCAATATCTATCCGTATAACCGAACGAAATACGGACAGAAATGTGTCTTCTTCCTTGAGGTATGCCAGAAATGATTTTATTAACTTTGTGAACACATGAGGGGCACAGTTTATCCCAAACGGCACATCATTGTATTGGAAGAGCCGTCCCTTGTATATGAATCTGAAATATATTCTATGACTCCCTGATGGGTACCAAAGTCTGTGCATATTACAAATCATAGTTCGATAACCTTCTCACTTAAGTGCTCTATCCCTATACATGGATTGAGCGTCTTCAGGTTAGGAATCAAACGTATGGACCCATCAGACTGGGGGGCAAGAAAACGTTGAGTAGGCGCGGTTTTAGTTACCACAACTTTTTTAACGATAGCACCGCACCTAAGCGACTGAGAGAGTGTTGTTTCGAAGGTCGATAGTTCATAGATGGACTAATGTGATTCAGCAGGGGCAGAGTGCTGAACTGGTTGTAATGGGAATAGCAGTTGAACCCAATTGAATCCAAGTCAGGACTTTAGCGCCACTGCCATTGATGATAAATCCCTGCTGATCTACGTACCTCATTTGCAATCATCGGTGATGGCTGATGTTGTTGGTACGTTGTCGGGACTTTTGGCCTTTAAGGGGGGCGACATCAATTCCGTGAAAAAAATTAACCTTCGATCAAAAGTTTCGAGGGAGGAACATAACATTTTAATTTCGTTTTTCGACTTTATTTCAGAATGTCGTAGTGCCGGGACACAAAAAGTAATTAAAGCAATTTGGTTTTACCCGTAAAATATTGACTTGCGACGTGCTTAATTGAGAAAATTCACATACCTACTATAATAGTATAAATGAGAAAGTGTCGATGTTTGTTACTCAATCACGCCCAAGTGGATGAACGCATATGGATGATATTCGGTACAGAGATTGATTATATTCTAGAATAGTACACGGGCTGCCTTTTGTCCCAGGAAATCTATCTATTTCACGGGCTGCTGCCCAAATGGCTTAAAGGAACGCAGAAGCGTTCAGTTGCTGGTCCGACCAAAATGAGTAACGGCATATAAATAAGGCATCGCGCATTTCGACATTCATTTTCATCGTCTTGATTTAGATTTGTTTGGTATTTTGTTTTACTTCAACTATGATACCGTGAATAAATAGTTATAGGGTTAGCATATGTTGAATTATGCCACGCAGGCCGTGAGATACTCCAAAGCTCCCAAGAATTATTTTTATAGTCATTATGATTAAAAGATTTAAGATTGATTTATTGTTGCATTAAAATAATCATTGCCAAAGTTACTATTGCATTACTTTGAATATTGCATTTTTTTTCTCAGAAACCAATTTCCTTCACACTAATGCAATACTTAAAACTACTTCCGTGGGGTGGAGCCACGGGTTTAGGTTAGTTTTCATCTAAGTCTTTTAGTTTTTCGAGATTTTGTACTTTCAAGTTCATGCATATCTTAATCTTCAGTGGAATACAACAAAAGCTAGAGTATATTATACTTCATGTTTATATTTCAACATCCTTACATTATTTGCCAACTTATATCAATGTTAACAAAATAAATATATCCAGCACAACTACTTGCTATAATAACATAGTGTTATTGATATGATATATACCGATTCGCTGGGTCTGATACATACACTCATTATGGCACATTGAGGATAAGAATAAGTATGCAGGCTTTGTTCTACAACTATCCACCTGTCCCGAGTCATCTCCGAACTGACGGTAGACAAGCAGCCGCATTGGCGTGAACGACGTTGTAACTGTAATTGAAGGGTTCGGTGCAAAAACCAGTCAACTCCATCTTTTACCCAAATTCAGTTTATATATGCATCGTATAGAACAAATGTTTGTACATCTTTTGGTGCAAGAATCAGCCATCTCCAACAAATATTATGGTAAATACTTGGGCCAAGGAGTTGACTGCATCAATACTTAGGTGCAAGAATCGGCCAACTCCAGGAGATGACCGTTTCTTGCCACCAATGGTAACATCGGCAACATCGGAAAATCAGGCCACGTGCGATGGCAAGCCGGTAGCATTTCAGTTGGTTTTCAACATTGCATTGTGTCTCGTGAACGAATAAGGTGTAAAAAAGATCGTTGCATTATGAGTATCAGTTCAAGTAGCGAGTTTAGTGAGGAAGACCCATATGTAGATTCTGGGACTGACTACGTGTTATCGGATTCCACCGATTCTGATGTTCCGGGTCCTAGTCGACGGCGATCAAAGCATTTTGTTAGTGCTAAAAAAGGTACCCATAAAAGTAATGAGCAGCAAAAAACGTCTGTGAGTAATAATACAGAAATTCCAAACATTCAAACCGTTAAGAAAAAAGGCAAGAAACGGGTGAGGATGGAAAGCAAATGGAAACGAAACATTATGAAGAGTAAGCAGGCTAGAGGGGAAGAATATATTAATTCGGCAAATAAACTAATTCAAAAGAAAACTACTGGACCAAATTGCCATTGTAGAAAAAGATGTTTCACTAAAATAGACGATACCCAACGACAGAACATACTTGAGCAGTTTTATAGTACGGGAGATAAAACTAAACAAGACATTTACCTAGGGGGATTAATCAGTGTGTCAAATGTGAAGAGGAAACGCCCGACTACAGGAGAGGGTAGAGAAAAAAGCAACACCTATCAGTATAAGGTAATGTTTTTGTTGCAAAATATAATAATTGGTTCTAAAATGTCTTTTTTTTCAGTTACGGGCAGGAAGCCAGGAAACCATAGTATGCAAAAAAGCATTCTGTTCTTTGCATGGAGTATCAAAAAATAGAGTGTCTCAGATTGCCAAAAATCTGACGCTGGGTAGTATTATGTCACCTTCCGATAAGCGTGGGAAGCATTCCAATAGGCCGAACAAAATCAGTGAAGAAATAATAGCGCAAATAGAAGAACATATTCGGAGTTTTCCCAGAAGAAAATCTCATTATAGTAGGGAGGATAATCAGAAAAGGTATTTTTTATCTCCTGAGTTGAATATTGCAACAATGCATCGCCTCTACCTTCAAAAATATGAGCCAGAAAAGTATGCTCTCCTAGACGATGGGAAAATTTTGAAGGACATTAAACCAGTAGTAACATATGATTTTTATCATCGGCAATTTAATCTCAATCATAACCTTAGTTTTGGACATCCAAGATCAGATACCTGCCAGAAATGTGACCGCCTGCACAACACAATTTCCGCAGAAGCAAATGCAGAAAATAAAACCCGCTTGGAAACTGAAAAGCGTCTACACTTACAGAAGGCCGAAATATTTTATACCAAATTACGAGAATATACAAATCTTGCTCGCATCATTTGTTATTTTTTCTGTGATCTCTATTGTGTTTCTTGTTTTTTTCGAGTTGCTTTGAGCTAAAACGTGAAGTTATGTTTTTTTTATAATGAATAAATACTGAACGCAATAATGTTGCTTTATTTGTGTATATTTGGAGGTTCGGTGCAAAAAACAGTCAACTCCAAGAGTTCAATTTTTTTTTTCTGAAGTGTCAAAAAAGATTAATGTTATCAGTTTGATATTATATTATTCTCCAATAGCAGTACTTACTTGGAATTTTTTTCGACAGAAAATTTGTACAAATAACAATATTGGAAAGTTTTTATTGATTTTCCACAAATTATCAAAAATGGAGTTGACTGGTTTTTGCACCGAGCCCTTCAATTGTTGATTTTTTGGTTACAGATTGAAGTTATTTGTTAGAATAATCTCCTGAACATGTATTCTTTAAATCGGTGAAAGACATATACGCTAATTATCATATGTTACAAGAGTAGGTATGTTTGAAATTTTAGGCGAAGAACGAGTACGCAAAGATGACCAGTTTTTAGTTGGTTCGAATCCTACTCGACGCCAATTGGATTGTATTGCATTTTGTTGTTCAAATGCAAAAACCCAGTACACAGAGGTACTAACACTTCTAAAATGAAGTCAAGTCAGTTTACATAGCAGTATACAATACATTTTAATAAAATCATACCATTTTAGTGAATAACAGTTCTTCGTATATTTTACAAGAATTTAGACATTTTTGACGCACATTAATAAAAATTTACTTCTTCCACGAATACGCGATGAAAGCCTCGCAACCACGAAATATTTCTAGCTATTCTTGTTGCTTCCTTCATTCATTGTGAATTATTTGGAAGTATCGAGAAGCATTTCGTAGTATTTCGATATGTCTCAAAGTGTTAATATTTTTGTCCCGAGCCGCGTAAACTTGTTTGTATCGTACAAATACCGTCGAGGTGGACAACCTCAAATATCGCTTTGGGAAGAACATTTAGAACACTACATAGAATTGAATAATCATTACCACAATTATTATACAAAAGGAAACATAGATTTTCATTTACAAAATTGCAATAGTAATATAACCAGCAAATCAATATTTCAGCAAAGGATTACTTGAGTTTAATAAACTAACTAATGATATAAAAAGTCTACTTGTGATTTAAAGATATTTAAAAGAAAATTAACCCTTTCGGTACCGCTGACGGCAAGTTCCGACAGGAAGAAACTTGTCCCTAGGTCCAGTGTCGGCTGTATACGACAGGGGTGAAACAAACTGGTAAAACCAATGTCGATCATTTACGACACCTTTAAAAATTAAACTTCTCACAGGGACCAGTGTCGGCTAAATCCGCTCAGCACTGCATTTCCCCACAGACCAATGGCTTGAGAATCCGACACTGTCGAACATGGGCGACGGTGGACGCTCGGGGGAGTTCGGCGTCGAACACGTGGAGCAGGCAAATCTACTTATTATGACTGGTTTGAAACAGTTTCGTGTCGTTATTGGGACATTGTAGACATAGTTAGTTTGTGTTTGACTCTTGTGTTGTTCTGTTCATTGTGCGAGATGGATAACGCTGAACCCAGTACATCTGACGGTCGAAAAGGACGAAATAAGCGTAAAAGAGATAATGCAGGTGCGGGCTATTGTGGGCTGACCCCGGAGGAAGTCCGAAATCTTTCACAATATCTTATGAGCTCCGATGAGGATGAGCCCGAAGATCCCTTTGCTGACAGTGGAAGCGAGTTTATTCCCAGCTCGGAAGGTGAATCTTCAGAGGACGACTACTTGCAAGTGTCTGAAGGTGAAGACAACAAGCATGATTCATCTCAAACGCCGGTCTTGGAACCTGAGACAGCAATGGACGAGAGAATGGATATTATTAGAGAACGTACGAGGTTAGAAATACAATGGACGGACAAAGAGTTTATTCCGCAAGTTTTTGCATTTGATAGTACTAATAGCGGATTAAGAAATGTTAGTTTAAATGATCAAAGCAGTAAAGTAGATTTCTTTTTGAGTCTTTTATCTGAAAATATTATGAACGTCATTGCCATCGAAACAAATAGGTATGCCATTCAAAGAGATGCACCTAAGTGGAAAAGCGTTGACATTCCAGAACTTTACGTATTTTTCGCTGTAACTCTGCTTATGACACGTGTAAAGAAACTGAATATCAAAGAGTACTGGACCCAAGATATCTTACTCAGCACTCCAGTTTTTGGACAGACTATGTCAAGAAACAGATATTGCGAGATACATCGCTATCTTCATTTCGCTAATAATGAGGAGGTAAAGCCTCACAATCGATTGGGGAAATTTGGAAATATTTTGACCGTTCTAAAAGAGAATTTCAAATCCCAGTTTTATCCTTTCGAACATTTGGTTATTGACGAAAGTATGGTCCTTTTCAAAGGTCGCCTCAGTTTTCGTCAATACATCAAAACAAAAAGACATAGGTTCGGAATCAAACTGTATGTCTTGTGTGATTGTGAGACTGGCATCGTCTTGGATTTTATAGTGTAGGTAAGCAAAGGCACACAAGAAGATACTCGTGGATTGGGTGCTACAGGTGAAATTGTCAGTAATCTATTACAACCATACATGAACAAGGGTCATTCTCTTTTTACTGACAACTTTTATACCAGTCCAACTTTGTCAACATTTCTATTTGAAAATAAAACCAATTCATGTGGGACCGTGAAACAAAATAGGAAAGAAATGCCAATTTTAGACAAAAAACTTAAGAGGGGTGAATGTGATTGGAGAAGCAGTGAAAACATGTTGGTGGTTAAATGGAAAGATCGGCGAGATGTCACTATGCTGACTACACTACATGAGAATAAAATGGTCAGTCTTCCAAGGAAGGATAGGGTCACAAATGAAAACCTTCAGAAGCCATTATGTGTCTTGGAATATAACAAGCAAATGGGAGCTGTCGACCGAAGTGATATGATGATCAGCAGCATTGATTCAACGCGCAAAAGCATGAAATGGTATAAAAAACTATTTTTTCATACCATGGATATATGCTTATTGAATGCTCATGCCATGTATTTGACACAGAATCCAGCAAAAGTTCCACTGGCCACATTTCAACTTGCAGTGATTAGGCAGTTGTTGGAAAGGTACCTATATATATATTTCTTTTTGTCTAAAAATAGTTCTATATTTCGATTTTTGCAGGTTTCAAAAAACAGCTTCGAGATCTGTTCACCTGGATCTTGGAAATAAAAGACTCACACAAAGACATTTTCCCGATCTGGTTACAGTCAAGGAAGGCAGCAAATCGGCCTACAGGAGATGCTATGTATGTTCCCACAGCAAACAAAAACCTAAGAAAAGAAAAGAAACCAAATATATGTGTAAGGAATGCGATGTTGGGTTGTGTCCAGCTCCATGCTTCAAAATATATCATGAAGAAAATCACTTCTGAAGTAAAATGTCTTTCGAGTTTTTTTGATACGATGTGCTCTTATTTTTGTTTTTTTGTCTTTAGGTATTAGTTCTAGGGCTTCAATTTTAGTTTTGATTGACCTTCTTTAGTTCTATTTACTGCTGTTTGTGTTTCTAAGTATGCTTTAATAGAATAAAAAAAGAATTATACTGTTTTATGATTTCGTCGGATATAGCCGTCAGCGGGTCATATGACCATCCAAAAATTCTGGTCCAGCAGGCATGTTTTTTCGTGGACGCGTCGGTCCTGAAAGGGTTAAAGGAATATTTCATGGACAATGAAAATTCTTAGAGATGCAAAGTTTGTTTATCTTAAACAAACAAAAGAAGTGAACCTGAATCGAAAAGCAACTTCAATAAGCATTTATTAGCAATATGCGACAGGGCAAAACTTGAAATAGTGAGTAGTATTCTTCATTTGTTTTACGTTTTCGCTGTTGTTTTACCGCAAACTAAGTTGAAGTCTCAACTCACAGGACACGTATTTTATGAGTGATGATTACATATTGTTTTCACTTTGTTTTGTCTACTAAATATGTATACTGAGTGACAAAAAAAGGTAAACACCTACGTATGTTTATTAGAATTTTTTACATATCGATTTATCTTGCCATGAACAACAACTGATAAAATGGTCAGGTTTTTCTGTTACATTTTTGTGGTGGCTGCGTGTATTGTTTGGTGATAAAGAAGCATTCAGTTCTGTTGAATGTTAAATTTCGTGTAGCTTATTGAGAAGCCTTGTGATTGCTCAAAATGCCTATAGTGTGTAGCTGCTAAGTGACTTTGAGAGGGGTCGAATTATCGGATTGCGTGAAGCCCATCTATCGATAAAAGAAGTTTCTAGGAGGACCAACAGATCCTCACGCAGTATACTGCAGTGTGAACGAGCGTTGACTCTGAAAGGCCGATGACAGCGAGCGACGGGTTCTGGACGTCCCAGAGGGACCACAGAGCGACAAGACAGCCGGTTAAGACTTCTGTCTCTGAGAGACAGATTCAGTAGTACTCGAGCCCCGCTAATCAGTGGTTTGAAGAGCATGGAAGGATGGTTGGTATGCTTACGGTATATCGCCGAATACGACAGTTTGGCCTTTTTTCGTTTGCACTGGTGTAGAGAAAGAATTTTATGGGACCGGGAATGGGATCAGGTGATCTTTAGTGACGAATCCCGCTTCAGTCTGGGGATGCACGATGGTCGGGCAAGAGTGAGAAGGGGTGAAAGACGTGACCGACAGTTTGACAGAGAGCGTCATATTCATCACACCGTGGGAGTTATGGTATTTGGTGCTATTGCTTATGGTAGCAGATCACCAATTTTCATCAATATGACAGCCAGACTCTATATTCAGGAAGTAGTGGAGCCTCATTTTAGTCCATACCTAAACACCATCCCAAAACCCGATTTTTCAGCAAGACAATACCAGACCGTATGTTGCCAGAGCATCGTTAGCCTGCATGGGTCAACATCGCATTAACCGTTTACCTTGGCCACCACGATCGCCTGACCTATCTCCAACTAAACAGGTCTGGGACATGATAGGTCGCAGGCTCTTAAATTTGCAACACTCTCCACAGACTTTAGCAACAAGATAACGACCACCTTATAAGCACGATGCCCAGGCGTGTCAATGAGTGTATAAGAAATCGTGGATCCACAACACATTATTGAACTGAACCAATTCTGCAGTCAGTTGACGAATCAAACTGAAAATGTAACAATTTTACTAGTAAGGGACACTGAACATACGTAGGTGTTCCGTTTTTCTGTCACTCAGTATAAGTGTATGTGTTTCTAGCACTGGATGGTGAAATGTAGATGACTGAGGACACTTTTATGGATTCACAGTACAGATCGAACTGGCATATAGGCACTCTCGTGAGCCCTTATTCTTACCCCATTATATCTCAAATTAAGCACTTATGTATATTTTTTCTTCCGATAACTACCACAGGAAATATACAAAAACGTTGTCTAAATATTTCTCCATATCAGAGTGATAGACATTGAATTTATCTTCTGATGGAAAGTAATGATGAAAACTTAAAAATATCAGTCTTTTTATTTGTCAGTACTTTGTGATTTTTTTCAATGATTCAGTTGACTATTCATATGAATTTTCATTGCGGAAAAGTTGTTCTAAGCTTGGTCTGGTACTTTTCCTCTCTTACTTGTCAGAATATTTGACAATGTAAAGTTACAACATGGCCGAAATTTACTAATATTTAAGTATTCAATTTTTTGATAAGTTTATAGGCTAACAAATTTTAGGAATATTTACTATCATTGATGATAACAAAGAAATATTCAGATTTGTACATGATGGTTACAGTTCAGTATTGTCAATAGTAAAAACTATATACCAGTTGTAAATGAGGGTTAACATTCTGATACTATACTAGTAGACTACCTACAACTACGACATGTATTTTGTACAAGGCCTATACTGTTACAATCGATATACGAATATTTTTCTCTCAATGATTGAGATTCACTCCACAACGGGGTTTGCAATTTAAAAAAAAACATAAAAACATCAAATTCCATTTCTGTTCAGCTCCCAAGTTTCTGGTTATGTTTCTTAGATGTACAAAGTTTTTTGCATCATGTAAAGTTAAAATAAAACCTGTATACATTGCTGAAATATATCTCCAGTAATAGAACAGCTCCATTATTATCGATTCTTGATATGTAGATTCTTATATGTCATGTGATTTAGTTGGCATTGTGGATGTCCTTTGTGAATTTCGTTTCTTTAACACAACCATTTCCAAACAGAAATATTGTTTGGCAATTATGAGACTCTTATCCATTTATTTACTTGAATACCAATAATAGAAGTATCAAATGACAATTTCTGCCAAATACAACGCAAAATGATATGTCATATAGAATAGATATCAAACACTAAAAAACCCAATGTCCCACAAAAACATGAACGCTAATATAGAAACGGTTAAGGGTGTAGGTAGTGATAGTTGTCAATGAAATTATTGTATTTTTTCAGCAATGTGCCTCAAAAAATCGCTAAAATCCACTTTTATTATTGTTTAACGAATACTACTAGAAGTTGTCCACCACATATTGTATTCCGGCGTCCCAAAACGAACTTTTTTTGAACGGAAGTAGCCGCGTAGGTAGAGGCCGAAATACCGGAGCGCCGCAGCTCCTATACGGAGCCTAAAGATACAATGGTGAATCCGAGTTGTGAACGGTCTAAATTTAGTGGAACTGGTAAAAGTCTCCTCAGGTAGATTGTTCCACAATCTCGACACTCTAAGGACAAAGGAGCGGTCATACCGACCAGTTCTGGATGTACGAAATTCGACACAGTTAGGATGGGAGGCAGAAGTTGGGCGGGTATGTCTGGCAGGCTCATCGCGCGGCGGCATTATGGGAGCTCTGAGCAGCAAAACCAATAGCGTAGAAGAGAGCCAGATCGTCGACAGCCTTTCGGGGGCGAAAGGGTGCTGAGACTGTCCGTTAGAGCACAGTCATCCATCAGTCGGACAGTCCTACTATGAACAGCATTAAGCATACATAATGCAATCGATGCGGCAACACCCCAAACATGTGAGCGGTAATCGAGGCTAGGTCTTATCTGAGCCTTGTACAGAGTGAGGAGGTTACGTGGAGAATAGTACTTCTTAGCCCTAAACAAATAGCCTAGCTTTTTCCCAGCAGCTGCCGCGATTGACGAAATGTGTTCATGCCAGATAAAGTCGTCGATAATCTGGACTCCAACTACCCGAAACGGACGGCTCTGAAAAATTCTATTTATGTCTATGAGACAGCACTAGAACACAAAAATGAATTTAACAATAAACTTTGAAAAGAGTTATAGCTTTTGGGTTCGGTTCGATATTTTGAGTTTTTATAAATATTTATTATGGCTTTGATCTAAAGGCGAATATCTCCAATATTGTTGAATTCTGTGGTTCTATCAGAGTTTTAAACTTGAACTGAAAAGATGTTGGAATATGGAAATGAGAACAAGATTGGCATCATGGAGTCTGACGTCCAAATTGACAAAAATTAGAAGATGTTATAATTGCGTGAAGAATAGTAGTCCATCTAACGTGGAATTTCTGTTTAACCCATTTGATCCCACTGTACTCATATGGGTACACTGCCTTTTTTTAACTGCCAGCGCCATCTGTTAAGACCAAATTAAAGTCTAATATTTCAGATCTCTTCCTCACATATCAAGGAACGCATATTTGACTTGAGCAAAGATAGGTGTCATCTTAACAGTTGTCAAAAATTCAATTGCGTTCCATTGACAAGTTGCAGCCTGTTGTACTGGATTTGTGTTGACACATTTTATGTTTTCAACTTTTTTTTGTGTTTTTCGTATCTTTGGATTGTAAGGTGAGCATAGAATAGTATTATAATGTTTTGACTTTAAAAAAATGCATACTAGAGTAGATATTTCAATAAAAATTATACTGTACTCATTTGAGTACAATGGACACTGTAAGCCATATTGGTATGTCAATGAAATGTATCTTTTGTAGGGATTTATGGCCATGGAGTTTCCATTTGAAACTTGAAACAATAAATCCGAGATCATTTTATGGCAAACGCTACATGAATCTCAAAGAGGCAACCGAGACTCTGGAAAGAGATCAGCGAGAGGCTGAAATTATTATTTTACCCCCGCATCCTGACGAGCTGACTGATGAAGATGAACTTGATGACATTTTAGAGGATTGTAAATTGCCAAATGATGTTCCAGGCCAAGTGGAGATCCACTTTCAAGATGGAAGTATATCCTCTGAGGACAGCGATGATGATGTGCCTTTATCTTATTTCATGCCTTCGAAAAAAAAAATTGATGTGAAACCGCTGCCCTCATGGAAGCAACATTATGTAGATATATCAATGCCCAACGCTACATATGGTTTTGAAAAACGTCAAAATGACATAAAAGAGGAACTGAAAAATAAAACAGTGCCGTAAAACAACCGTCGCGTCGGCTAACTTTGCACCGTGCGTGTAAAAGTACATTATTATCCCTTTACAAGATACACTGGTAAATTTCTAGCAATTACTATTTTTATCCAATAGAGGGAGTTACAATAGCCGCAGGAGTCGAATTAATATGCTTCGGTCGCCGGCCACACGCCGACAGTTGCATTCAAAAATCTAACCTGTTATTTGTTGGGTGTAAAAATCTTGATGGTGAGAGAGCCCCAGTTGCCAACAAAATGTAAGTATTATCTCATTCGTATGTATTATTATTGTTTTAACTGTGTACGCACTGCAACAGTCCAATTTAAATAGGAACAATTATTTTTTGATGTTTTTGTTTATACATGCACATTCCTTGGTTAAATGGGGAAACTTTGCACCAGCGTCATGGTGCAAAGTATCCCCCACGAAAGTGGTGCAAAGTATCCCAGTGAATTTTCTTTATCTAGTTTTATTGTTTCTAGAAGATGCCAAGGGTTTATAAGAGGGTGCCAGGCTCTCGGAGGTATGGCGACTACACCCAAGAAAACTTGGATAAATGTTTAGAAGCGATTAGAAATGGAATGAGTACCAGAACAGCCGCGGAAGCTTATAATATACCACGGAGGACCATTATGAATAAATTGAAAAATGTACACACGAACAAACCAGGTTACCCTACTACATTTACAGAAGAAGAAGAAAGGACTTTTGTTTCCTGCGTCCATCAAATGAGCGAGTTCGGGTTTCCGGTGACTGAGATAGAGCTTCGTCAAATAGCCAGGACATTTTTGAATAAGAAAGGTGGGTAAATAGGCATTGTTGATTTCTGTTAAATTTATTTCATTCCTCTTCCACAGGTAGGAGAATACCCCGCTTCAAAGATAACCTTCCTGGCAAGGACTGGGTTAAAGCTTTCTTGAAGAGGCATAAGGACCTAACAGTAAGGTTTGCCACCAACATTAAGCGGAGCAGAGCAGCTCTCAGTGGTTAGCAAATGCAGGATTATATAGAAAACTTGAAGCAAACCTTGGAGGGGGTTCCACCAAATGCAATTTTCAACTATGATGAGACCAATTTAACAGACAATCCTGGTCAAAAAAAAGTTTTAAACAAACAGGCATGAAATACCCAGAAAGGATAGTTAATTCATCAAAAAGTTGTATATCCCTAATGATTGCAGGAAATGCAGCAGGTGAGGTTCTACCACCTTATGTGGTATACAAATCAAAACATTTATGGGACACGTGGACAAATAATGGCCCACCTGGTACTCGCTACGCCAACACAGCATCTGGGTGGTTTGAGTCAGAAACATTTTCTGATTGGTTTTTTCAGCTGTTATTACCAACATTGACAAAAATCGAAGGTAAAAAGGTTATTATCGGCGATAATTTATCTTCCCATTTGAATGTTGATGTGTTAGCAGCTTGTAAGGACCATGATATTCAATTTGTATGCTTGCCGCCAAATAGCACTCATGTAACACAACCCTTAGATGTGGCATTCTTCGCTCCATTGAAAAAGGCATGGCGTGAAATTTTATCAGATTATAAAGAATCCCTCGTTGGAAGCAGGTCAAATGTGCTCGAAAAACAACACTTTCCGACACTTCTCAGACGACTGATGGAGAAAATTTCTGAAAATAGTGCTTCAAATTTAATTTCAGGATTCAGAAAATGTGGAATCGTTCCTTGTGATGTAGGTCCCTTATTAGAACGATTACATAACAAACATAACAGTGTCGTCAATAGAGAGAATGTATCTGAAATAGAAAAATTGTTTCTTGAATCTTTGGAAAATAAAAGGACAGAGGCTACTCAGTTTCAAGTTCGGGGAAGGAAGAAAAAAATAACAATTCCAGCCGGAAAAAGCATTGCTCACGGCGAAATCGGTTCTGCTGATTTACCTGGGACTTCGGGAATAGTTACAGCTCCAATATCCAAACACTCTCAAAAACAAAGGGCGAATGAAGTTTCTGAAGACGAGGAGTCAGATAAACTTCCAGAACTTGGAGATTCAGATGATGAAGTTGATGAGATACAAGACATGGAGGAGGAAATTGAATTTAATAAAAAACTTGAATCTGGTTATTTTGCTAAATCTGCGGCTGAAAAAATTCAAGAATCTGGTCTAAAAGATATCCAGAAGTCAGTTGGCGAGTATGCTTTAGTCTTGTATGATGGCAAGCCTTATCCTGGAGTCATTACCGAAATTGAGGGCGAAATGGTTAAGATTAACGCGATGGTCAAGTCACTGAAGTTTTGGAAATGGCCGAAAAAAGGCGGTGAAATTTGGTATAGTTGGGACAAAATACTTGGTGCAATAAATGCACCTAAGCAAATGACCAAACGTGGTTTGTATTCTGTACTTGAGTGCGATCGATACTGGTGGAATTAGTCTGATGTTTGATTGTATTCAATGTATTTTAGGTTAACTGTTCTGCCTTAATAAAATTTAATTTCTTTTATTTTTTAAATAATAAATGACTACGATCTTAAAATGTGTTGATTATTTGACTAAATCGCCTCAAAAATTGAAAATTCCTACACCAAAAGAATCGCACGTTCTTAAATTTGATAATGGAGTGGTGTTTCTTTGCCCCACATAAATTTTACTATAGAAAAACCAATCCTAAATGAAGTGGTGCAAAGTAAACCCATCGTATGGCCTACTTTGCACCAGATTTCAAATGTACATAATTTAAACCTGGGTCTATATCTTATCTTTAAATTAGGTAAACACGTATTCTTACATCTCTAATATTGATTTAAATACTTTATTTAGGATATTTGATAAGATATTTATTAAAAATTACTGAATATAATGTCAAAATGTGGAGCAAAGTGGTTGAAATTTTTGAGAAACTTTTTGATGAATATATTATTGAACTGATACAAGAACAGTCGATTTTGTATGCCAGGCAAAAAAATAACCAAACGTTTACCGTTGATAAAGATGATATAAAAATATTCATTCCAGTTCTACTTTTTAGTGGTTACCACAGGCTTCCAAGAGAACGCATGTACTGGAGCTTGGACGAAGATGTTTCTGTGTCCATTATATTCAATTCGATGTCCAGAAACCGGTTCTATGAAATAGAAAAATATCTTCATCTTGTCGATAACTCGAAGCTTGACAAAGAAGCTAGGATGTATAAATTGCGACCCCTTATAGGTAAATTGAATCAGAATTTTCAACAATGGGGTATTTTCCACCAAAATTTATCTACTGACGAGGCCATGATAAAATATTTTGGACATCATCCATCAAAGCAGTTTATAAAAGGAAAGCCTGTCCGCTTTGGTTTCAAAGATTGGATGTTATGCAGTTCCACTGGATGTTGCTACAAATTTGAAACTTACTGTGGTGCCAAGAAAAATCAAGATAATGCGTTGACAAGTAAACTTCCATTAGGCTCAAAAGTTGTATTAGGACTTATGGAATGTGTTAAGACTCCATCAGACCACATTGTTTACTTCGACAACTATTTCAGCAGTCACGACTTGCTGACATCTTTGCGAGATAAGGGATTTAGAGCGACGGGCACGATTCGTGATAACAGGACCAAAAAGTGTCCTTTCATAGAAACCAAATTGTGGAAGAAAAAGGATAGAGGATATTTCCAAGAAATTTATGACGAAAATAATTCCCTTCTGCTAGCTAGGTGGAAGGACAATAACACTGTTACTATGATTTTCAACGTTGACACTGTGGCACCGCTTTCCAAAGTGAAACGATCGTCATCAGAAGAAAAACAAAAAATTGATGTCCCCCAACCAAAAGTATTTGCCACTTACAATGCATCAATGGGAGGGGTAGATCTTTTGGACCAAGGTGTCAATAATTACCGAATATCTATCCAAGGTAAAAAATGGTGGTGGACCATATTTACTCACACACTAAATGTGTCAGTGGTGAATGCATGGAGGCTTCATTTGCTAGTGGATGACAAAAAAATGGACTTACTTATGTTTCTTCGAACTATTACACGTCACTACCTCAGGTGTTATCCCAAATCATCATTCACAAAAAGACAACTCGGAACTGTAGAAACAAGTATTTTACGTAGTGAAGGTGGACACTATCCCGGAAAGCTAGAAAAGCAGCTAAGATGTCGTAAGTGTCATCTAAGAAGCCGATGGAGGTGTATAAAATGCAATATTACCTTATGCATTGAGCGAGAGTGCTTTATAAAATATCACACGGCAGACTAGTTTATAAATCTTGTATCATTTGTTCTAATAAATTTGCGTTTTTTTTTATTATAGTTATTTCAATAAAAACTTCAAACGCCCATTTTACTCAAATGAGTACACCAATTTTTTTCAAAAAATATGACAAAAAAAATTAAATTTACAGTGTTTACTAAATTATGACAGTGAAATGAACCTAGAAATAGGAAAAAATGGTTGTTTTTAAAAAAAAGTTGTCTTGGGATCAAATGGGTTAATACGTTTAAAATTTGTCAATGTAAAACAGGCATTGCTTAAGGTATTTCACCTACATAAACATAATTAAAATATGTATCGGAGAAGTAAACAAGGGATTGAAGATTTTAGCGCCATCTATGAGACATTAGCAGAAACAATTTTCAAGTATGTAGCATACATTAATCAATGCGACATCTTTTATCAAGGTGGTCCGTAAGACTGCTCTTGGAGAGGGCAGAAAGAAGAGAAGAAAAAAAGGAGGAGATTCTACAGGAGGAATTGATCTTTGTTTGGTTACCGTTATTATTGGAAAGATTGACCTAAAATTACACGATATGATTTTGAACACCGTGCGAATCGCGGTTTTTATGTGCTTACGGTATTGGCCAAATGTATCGACCTTCTACTTCACGAAACAGACAATCTTTGTGCTAATCTGCTAGACGGAAGATTTGATATCATATGATGATACTTTAGATCTGTAATCACTAAATGACGTCTCATCCGTTTCTTTCTTAACGTTATGAAGAGTTTCTAGTGTGCGACATATGATTTTTTTTTCGAAAAACTAGAATATTCTAACGATGATCTGCAGGTGGTGGCGGTTGGTTGATCCTCCCGGGTGTGTCCTGATTCAATTGCGATGCTGTTACACTTCGAGTTTGTAAAGTGGAAGTGGGAGGTTCGTCTAATAATTGACGGAGACGTTGCAGTTGTGCTTCCAGTTGTCTGTTGTGGTCTTCGAGGATCTGCATGCGGGCTTCTAAGCGGCCTTTGTGTTGCCTGAAAATTTTAATTTTAAAATTGTTATACCGGGAGTTTCAAATTCGATCTTCACCATTGGGATCTCGGAAACTGGGGGCAAAGCTTCGTATTTACGTAACTAACAAAATGCCGCTAAAAAAGTTTCGAGGTTCAAATGACTTTCGGAGAGAGACGGAAAAAGCAGATTTCTTTGAAAATCGTTTTAATTTTTTCTTGAATCTATTTGTAGTACGATTCCAAAATAAATTGTACGCTAACAGTGTCACTGATTCTCCACTACAAGATGGCAATGTTATTGTGCAATTTATTTTGAAATCCCTTTGCAAATAAAGTCAGGGAAAAATAAAACCGATTTTGGGAAAAATCGATTGTTCCGTCTCTCTTCGGAAGTCCTTTGAATTTCGAAACTTTTTAAGCGGCATGTTGATGTTTACCTAAATACGCAACTCTGTCCCCCATTTAAGCAACTTCGTATATGTTACAATTTCCGAAATCCCCATGATGAGGGTTGAATTTGAAACACCCTGTATATACTGCTATCTAGAAGGGAAATTGTTTTTTGAGCAATTCGGGTGCACAGACCACAATATGTTAAGCTTTAAAGAACATTAGACTGAACCCTCGGCTCTGCTTGCATGGAAGTAGTGTAAAAGTATAGGTCACACACTTCGCATTCGTGTGCAGGAGATTGGTTTCAGAGAAAGAAATGCAAAATTCAAAGAAATACAATAGTTACTTTGTCAATTAACATTTTTTAGCAACAATAAATTACATTCAATTATTCGCTTTTTGTATACTCGACAAAAAAATAAGCAGTTTACTTCAAAATTTGTCTGATCTTATAAAGGGTGTTCAGATAGGGACGCTCGATGTTTGAACGGCGCGCGCGCCCAAACCGGTGGGGATACAGCTTTCAAATTTTGTGAGGTTATTAAGTTAGTCTTGACATTTAGTCATGGAGCAGTACACGATTCAACAACGCGTGGAAATTGTGAAAATTTATCATCAAAACAGATGTTCGGTTCGTGAAACGTTCCGCGCATTGCGTCCAATTTATGGTGCGCATGGCCGTCCTGCTGAGTCCACTATTCGACGTCTGCTCAATAAATTTCAGAGAACTGGCTCAGTGGCAGACCAAACAACACCCGTACGGCAACGAACAGTAAGAACAATCGAGAATATTGCTGCTGTGCGAGAGAGCGTGCGTCAAGACCCGAATCAGTCATTGCGGCGACGTGCACAAGAACTTGCCCTTCCAAAGACCTCAACATGGACAATTATGCGTCGAGACTTGAAATTGCACGCGTACAAAATTCAATTGACGCAAGAATTGAAACCGCAAGACTATGGACAGCGCCGTACATTTGCCGCATGGGCTCTAGAGCAGTTGCAAGTCGACCCTGCATTTGCACGAAAAATCATCTTCAGCGACGAGGCGCATTTCTGGATGAATGGGTATGTCAATAAACAGAATTGCCGTATATGGGCTGACCAAAATCCTGAAGTGACTTGCTCAATTGCTATGCATCCTGCTAAAGTGACTGTATGGTGCGGTTTCTGGGCTGGCGGCGTAATCGGTCCATATTTTTTTGAGGACGCTATGGGCAACGCGCTTACGGTCAATGGAGATCGGTATCGCGCCATGATTAATGATTTCCTGTGGCCTCAACTGGACGATATGGATCTAACAGACATCTGATTCCAGCAGGACGGCGCTACGTGCCACACCGCACGCGCAACGCTGGATTTACTGCATGAAAAGTTCAACGGTTTCATTATTTCGCGCGGCGGCGATGTGCACTGGCCACCAAGATCGTGCGATATAACGCCTTTAGACTTTTTCCTGTGGGGCTACGTGAAGTCTCAAGTGTATGCGGATAAGCCACAAACAATTGCAGCATTAAGGGCCAACATCATTCGCGTCCTCGGACAGGTAGACGCTGAAATGTGCGGAAAAGTGCTCGAAAATTGGACCATGCGAATGCACGCTGTACAGCGCAGTCGCGGTGGCCATTTAAACGATATAATCTTCCATACATAATGTCGTCGAATGCTATTTACGATCAATATAGACTTTTAGTGCTGACTTAAATTTTTTTCCTTTTTTTCCATTTTAACTTTCGAGCGTCCTTATCTGAACACCCTTTAATAACCTTGAAGGTCATGCTCAGGTTCATTGGCAACGATATACTTAGTTAAACTTAAAATTGTACGCAATTTGCATTTCAGGAATTCAAAATAGATGTTTCCCATACTTAAATATGAAGTTTCTCATTCTTTTTATTTCTGGTGTCAACTCAAGATCATTAGATTAATCTTTTCAAAACTTATTCCAGAACATTTTTTTAGGAAAGTATTTTTGCTCCACTTTTTGTACACCCTCAGATACCTATGGAGATCATAGTTAAGGTCATGAGCAAAGACATACTTTAACGGAAAAATTACCATTATTTACATTTCAAACATAAGGGTTTTATAAAAAAATGTATTGAGCTTCAAATGACCTTGAAGGTCATATCAAGGACACCATTAGATGGAACATTTCAAACATTCTTGAACATTTTTCTCTGTGAAACGTATGTTCGAGATGTTTTGATATCCACACTATTTGATCACTTTGTATATTTTCGAAGACAAAACCATGCATTCAACCTTTCTCGGGTTCCAATTAGTAAGTGTAAAAATGTTTACGTCTCTCCGTATTGTGGTTCAGACATTCACATTTATAAGAACATATGTATAGATAGGTACATGAAAGCACGTACCTCAACAACCTAGCCTCAGCCAATACATCATGCTGTTCTCTCGGATGCTCCCTCTGTCCAGGAATCTGCTGCGCTGGAACCTGCTGCGCAGCTCCTCTTTGCAGCTGCTCGTATTCCCTCAACAGAGCCCTATTAACCATAAGGTTGTATTTACTGTAGAGAGTGCTTCCCTATAAATAATACTAATCTTTCCCCTCTAACTTTTTTATATGGCCGTTTAGAAAAAAGATTCAAAAGTTTTAGTATCTACGGCCGCTTTTCTCAGCCGATAATTATTCCAAAAGCTATTCAGTGAAATCTATAAACCACTGGCGTCGTAATATGTACGATAGAGAGAAGCGTGCAAAACGTGCGTTAGAAGGAGATAGAAGAACTTCGTTGGCTAGCAACCCGAGTGACGAGGCCACGGACGGAGCTCTCTTTCTACCATATATGTATATTGCATGCTTCGTCTAATATGATTAGACTAGCAGATCAATATCTTTGTTCGTTATGGATGTACTCGTATATTAAGAAATTACAGATACAATTTTCAAGCATTACTGGATAAGAAGGATATTGTAGACAGATACTACCCTTCCCTCAAGTGACAGTTAGCTAATGTTGATCGCAGTTAGCATTTCTTATATTAAAACAATTACTATCCACATACATAATGAGACACTGTATAAGCATGATTTCGTATTAAAGCGTCTACGCTCAACAATAACTTGATGAATATAAAGTAATAACTGTGGGTTAGCTCACTTAATTTTGTCACCATCCTCGTCGGCTCCAAGAGAATTTGTCCGCGAATCGAAAACTTGAGCGTATTATCACAGTCAAAATTTCGGATGTACATATTTCCTTATTGTTGGTTAATTATTTACACATCTAAGTTATATATTTTCAAAAACTATATGCTATGATCCGACATAGTTTCTGAAATTTTATCAAAGTAATATAAAAAAACTATAAAGAATCATACGTATGCCGCTGGCTTCCTGTTTGCAAGGTTACATTGTCCACGGCGTTGTAAAGTTGTTAGATCACACTAAAAGTACACGTAATGTGAAAAAGCATTTATTTCACCAAATTTAAGGAAAAATAGAAAAAAGGGAGCTTTGTGGATTCGAACCTCCGTCCTGCGGATTTGCAACCGTTATTCCTGCACACGATACTACTGGATCTGTATACCACAAGCGAAGGTTGGCTGCACACCAAATATATGTTATAAACAATTAGAATAATCTCAAAAACTTCACAAGATACAATGCTGAAACTTTAAATAATATATAAGGGACTAATACCGAGCGTATTGCCTAATTTTTCAGACGGTCAGTTCACTACAATTGGTTCGTATTTGTCTACTGTTTTTTCCGTTTTTTACGAGTTTATTTTCCAACAAAAAAAGTCCAGGGAATTATATTTCTTCGTAAAGAAACTGGATTACGTGACCTACTTATTTGACAAGGTCATGCAGTCATCAATAATATAGCCATTTCGCACACAGGCTACGTACTAACTAGGCTTAAGCAGTTTGCGTGCTTATTTTATAAACAGTTCAATGCATTTCAGTATGAAATAAGTTTTTTTATAAACTTTAAGGATAATCTATGACGGTGTAAAAATTTCAGCTCTGAACATGTATGCGTAAGAGTATGAAGAAATCTTGGAAACATTTTTTTCCTCTTCGCAACAAAAGGTGATAGACATATCCGCTTTGTTTTAAAATGTGTATAATAACGTACGTTTTTCGAGTATCGTAGCGCATCTGTTCAATTACAAACACAAACACGAAATGTTTGAATTTGTTTAGAAGAAAAAACGTAACACTTCATCTTTCGCATAAAAACAACATTTATCTTTCGGAATGGTTTGTAATTAATATCGGCAAGGTAAACTGGCGTATTTTCCTACAAAATGCCATTTGAATGAACCCTGTATATTTTTTTGTAGGTCTCGTAAATACTTAAAAATCTTATTTGCAGAGGGTTCTCATTCATGTCAACACTTTTGATTGGATCCCAAAAAACACGTTGTCACATTCTGCGATGTCGATAAAAATGTTTTCCCACAAAAATTGGTGTACCCATTTGATGCGTCCATGTTTTAAATACCCCCTTGAACAACTTGCATGAATAAAACCAAACTTTACACTTATTTCAAGGAAATTTGCTAATACAATTCGACTATGCTGTTTCAACCATTTTATAGAATGTGTTATGCACCTTCCGATCAATATAAAAATTCATATTGTATGAAAAACGTTAACACATCCAGCATGCGCTATCCGGCGGCGACAGACGTGACACCCCTCCCCCTAGACGTATTCCAGAATCCCACCACCACTCCACAATTATGACAAGAGTATTTGTTTTCAGAAGTGATGCTTAAGCATGCCATCTATTACCAGAATAGACCACCTGACTTAACTAGAGACATAAACCATTCTGATGGTTGCCGATAAGCATTAAACAGTAATGTACAAGGTTGGCACAATGTTGGTCGGACGGACGAATCATTTACCTGTTCTCAGCTTCAAGCTCGTCGATCATCTCCTGCAGCTCGGCGCGTTGTTCTTCGTCAATGACCATCATCAGTTGGCCTGGGCTCGGCGGTACTACTTGGCTCCCAGTACGACCTCCGTCAAGGGATTGGCAGTAGTCGGCGATCAGCCGGTGTTCGTCTTCTTCCGGGGATGCTGCACGCAATTCCACCTAGACATGAAAATAATAAGAATTTATAAAAATTGGTGTACGACGGGAGGTCCTATACATCAGATTTTCTACCTCAAATTAATTCCCACGAATTTTTAACCATTGTATTCATACTCAGCGCCTCAAAGTGTAAGTTTCATTCGTTTATAACAGTGGAAGACGAAAATAGACTCTAAAGAGGTATGTGAATAATATAGTGCCATCTAAAGGCCAGTAGCAAAACACAAAAATAAATTCCACTTAGTTAGTGTCTGGTCCAGCTACTGTCTCATAGATGGCGCTAGTGTCTTCAATATCTATTCAATACCACTCTAATGCATACTTCTATTAGGTATCTTCAGGTGGAATACGCTAATCAATTTTTGAAGATACAAAATCAAAATAGGCATTAGAGAGGCAAAAAAGATCCTAGCGTCATTTGTAAAACGGTAGCAGAACCGAACACTTTAACCCTGTTGAATGTAGATTTCTAAATTGATGTTTGTGTTCTGCTACGCCATCATAGATGGCGCTAATATCTTTCAAACCCCTGTTTGGATGCTTCCATGGGTATCTCAGATAGAACACGTCAATCAATGGTCATCGAAAAAGATTTTGAAGGTTTCTTTCAAAAACTGTGTTGCCTATCTGCAATATGGATGAAAGGTCGTTGTCTGGGCAAATCGGGTGCGTATATTCGGAATTTGATGTTTCGGCGCATTGGCGATCCCATATACCATATTTCATGAGAATCCATCACGCTTTGACGTCTACTGAGGTGAACAGCTGATCTGAAAGTGACATATTTGTGTTAATCTGCGACTGCGACGTTGGCAATAATGAATCGGGTGTAAACCTAGTAAAACATGTTTGTAGCGTTTTTTTTTGTGTATGCAAATGAACTTTTATAAATAAAAGAGCCGTTAGCAAGTACAAAATGAATCTGTAGCGTACAAAAAACCAAAACAAAATACGGCACTGACTACCTGTTGACGGATCCATCAGAATTATGTGTCCTGTGCCGATATGGGGAATTTTGAGATATTACTAGACAATCAGCTGTCATTTTACCGTGATGGATACTCGTGAAATAGGGTATATGTCGATTTTTTTGCCTAAAATTTGGAATACTCACCTCTGCCAGCCGACTAGCATATATTTCCAGACGACTATGCATATCGTTATGCTGTGGTGACGCTACAGGGCTTTCGAGTTCATCACCCTCAAGTACAGATCTGACAGGTAAGTAGCCCACACGTGGATGTTTCATAAAGTATCTGAAAGAAAACAATGTTTTATTTTTTCACTACTAACATTCTTTAGGTCATTCCTCTCCCCCTAAGTAAAACATGATAATGAGGAAATTCCTAAGCAATTAACGGATGAATAAATGTATGTAGAGCTTCTTTGTCTTAATGAACAGAACTGTCACTGTTTGTTTGTTTAAGATTAATAAATATAAATATAGCATGACTGCTACAATTACATTCTTTTAAAACACTACAACAATTACATAACATACAAAGTTTGACAAACAACATGAAATGTTCCTTTAATTTTCTTTTAAACATCTTTAAATTACAAGTAGACTTTATATCTGATTATTTATTTTATCAAATTCAAGGGATCCCTTCTGAAATGTGTAATTATGTAAAATTGTATAGTTGTGGTAATGATTATTAAATTCTACGTAATGATTTAAATTTGTCAAAAGATGATTTTTTATTTTAAATATGAAAATATTATATATATATATATATATATATATATATATATATTTATATTCAACCACTGCAATTCTTATAACATTGATTTTATTTTGGTACATTTATTTTTATTCAATATTACTCTCGTAGCTTCATTTTGTAGGACTTGTAATTTTGAGAATACAGCTGCATTGGCATTGGACAAGATAATTGAACTATATAGTAAATGCGGTAGAATAATTGCATCATACACTATTTTTCTGGAATATGTACAGAGTCTACGAGAAGCCCTACAAAAGTAATTTGTTTTTTTTTGCAATTTTTGAAATAATGTATTCATAGTGATCCTCCAACTTGTAGTTTTACTATCAATATATATATATATATATATACAGGGTGACTTTGAAGTTGAGTCATAAATTTTCAGATAATGATTGTAGAAGGAAGATACACCAAAATATGTGTGTAAAAATAAAAAAAAAAATAAAAAAAAATGTTTACCTTGTTTCATAAAGTATCCTCCCGACAAGTATTTCAGTGCGGACCTGTATTTGATCGTGAGGTCCCCTGTGAGGTCTTAAGTCACCTGATTCACGAGCCCGTTGTACTACATTAACAAAGGCACGAGGGGTTGGTTGCACTCGATTGGGAAACCGATCCGCATAAACATGTGCCATTTTTTATTTCGTTTGAGCCACGCAACATACACCACTATTCACACGCGTTACCGACTGACACTGACTGTATGTATACAATTGAATAAAATAATTGTAAAAACATCGTTCCAAATTCTTTCGCTTTTTTGTTTCCGATGCGATGAACCGATAAGGCGGATTATATCCGTTGTCGCCAAACACGAGCACATGATATTATTATTGAGACAGGGCGGTACTCAAACTTCAAAAGGGCTATAACTTTGTTACTTTAATTTTACCAGAAAAATGGTAAAGGAAAAAAACATTTCTTTTGATCAGATCTGCTCACTGTTAAAATAAATGACTCATCTTCGAAGTCACCCTGTATATATATATATATATATAAACAAATATTTAATTGAAAATATTAATAATAATATAATAATAATTATTTCACCATGTATGCTAACCGTGATAGAATTTTCCTGTAAGTGTTCCCCTATTCGCATACACTTTTTTTAGAAGCATTCAATTTTAGTTTATCTACATCCTTACCTTGGACACGCTGAATATGTAGTGAAAATGCTTGTATAAATACCCACATCAGAAAACGCACTATTGATCTCGCCTAAGTATATGAGAGCCCTCGACCAACAATGGCTTACCTCTCTACCTAGGTATATAGTGTACTATTTTCTGAAAATTGTAAATTAAAATCAGGTTAGTTACTACAATATAGCATACCTTTTACTCTTAAACTTATTCTTCAACGCCTTAGTGAAATCCCTAACATCTTCGACAGAAGTGGTTGCTGCACAGTATTCATGCATCGGATGACTTAACTTGTGGCCTTTTGTGAGCTTTCCCGAGAAGAAACACGTTTGACACATGTCAAAGTTGAAGCACTTTAAACATCTATAGCGCAGCCCAATAACTGGGAATTGCTTGCAAGCGTTGCATTTTGCTTGATGGCGAGCGTTTTCTGCGGCGGCAATGCGATGAAGGACTGGTAGCCATACTAGGGACTGGAAACAATAATTAGAGATTTGATATTCGTCGTAGCATTGAGTACTATATTTATTCAGAAGATGTTCAATAGAATTGAAAGCTGTGATTGCCTGAAAATGAATATGCATACCAAGGCGCTGCCAACCACTTATGCTCACAGCCATACATTGTGTTCAATTGACAACAGTGCCTGGGCGAAAATAACCATACGTGACGACCACCGTTTTTATGTGTCAGCGTTGCCACCTCTTGGATTATTGCCGCAGGGCATGAGATTTTCGTTTTCATTTTTGATGCAAACTAAGAATACGAAGTCTTAGGCATAATTACGAGAAAGTTTGAACGGTGATTTTGGAAGAGTGTTTATGAATAGACAATTTTCTTCAAATAAAGTCTGTTCTTATCACTTCTAAGAATAAATGAGTTCCTATTTAGCAACATATGGCTGTGTCGACCGACGGATGCGATTTGTTTTGAACTAGACTTACGTAGTCAGTAGTCAGATCAGGCAAGTCGATCAGTCGCTAGTTTGACAGTCGTTGTCACTTCGCATTTTTCTTAAAACATAAAAGTAGGTGAGTTTCCTTACAGTTCTAGTGTTCCATGCATTTCGACAAAAGGGTGAATGTTTCTGTGAACGGCAAAAAGCAGTGTAAGCTGAATAAAATTAGCTTTTTTATCAGTAAATGTTCATATAGAATCGTCATTGGCGTTGTTAAAGGGCAGAGCATGGGCAGTCTGCAAAACCAAAAGGTCGCCAGTTTTGGTCTGAACAAACAAGGTTGTAATGGCTTTAAAATAAACTAATCTCAAAATACTCTTCAAGGTCTTAGGTTTTAACTTTAACTCAGATACTTGGCGACCTATTATATTTTTTACCGGGTTTTTAAGAAAGAAGGAGCTAGTCTATGATTTGTTTGTCTCCAAAACCTGTATGTAGTCATGATGAAACTTCATACTACAAGTCGATCAGGCTTAAACCTCCAGTTTGACAGTTGTTGACATTTCTCATTTAACTCGTACTTTTCTGCGAAAATATATAAAAATGGGTGGGTTGATATTCCACACAATTTTTGAATATGCTGTATGTTTCTGTGCAAAAACCTCTTTAAAAAGAATTATGGGGTTGAGTAGTAGAGTAGCCATGCGGCTAAACTTCACCTCAATTTCGGATATACTAAAAAAGATATTTATAATTATTGTCATTATTATTATTAATTTTGATTTATTCCAGTTCACTCGTTTTCTTGAGTGGTCAGTCCAAATCTAAGGTTTGTTAACAACATTGGAAAATGAAAAGTATTGGGGACAAACCAAATTTTTTGATGAAAACTGGCAAGATTCAATAGAAAATTCAACTTTGAGACATATAATTTAATTTTGAATCTAAAAGTTATTAGCGAAGTTAGTTAAAAGTACGATCTCATATGAAGGAAGCTCAAAAAACCATGAAGATCGAATTAATATACAAATATACATACAAATGCTTTTATTGGATAAATATAGTGACAATGATATAATGCAGGAATTTCCATATTATGCTAAAATAGATAATTGTTGTTGTTTGATGGAGAGAATGTTTCGTATTGTTCACCCGTCAAAATCATGAATTAAGCAAAATTGTTCATATGCTGTGCCGTTAATAAATATTTATTAACAATAACTGAGCGATTTTCATCGACACACAGATAGTATTTCTGCCCTATATGAGTATATCCCGTACAAATAACTACTTGAATATCCTTTCCAGAGAAAAATATACGCGGATGTATTGATTTGTCAGTTTGGTAGGCAAGTTAGCCAAGAGTATGCACCGAAACTACAGAATTTTGTCGATGAACATTGCCATGTAACTACACATATAGGCTTGGATCCTTCTAATCTATTCGATTTCCTTGGTGATGACGGACACTGTATGTGAATTTGTTCAATGACAATAACAGCTTACCTGAGGTTCCTGTTTCAACCAAGCAAGAAAATGAGCCGCCTCCAAATTTTCGCTTTCTCCCAAACAACTCCTGACGCTAGGCTCAATGTTACTTCCACCAAACGCAGCGACTTCTCCCAGTTGTTTAGGTATCTGTTTTGTAGAAAAACTGCTTAGGAAATAAATCAAAGGGAATACAAATACGACAACTCGATTGCTAGCAATTTTACAGCCGTAAATTATTCGAAATTGTCATTTTACCTGTAGAACATCGTGTAAGAGTAGTCCTAGCTTACGTTGATCAGCTTTTTGGTCAGGATCAGCTATGAGACGAAACAGGTAGCGATACTTTTCTTCTAAGTGCGCTTTTGATAAGATTGTCAAACCCACCTAAAAATCAAAAATTTGAAAGTTGCCTGGTAATATGACTAGAAAAGATTGTAGCTTGAATTGTTGATTTTTTGGTCACCGCGTGATATCGCTTGTTTCAGGGGGGCGCGCGGCCCAAAGCATGAAATTAATTTCAAAAAAGGTATTGAGGAAATAGTGTGTTTATATATAAAAAAGTGAGTTAATTTTCTGAGAAATTGAATAATTATTTATTGTGCTAGGCTTGTAAAAAGTACCACTGTTAATGCAGTTCATATTGAAATCCCGACTCAAATTACGCAAGGAAAAAATGAAGATGGTTAAGGGTAAACTCGTACTTTCTGTCTCTCCAAAAATACTCTGCATTGCCAAACTATCTAAGTAACACTTTATTAGTTATCTAATTGCGCAACTTTGCTTTCATAAACGACTTTGTATTGTATTGCTTACCGTTTACGAATTTGAAATCCCTAGTGCATATATGTTATATAGAGTTCTTCAAGTGAAGTTGAATTAAAATTCAACGTAGATTTCAATTAACCCTAGTAATTTCTCATGTAATACATATTGGCTCAGCTTGTGCAGAACCCTGTACATGAACAACTTTATCATAGTTAATTTTTCAAACGTTCATAAACTAAAATATGTAACTAGTGAGACAAGTGAATGTTTTCAATGAAAAGTGGGTAAAAGTAAGATGGACCGGGAAAAGTGCGTCGCCAGCATCCCTGTTGTTCGTATTTGTTGAAATAATCTACTGTAGGCAAGTTTGATGAGTGAGGAATTATACTGCAAGATACGCGTTTATTATGTTCTATTTATCAATTATTTATCTGCTATTATCTACTACCCCCCTCCTTTTTGAGTGGGCAGGTACATATGCTTGATCCGGAAGTTGTCGTACCCATTATACAACTTCTTCCTGTATAAGTGATTGTACGCGCGTTAAGGAATACCTCGACCGAGGCGGTACTACCCGCTAGCTTTTTCCAGGGTATCTTACAAACGTCCGTATGTTTCCAACACGTAAGCTATGCAGTCTTCTCTCTTCTTTTTCCCCTACCCTTCGCAAAAAATGGATCCCTCAAGTACTAAGAATTCTGGTCGTAAGATCACTCCACTCTCAGAATGTCCGGGTGGAGGGTGGACTCGAGGGAACAACATCAATGATAAAATCTCTTTCACGAACATCTGCGGGATTTACAACAACACTGATGGTTTTCGCCACTTTCGGTAGACTAATCGTCCCGCCATGCTTTTCTTGGCGGAGACAAAATTTTCCGATTATGCCCCGACTAACTGTTTTAGCTTTCCAAATTACGAGTGCACTCCAATCTGTCGAAGAACGGGGGAGTTGTGGGTTCTGTCCGCAGCAGTATTCCCCGCTCCAGAGCCGTTTATTTGGAATCAGGCCGGGAGAACATTCTATGATTACGCGTCAACCCCCAACCATCCTCAAAATTTATTTGCTGCCTTTACCGCTCTCCCCCGGACCGTAACTGGGACGACCTACTTGTACACCTCGCTGCCAAAATATACTTCCTGAACATCAATCACCCTGCTTCAGAGGTAGTTCTCATCGGTGATTTCAATGCCCATAATGAGCTCTGGTGGGCTCAAACAAGACCTATGCAGCAGATCGTGCTGTTAAAGCGTTCACCCTTACTCAAGGGCTGACCCAGCTGATGACGAGCCCTACTTTTTCTCTCGCGTCTCGTCACATGCCTGTAGCCTGCTGGACCACTTTCTAACCACGCATCCTGTCCCTTACAGCACTGCTGTCCTGTCTCCCCTGGGTAACTCAGACCATGGTGTTGTGGGGGCCAGGTTTCGGTCAAAGCCGGCTGTGGCAGCCGAAAGTCGCCCAGGCTGCAAAATTTGGCATGACAGACATACCGACTGGGAAAGGCTCAGAGACAATTTCTCCATCTTTCCCTGGAGAGATGTTCGTTTCGCTGACTCGAATGCGTCGGCTGTCTGTTCGCCGATATCCCAAATTATACACGTTGATGGGGGAATAAATCCCTGATACAGTGAAAGTACCTAAACCAGGGTCCAACGGCTGGTTAAAAAAATCGTGCGACACTGCTCGGCAGCAAAAGATCAAGACACACAGAACCTTCTTACGAAACCCCACTGCAGAGAGCAGACCAGTCGACGTCAAGTACAGAAACAAATATAACAAAGCGATCTGTAAGGCCAAATACCAGCACGATATCAAAATTATTCACAGGGTAATGTCGCAGCGCAATGGCAGTCGGTCTTTCTCGACGCTCGCAAAGCAGATTGAAAGGAACTCCTCACAGAGTAGCTGTCAACCACTTACGTGCCAGGATGGAACGATTGTAACCGACTCGAAGGCTAAGGCCGAAGTGCTTGCCAAGATCTTTGATGTCAACTCCATCATGGACACCCCCAAAGCTCGAGTGCCGTCGATTTAAAGGCTTCCCTACATTATGCGGTAAGTAACCTTTAGGCATAAGACCGTGAGACAGGTGCTCTTGTCGTTGGACCTCAACAAAACAGAAAACTGGAAATATGTCCCAAAAAAAGACCGACCCTTACAACTATCGGTCTATAGCTGTTATAACGACCTCATTTCCTGTACGATCAATCCGATCCACAGCTTCGCCGACGACAGCACTCTGCATGCAGGAGTTCAGAATGACAAGCCAATCTTTGCTGGCGAGCTGGAGAAAAGGAAATTAGCAGCGACTTCCTCTCAGACGAGAGACCTGGAGGTTATCACTGCTTGGGACATAACATAACCTCCTCACTGTACAAGACCCACCCCCAGGTACTGCTCACATGTTTGGAGTGATGTAGCTCTCTTCTACCATGTGCCTGCCAGCAAAGCCGCCTGTCGTGTTGATACGACCGCTCATTTGTCCCAGGACATAGAGATTGTAGAATAGTCTACCTGAGGAGACTTTTCCTAGTTCTAACTCGAAATTTTGACGACCGAGGAAACGTTCATAAATTTGCAGTATGATAAACCATAAAGAAGCACCTTAAAACTAAGAACCCTGATCTGCCCCGTTCTTTGACTATCGTATACGTTAAGTAACCAGTTGAGTGCCAAGTCAACGCAAAGTGGTACGTCTACTGTTGTATCTACAGCGGCTACGTTTCCGTAGATCGCCCTCAGTACTAGCACCATGTCTGCTACGTCTAGAATTTTGTCGTTTTGGGCTCGTAAACCTGAAATTAATGAAAAACTTTCATTAGAATCTATGGAATCATCAGTATCTAAAGAACTAGTCAATCTGGAATTTATGGAATCTAGGAAACCTAGAAAATGTAGACCATTTAAAGAATCTAGATAATCTAGAGCAGCGGTTCCCAAACTGGTACGTTTTCAAGTGCTCCGCGGATTTCATCTGAGAAATATCGTATTCAAGTAATACCTATAATGTTATATTTTCCTTGATGTTACATCAAGCCCCTTACTAATGCAAAGATTCGCCGCGCCGCACTTCAATGTACTGTGCGCCGGAACAGTTCGGAAACAATCGTATTTTTTCGTATTAATGCTAGGATATGACTTGTTCTTTCCGGAACATACGATTTACGTTCGCTAAATGTGTGTCGGGTGCATCGTAGTTTTTATTTATTTTTTGCGATTGTGCCTTTGAATTTCACTAATTGAATTGAAGTTGGGATAAGTTATCATTCGTAAGTAGGTTAACTAACATACATGTATCTTTTTTTATGGTGAAATATCTATTTCCAGGTTAAATTTACTTGTTTTATAATGGATCTTTGGCTTAAAACAGGTGTTTTGAAGAAAACAGCGATTTCAGCTACAGATGCAGAAATGCAGGGATCTAACTCCAAAGGTACGGATTTGTACATTTTAAGGTAGGGGAAATACGGGTAAAATGGGATACTTACGTTTGGCGTGAAATAAAAATTACTGTATAAGTGGCAACGCATATTTCGTTTTAAGCATATTTCCCCTACTACAAAAGCAGTTTTTTGTGCTTGTGTGTGAGTTTTTTGGGAACGGGTAGGTGCCAGATTTTTAAAATCTTATTTTTAAAAGTACTTGTCTGAATCGAGTATTGTTTTTAGCAATATGGGAAAAGAAAATAGGGAAATAGCTCACACTGAAGACACAGAATTGCAGATATTGAGAAAATCCGAGTCTGTTGCGAGTGTACTAACATCAGCTGAAGTAATTGATTTTTAAACATCTGGTCCATCAAAGATGAGTATTTGTGAGAGAAAAACTGCAAAACGAAAATACCATGATTCTTATCTGGATATAGGATTCATTGAAACCAACGACAATAAACCACAATGTGTAATATGCGGTAAAGTGTTACCCAACAGTGCTATGTTTCCAGCGAAAATGCGACGACATTTGGAAGGAGTTCATCCTGAATGTAAAGACAAACCGAATGATTTTTTTCAAAGAAAATCCAGTGAATTAAAAAATACACAAAAAAGTATAACTTTTCATGCACAGACACTGAACGAAAGGTCGTTAAAAGCATCCTACTTAGTTAGTTACCGAATCGCTAAAGCAGGCAAGACTCATGTTATTGCTGAAACTTTAATCAAGCCTTGCGTCAAAGATATAGTTGAAACTATGATGGATGAAAAGGATGTGAAACTAGTTACTACAGTTCCACTATCAAATAACACTATTTCTAGGCGCATTGTAGAAATGGCTGATGACGTAAAAAACACTTTAATTTCTCGAATAAAAGGTAGTTCCTTTTCGCTACAGCTTAATGAATCGACAGATGTGGCTGGATTGGCTGTATTGATAGTTTTTGTTCGCTTCCAATTTGGCAACTCTTTTCAAGAAGATTTGCTTTTTTGCAAGCCACTACCAACTAGTACTACTGGGGCTGAGATTTTCAAATTGCTTGACGAATTTTTTGTTGCACATGATATACCTTGGAAGAATTGCATTGATGTATGCACCGATGGCGCAAAGGCTATGACTGGAAAAACAAGTGGTGTTGTAGCTAGAATTAAAGAAAAAAATAGTAACTGCAATAATAGTCACTGTGTTCTTCATCGTCATGCATTAGCCGTCAAAAAAATGTCACCTTCCTCAAAAGAAGTTTTGGATGAATGTGTAAGAATAATTAATTATATCAAATCTCGCCCCCTAAATTCCAGGTTGTTTAAAATATTGTGTGATGATATGGGTAGTCTACATACGACTTTACTGCTTCATACGGAGGTAAGATGGCTCTCACGGGGCAAAACTTTAACTCGGCTATTTGAATTAAGAGCCGAAGTAAGGAGTTTTTTGATGGAAAGTGACTTCGCATTAAAAGGGAGATTTAACGAAGAGCAATGGATATCAAAGTTGGCATATCTGGCTGATATTTTTTCTAAAGCTAATGATTTAAGCACGTCACTTCAAGGAAAGTCAATTTCTGTTTTTGATGTTAACGACAGAATAAAAGCGTTTAAAAGAAAATTGGTCTTTTGGGCAGAGTCCCTGAATAAACAAAATTTGGACAGCTTTCCGTCGTTAAAAGAACTTAAAGAAGAATTTGATTTTGATCTACCAAATGATCTTATGAACGAGTTCTATATTCATCTTATAACTTTACGCAATAATTACCAGGAATATTTTCCAGAAGAATTTCATGACAAAATGAATTACAATTCTTGGGTTGCAAACCCATATAACGCAATACCTGAAAAGCCAGCGAGTTTAACATCTGAAGAATATGAATGTTTGATCGACTTGACATCTGATTCTGGAATACGAGATATATTTCTAACAAAGTCATCAATAATAGAATTTTGGTGTAAACTTAGACATGAATTTCATCTTCTGTCAGATAAAGCAAAAACTATTCTGCTCCCTTTTGCTACTACTTATTTATGTGAAGCTGGATTTTCTGCTTATCTTATGACCAAAACTAAATACCGGTCGTGTCTTAATACAGAACCTGATATTCGTTTACAGTTGTCTGAAATTGAACCTAACATCACAGCATTAAGCAAATTAAAACAAGCACATCCTTCTCATTAGAAAAGTTGGTGGTTTTATTAAGTAGTTGTAGTTTTGTTTTTGGATGTTTTATGTTTCATTTTTGTATCGAAATAAGTTTTTGTTTTATGTTATTTTCACACATTACTTTAAAATTTGCTTTTGGCTTATATTAGGTATATTTAATAAATATTACATTTTTTTCTGTGCTAAAGTTAGTTGTTCTTTTTGTTTAATAAATATTTGTTTCTTCAATGTACGTTTCTAAAATTGCACAAAGACCTATATCCAGTTGCAGGCAGTTGAAACCATCAAACAGCCTACTCTAGTGCTCCGCGTTAAATTTTCCTGTCCAAAAGTGCTCCGCGACTTAAAAAGTTTGGGAACCGCTGATCTAGAGAATTCATAAATTATATACAGTCTATGAACTCTAGAGTATTCAAAGAAACTAGAGCTCTGGGAATCATATAAAAAATAATATGGCGAGTCTAGATGATCAAGGGTATCTGGAGTATCTCAAGAATCTAGAGAATCAAGGATATCTAGAAAATCTCAAAATTCTAGATAATCTAAGAAATTTAAAGAATATAGAGATTCTAGAGAATATAGGGAATCAAGAGAGTCTAAATAATCAAGAGAATCTATGAAATTGAAAGTATGTAGAGAATTTATAGAATCTGAATGTAAAGAGTTTAGTGAACCAAGAGGATCCGGAGAATGATGAGAATGTAGAAAACCTTGAGAATCTGGAGAACCTAGACAATCTATAGAACACAGGGAATTTAAAGATATTGGAGAATCTAGAGAACCCAGAAAATCTGGAGAATAAAGAGAATTCAGAAAATCTGGAGAATCTGGGAACCTAAAAACTCCATATGATCTACAGAATCTAAACAATTCAAGGATCATTGAGAGGCTAGAGAATCAAGGGTATCTAGATAATATCAAGATTCTAGAGAACCTGGGCAATCTAAAGATATGGAGTCTACAGAGTCTAAAGTATCTAGGAGACCTAGAAAAATATATAGTCTAGGGAATCTAGAAGAATTAAAGAATATAGAGTCAAGGAAATTTAGGGAATCTGGAAAATGAATAGGATCTAGAAAATCTAGACAATTTAAAGAACATAGAGAGTCTAGAGACTCTAATGAAGCAAGAGAATCTAAATCTATGTAAACAATTTAGACAATTTAGAGGGTCTATACAATCTAGATGAAAATTTTATAGATTCCCAGACACGGTAAGCCGTCATACCTACAATGTAGTAGTAGCGGTGAAGCGAAGCCTGGCAACTACGTCACTTTTGACCCCTTTTGCCGGCCCCGTACTACCAATACTGTACTTCTGTACGAGTCATCTACTGGTAACTGATATAATAAACTAGCTCCAGCGATGAGACGTACCTATCGTTAATATTGCACCCATGTGCATGGTAAATACCCACCATGTAAGTCAAACGCCTCCGATGCCATATTAATAGTGACCATATCTAAACTCAGTTTCTTCTGTATGGCTCTAAGCTTCAACGCTGTCCGATACGCCGAAAACCGGACTTCGTTCAGTTGCAACAGGCTGGCTGCCAATTCGAGCATTTGGGGATGGTCCCAATGTGTCGTTTCCAATCTGTGGTTTATGTAGTAGGGGACTTTGTTAGGGGTGACAGCTCGCTCCCAGGGAGCCTTTACGCTGGATGGGCCTGGAGAGATTTCACCTGGAAAAAATGGCGTCAAGTAGATCGACTCTGCACTTCCCACGCAATTCTTGATAAATGGAGTTTGGATGTATAGTATCAAGTCAACTTTTGCACACTCTAGTATCTTTAGTGTACAGTAGAATGATTATCAGTGCATTGTTTGTTTAAAAAATTGACACTATGAACTTTGAATATGCAGCCTCAGAGTACCTGCGAAGGGCGAGACGCCACAATGGCTTCAAGAAAACGTGCTTTTTAGCTCTATCACATGGACATCTCATTTATGTCCATTTTCCCTTGGAATTTTACAAGTGCACGTGTGCATCGTTGGGGAGAACCAAGTTTCAAGTAGTTAGGATGTAGACACGAAACAATACGAGGTCTGTAAATTAAGTGATGAGACTGGCAACGTAGCGTTCGATCTGGCAACTCTGGAGGGCGCCGGGCTTGGAGAGGGACACATGTGATCCCAGTTTTCAGTAAGTTTGAGCTCGCAGAAAAATGACTTGGTTGACCGTAGCGATTTTTTGTAAACGTTTTTTCTATTGTGTATTCAAGCACCAGTGTGCTATTAGGTTTTGCTTCAGACTTGGCCACAGTGCACCCTTGCTAAACAGTGTTTTGTCAAGAGCCCAGGTCTTTTGATGGTTTAAGGCATTTTCAGAAGGGAGAGCGTCGATTAAAAATGAACCACGAAGCGGAAGGCCTTCATCTTCAAGAATCGATGAAAATGTCGACAGAATCCGGGATCTTGTGCGTTCAGATCGTCGGTTGACAGAATGCAGAATGATCGATGAATAGTTAAGTTTGACTCACCCCAGCGTTCATCAGATCAAGAACAACTGGGTGTTCCTTGTCACACAATGTCAATAAACGAGTCTTTGGCCCGTAAAAATATTCGTGTCTAGACTGTCACCACGTACAACAAATATACAGTGTTAAAAAAGAATTTATTGTTTTCCCAAAATGTAGTGATAGTTTTTTAATAACTTGAGTATGTTTTCCAACTTTTGATTTGTTCGGATTTATTGGTTGTAACACCGAGCTATGTGTTCCGTCGATAACAATAAACCCAATGTGTCCGGTCTTTTGGTTTTATAATTGTAACAAGTGTTCTCATCCACGCGTTTTAAAACACCATTTAGCTGCAACCTCGCCGACGACTCCTGAAGAGGACAACATAGTTTGTCGAAAGCTCGAGATTACCGTCAAAAGAGTGCAATAAGCTTTTTTGCCAATTCCCAATAAACAATTTGATTTTATTTCTTGCCCAACTGGTCGTTGGAAATGGCAATGACTACTGCTCGTATACGATGATCTCTGTGGAATACCAGATCTGGATAAACACATCTGCTCATTGACTAGCGGCCATACAATTTCATTGTCAATCAAAAACTTTTAAAGAAACAGAAAAACCCACCCTGTGTACTCGTCGTAAGCACCTCCCTCCTCTCTCTAATCGCAGCTTGCAACGCTCTGGTCCTCGCCGCACAATCTTCCAGCTGTGCAGCTGATTGTTGCGGCAACGCCGCACCAAGCGCAGCTGCATGCGCTCTAGCTTCCTCCAGTCGCCTTTGAAGCTGCGGCAGCTGTTGTTCTAATGCGCGCAGGCCTGCGAGAAGTTCCCTGGCTTCAGCTGCGCTCCGAGGGCCGCTCCACGTTAGGGTAGCACGTTCTAGGCGAGAGACAGCTGCGCAGGCTTCTTCCAGAGTTGTTGTTAGTTGGTTTAGTTTCTGTTGAAAAAGCGTGCCAATACCATGAGAAAATATAAAATTAATCAGGGTGTTTCGGGTTTGAATGGACATAGTGAAATGGTACTACAGACCGAGGCTTATTCATACATGAATGAAAAAATGCCAAAACTCTTTTTTAAGGATTTATCTAAACTCGCTAAATCTTTAACGTCACATATCTCAGGCACTATTGAACCGATTTTGATGAAAATAACAAAGTTACATAGAAGTAACGCAAGTCTGGTCAGACGGTTAAAAAATCCAGAGGCGGAATTTTTGTAACTTTTTGCTATTTCATAAAAATCAACACATCTTAAGCTGAGTATTGCAACGTCTAACTATGCTCAAAAAAGACAATGAATGGTGCTTATCAATTAGCAAAATATATTGATTGCGTCTCTTTTGTTTTTTTTTTTAATAAAAAATGTAATTATTCAAATATTGTGATACAAAATTTCATACGTTAACAACTTGATTTCATCAACATTTTACAAAATAGTGCTTAGATCCGATCTAGCGATGCTTTGAGAACTAAAAACTCTAGGTTCATACTAAGTTTTTTCATTTCCTTGTATTTTATTAAGTGCAACGCCCTGAATTTATGATTTTACAGAAAAAAAGAACAGTAAGGTTAAATGTACGGCCAAACGATAAAAGTTAGACAGACCTCTGCTCGATAAGAGAGTTGATCTTTGCTCAACTGGTGCGGTACCCAAACACTTGTAAGTAATAGAATGATTTTCTATCGTGCCATTAGAAGACCAGAGCTCTACAGCCAAATCACGCACTGCTTCGAGGAACTTTTTCAAATAATGTCTTAAGCTTATTTATTATATATTCAGACTACGTAGAAGGAGTCAGTCAAGGATTTATTTACCCTCTAATTCTCATAGTCTGTAGTGAGGATGAAAGTGCACTTGACATATCGTCGGCTTAATATGTAAAGCACACAGGTCCCATACCACTGATTTTAGAGGAGATGAGGAAAACTGTCCCATTTCTGGAGTGTTTATATTTTATTCACATACTTGAGGCATAATTCTGTTGTGAAATGCGATTTTATTAAATTTAACGGGAGTCGTGTGACTATCTTCAGTTGTTCAATAAATATGTGGAGTTATAGGGTTTTTCAATCAAACTAGTACGCATGTGTGAGGCAATTCATTATAAAATCCATGGTTGTGTTAAACTATTGTCACTTTCAAGGTCATGAGATGCTCATACTTTGACATTTCTATCGGAGTCTTACGGGTAATGGTGACCAGTCATCAGTGTGTCCCACCTTATAATATATTGTTCCGTCAGGTTCATACTTTAATTGTCTTATTGAATCAACTTTTCTGGGGGTACCAGGTCTTATTGAAGGATAGTAATATTCAAACTGTTATAATCTTTAAAAAACTAATAATTAAGGTACTCAGGCTTATATGGAGCAGGATGTCTCCAAGCAGCTCTGCAGATTAATATATAATCGGCAGCGATATTAATAGTAGAATCCTTCAGTTGCCTTTCTATTGCAGAGTGCATAGAACAACACTCCATTTGAGTATGTCCTCTCTCTAGGTACTTTTGGAGAGTAGTTACTTTTTTCAGGATTGTTAAATTTTTTCTGTTTCACCCGGTGCATCCGTCACTATATATCAAATACTACCACCAAGAATAACAGACATACATGGACTGCGTCCAGGCATACCAGTGTGATGTTTCTATAAGTCAGAGCGAGGAAGAATATTATGTGGAATTCTTGACGCCGAATACGTCGCTTACGCATTTTTTGCGAGTTATGTGGAATTCTTGGGACAGGCGCGTCACATAGTATTAACTAACAATGCCAATCTCATTTTTTTCAAAAAGTGGACTTATGTGATATGCGTATTAAGCAGATGATAAGCCAATTTTCGACAGTTCTGTCATTAAATTCGGATATATAGAGTTATTTGTTGGAAGTGCGTGTGTTTGCAGATAATTGTGGTGTTAGAGGATTTCAAGGCATGTGGTACTTCTTGCATAATTTGCAAAGAGCGGCCCAAGCCTAATTAAGGTAAATTTTTCCACCAGTTATTATGTTGACACAACTCTGTTACTTTGGTACTGGTACACAAATGAGTCAAAAATATGCACTAAAACTATGCAATTTTGGCGACAAACAGTCTAATCTATTCGAATTCGTTGATACAAGGGGAAAATATGTGGCCAGGAGGGTGACAGTTAAACTACGAGAAAAATACTTGAAACGTTTTATAATACCGGCTAAATAAGAGCAATAGTTCTTTATTAAAAATAACATTGTCTTCAGTTTCATTAGACTTAAAACAAGAGAATCGTATAGATTGAGAGCTGACAGTCCCTCTGGGTAACGATTGTGTTCGGAAGCGAGATTTTTTTTGATAGCAAGTCGCAGGCGTTGCTTTCATTTATATTTTTTATTGTAAATAAATGACAAATAGTAGAAAGTACAAAAACCAGAAGAATAGAAAACACAAATTACAAGAAAACTACCAGATAAGTGACAAAAACGAAAATGACCTCAAAAAAATTAATTTCCATTGGTTACATATTATTGTATGTGATTTATGACTTTTGTGTTCAAGAATCGTTTTTTACATCGTTGCAGTAATACACCTATGAAAATTATGAAGATATACTTACCAGGGTAAATACAGGAACCACTGGCTAAAGGGTATCCGCCGACACTATGTGAACAACTGACGAGTTCCTGGTTTCAGTAAACCAAATGGCACTAATTTCAAACTACCATTTAAATTTTACACATTAACATGCATAAATATGCAATTTTAGTTGCGCCAGGTGAGGGTGCCACAATTTTCAGAAACAACTAAAAACGTGTATTTTTATGCATTTATACAAGTACTTAGTATTTCGTTTCATAAAAATGTTATAATGTGTGTCTGCCATACAAAGAGTATTCGTATATTGTTATGTTATTGTGTGATATTTGTAGTGGAAGTCGGAAATGAGCACGCCAGGGGATTATACATTTTGTTAATTTTTGAGCAGATTTTATCTGAATCTTAAAAGTATCATATGTTTCAAATAGAGCATGATATTTTATACCAAATCGTAGATTTGCTTAAGATTTTTTTCGGTGGAAAATAGAAATTCGAAATACCGTATATTCACCCACATATTTTCTTAGATGGTAAATCTTGCTCATGAAATTGGTTCATTTTTTGTTTAACTGTAATTCCATTGGATAAATCAGTTTTTGGTAATTAGGTGCGCAAACCTTTTTTTAATTACCTAAGTGTGCATCCACTATTCTTTAAAGTCCATTTTCAAGTTCGAAAGGCACAGTGGGATGGAAGAAGTTATTATGTTTGACAATCTATCTCTACTTACTAAAGTATTCTGCTCAAATCTAGTCGCCAGCTCATCACTTTTATCCACCAACGCATTCCATTTGTCAGACAACTTCACTAGCTCTCTTCGTAAGTTCCTAGCTAATTCCCCTGAAGGGTCTCCAGATACAAACTGTCTAGCACTTCTCAAACTAAAAATAAAAATTAAAATAATGTTCAAAATATTTAGTTGATATGATATATGAGACTGATTTTACTATTACTAGGTTCTATTATTCCAAAGATGAAAAAGCTAAGTAGGTTTCGAAAATCGGTCTAGTGGTAGCGGAGCTTGGGGCAAAAACACGAAAATAATAAAATAGCGTAAACTTCGTTTTATGACATTTCAGAGGCTTCTGATCATTTTCGGTAAATTTTTTGTACGGGTTGAAACTTAGGGGTTGTAGGTTGTAAAAGTACCGTCTTTAGTATTAGTCAAAGATGTTCTATCATTAAGAAGCTTCTGATCCCGTTAACTACGGGTAAATTAAATGGTAAAAGTCCGACGGATAATGCGCTCATAATTCGAAATAAGTTGGCAATCGTTGGCGTTGCGTGCGCAGTGCGATGCTGCCTACTGTGCACTGGGTAACAAACTCCAACTGGTCTACGGTGGTGCCACTGACACAACGCGACATTCATATATTTTAGCAATATTTGGATATTAGGAGTATGTACACTTTAGCCTACTGGGATGGTTTTGTAAATGATGACAACTGTTTTTATATCTACACATATATTTCGTCTAACCTTTAATCTGTGTTACTCCGTCCAGTAATTCTCTGAATATTTCCTCAGTACTTATGACGCATTGATATACAACAGACATGGACTAACAAACCGACATAAATGAGAGGCACGGACTTGTGTGATACAGATATCTTTAAGCAACAGAAAACTTGTGAACCGAAGTTCGAATATTATCGTGAGTTTAATACTTCCATCGTTTAGGTAGTTGTAGATTTTGAAAGTTGATTTTCCGTGGTGGCGGAAGTACGGATAAAAAGATAAACATCGCAGGACACAGTATTTCAATGTTTCAGAGATTCCTGCTCATATTCAGAGATTGTTTGGAGGGGATAGAAATTGTAGGTTGGAAGCTGTATGCGGTAAATGTTTGTAAAATGTTGCGTATTTGGTGTCCGTGAAAGACCATATATTATTAAGAAACTAATGATTTCAGTGTTAAACACAATAAGTCATACATATTTTCCCTACATGTGCCATGGAAACAGAAATATCATAGTTTTGCTTTATATAGTTTGATATGCAGTGGTCGAAGACTTGAATATACAGGGTGAATTTGAAATTTTCAGATAATGATTGTAGAAGAAGGATAAACCAAAATATGTGTGTAAAAATAAAAAAAAATAAAAAAAAATGTTACCTTGTTTTATAAAGTATCCTTCCGACAAGTATTTCAGTGCGGACCTGTATTTGATCGTGCGGTCTTGGAGCACCGGCATGACCTCCCCTGTGAGGTCTTAAGTCACCTGATTCACGAGCTTTTTGTACTACATTAACAAAGGCACGAGGGGTTGGTTGCACTCGATTGGGAAACCGATCCGCATAAATTCGTGATGCCGCGGCAGCATTTTGTAAAGACTCCCCCCCCCGTAAATAAGAATCATGTCCACAAGTTCAGCATTTTCGTAAAGATGTGCCATTTTTTATTTCGTTTGAGCCACGCAACAAACACCACTATTCACTCACGCGTTACCGACTGACACATTGACTGAATACAACTGAATAAGCGTTTCAAATTCTTTCGCTTTTTTGTGTCCGATGCGATGAACCGATAAGGCGGATTATATCCGTTGTTGCCAAACACGAGCACATAATATTATTATTGAGACAGGGCGGTACTCAAACTTCTAAAGAGCTATAACTTTGTTACTTTAATTTTACCAGAAAAATGTTAAAGGAAAAAATATTTCTTTTGATCAGATCTACTCACTGTTAAAATAAATGACTCAACTTCGAAGTCACCCTGTATATAGATTAAAAAAACACTCCAAAAGGCTAAGAATTGGCATTGCCATTTTTCACCGTCGCCTTCAGCAATTACAGAGAGATTCAGTAAATTAAAACTATTTTATGTAGTCATGTGATTCATCTTACCTCTAATTTTACATAGGTAATGTAATGTATAAAATTGAGGTACCATTGTAAATAAAATACAATATTGAATCGTAAGTTCTTAATCTTCAGCTTCAGAAGCTTGTAACTGGAGAAGCACCTTCTTGAATTAGTTTCAAAAACTACTACTGGAAGTAATTTGGAAAAATTCTAAATATTTATTCAACAAAGTGCTGTGTAAGTGAAAGCTTTTTTGAATTAAGATGTTACATGGCCTGGGATATTATAACAATTATCGTTTCTTAGAAAAACATGTCGAACAAAGGATCTTTTCTCTAAAATATTATACAGATAATTTGGAGATTTATATCTTAAAACTTTATATAATAGAGCACCATAAAAAAGCAATGAACGGTAGTTATATTTTAAAATGTCTTCTCTCACATAGTAGCCAGTGATGTGTTCTTCTCTACCTATATCATAATAACAAAATCTTGCAACGAACCTGTAAAATCTGAATTTTTTGTTTTATTTCCTCTGTAAGGAAGTTGTAATAGACTGTGACACCATAATCCAAATGTGTAAGGATGAAGGAGTTTACAAGCATTAATTTAATATCACATGTCAGTATGTGTTTATATTTCCAAAGAGTTTTATATTTATAATAGCACAATTTGAGTTTATTCATAACATGACATTCAAAACTCAAAATTTGTATCTAATAGTGTTCCCAAACTTTTTGCTTCCTCTACAATTAGAATAGTAGTACCATCTAAAAGTATATTTGCATTCACTGCCTTTTTGAATTTTGGAACAACTAGTCTAGAAGCAATACAACAAGCCATAGTTTTTGTGGGGTTAAGTCTCAGACTATAATTTTTTGAATACCTTGTTATCATTTCTAAATTTGTGTTAAGCTCCGATATGAGAGTATTTGCATCTGGTTTACATGCCTTATATATGTATTTGTACATCATCCGCATATAAGTGTACATTCCAACCAGATGACTTTATTTATTATTCTCCCAGCAGCTACACACACTGATGGAGGCGCTGAACCAAGTGTTGGTAGCAGCGCTGGAAGTCCTCAACTGGTATTGCCGTCAGCATGTCCGTCACATTCTTTTTTCATGTATTCTAAAGTCCCAAAATAACGTCCTTTCAGGGCATCTTTTAGTTTCGGAACAAGCAAAATCTGGGGGGTGGGGGAACGACAGGAATGCCTTATGATGTCAAAAGTTATGTGACGGAGATGGCAATGTGACCTGGGGCGTTGTCATGATGGAGTATCCACTTGTCCGCAATTTCTGCTCTCACGCTGATTACCTTTCTTCCGAGCCTTTCAAGCGCGACCTTATAAAAAGAGTTGTTTTCAGTTTATCCTGGAGAAACAAATTCTTTGTGGATGATTCCACTCCTAACAAAAAAACAAATTCAACATTGATTTGATCTTGAATTTACTCATTCGATTGGTGTTCCACTCCTGACTTTGCATCTTGGTCTAAGGATAGTAATGAAAAATCCAGGATTCGATCTGTGATTGCGCGACTAAAGAAATCTTTGTCATTGGCGATTCTGTCCAAACCTGGACCAAAAACTGGTCACTCAACATTTTTAATGTTGGAGCGACGGGAGTGGACTGACACCGTGCCTTATCAAGGACAACAGCGCAGCGTTGCCAGTCTCATTACTTTTCTGCAACGATTCGTAAATTCAAGACATTTTAAAGTTAATTTTTACCTGGCTTCGACAAGAGGTCTTTTATCTTCAAGTTGCTGCCTAAATGCTCTGTGATCATCTTGCCTTGAAGCCAGTCCTAGCTCAGTGTCTTTCCTGATGACCCATTCTGTCAGTTCTCTGAGGGACAATAGAAGAGCGTTCCAGTAGTCTGCGTTATGCTCTAGACGGTTCCTTAATTCTGACGTTTTGGTGCGTAAAGCCTGTGAAAATTATCAGAAATAACTAATATCACTGAATAAGGCACAGTTCGTGGGGATATGACGTAGCGCGATTTCAGGTTAGGAAAAAATTAAAATTCAAACCAACAATCAATTCTCTTCTGATAATGACCCAAATTCTGTGTAATTTACCAACTAACACGTTTTTTGAGAATATAGAGTTTTTAGTGCAACAAAAATATATTATGTAGTTTTTTCTAAAATATATTAACTTAGCGCTAGCTGATGCTTTAGTTATCAATGTTTGGCTCTGATGTGATATAAAATCCGCTTCACAGATGGCATTACTGGAGGTCAAAGCTGTAAGTTGTATACTAAAGCTAGAAGGAAACGGGAATACATAGCCGCATAGTGAGAATTTGTGTGCTAATAATGTGTTGTTGATAATTAAATCGTTAAAAAATGAAAGGGCGTTTAATTTAAAAATTTTATGAAGATATACATATAATTATTTATATGCATACGTTCTGGTAGATCTTAATCAATAATATAATATAGTTACCTGCCATCGTCTTTCCATTTCATCCCCCCTCAGTTGAAGCATCAAGGCATCTTCAGGAGCCAGACTTCCTACCAGTGCCAAACTGCTCTGTCTCAGAGACTGATGTGTCACTGCTTGTCTATCTATATCTATCTGCAGCTCTTTCAGGTGCACTGTGGCTCTTCTTGTGTCTCCTACTTTGAGAAAAATGCATAAATGTTAGTTATTTAGGTCTTCATCTGAAAAAATTCCGCGAAGTAGATGTAATCTGGACTTCTTACGCAATTCTGGACAATTGAACTTTTTTATATACAGAGTGTCCCAGATTCGCTTCTCTATACGGGGACCTCGGCTCCGTTATACCTACATCAAAGGTTGAATAGCAGGAGTTTTAGAGGAAACTTAGTGCTTCCGATAGCCGGCTTCAGATTTACGATCGGTCAATTGGTTCTGAAAATATCAGCGAAAAACCGAAAAGGGCGGAATTCGTTTTTTGCCAGTAAATCCAAAACGGTTAATTTGACAGCTGTCAAAATGTGACATTATTCGGAGATTTTTTCAAGAAAAATAAGATAGCATGTATGACATGTCTCAATTGTCTTTTGTTTTCCAGCAACCTGCATGAACTTTCATTTTTCTTATGGCCGCCATATTGGATTTTTAGATTTTTGAAAAGAGTGTAAAATTTGATGTCTCACAAGTGCATAAAAGATTGGAGTTTCACCGTAATATCATCACACGTAATGTTATGTATTAGTTTTTTTTTTAAGGAGGGCATGATTTATTTGTCAGAAAATAACATTAATGAGTAAGGCATCAAAAAACACATAAACGCCTTGAATTTTCAATAGAATATTAACGTTAATATCGACTTCTCAACAAGTCAAATGTTTTGGGACAAATTTCAAACTATGAGTGTGTTAAAACAACAAGTCAGAAAAATAATAACGTCCATTTGCATCCAGACATTTTTGACAATTGGTGACGTTTTTTCGTACAACCTCAGCTAGTGTATTTCTGTTGATGTTTCTAACAAATTCATAGACCTCATTCTTTGTGTGACCCCAGAGGTAGGAACCCAAGTGTGACAGGTCAGGGGATCTAGGAGGCCAAGATATTGAACCATTTAATGAAATTATTCTTCCATCAAACTGCTCTCTTAAGAAGTTCCTGACTTGAATGGTGTTGTGAGCCGGACATCCATCCTGTTGAAATCAGGTTTTTCAAAACTCATTTTCGGTTAGACTGGTTCGTAAAGCCGGCATAACCTGGTTTCGCAGAAGGTCTAGGTCGGTTCAAGTTGTAGTCAAACAAAAATGTCCGTTTAGGTTGTAGTCAAACAAAAATGGTCCTATAAGTCGATTTCGTAAAATGATTAATATCTAATTTCAAATAGGTGCCCAATTAAAAAAGGTAATTTAGATTAAATTACCAATGACCCCACACCAAACGTCAGTTCCAAATCTGGTCTGTAGACTCTCTGCCACTTCGTGACAGTTTTCCATAGCCCAGTGATGAGTTTTGTGCTTATTAAAAACTCCACAATTCGTAAACTCATCGGACCACAAGACATGATTTACAAAATCGGGATATCCATTAGGTACTTCCTAGGATACCACGCACAGAAGCGCATGTGCCTTGGAAAATCAGTTACCTTAACACGTTCAGTGCCATTCCCGCGTTTACGCGGTCAGCCGGCCTTGTTGCCAATGCCTCGAGCGCGTTTATGCATTATAAGGTTTATATGGACTTCAGTTTAGTCGGGCGTTGGCTGTAGATCTGTGTATATGGACAGGCATCGCCAATAGAATAAACAAAAATAAAAAATAAACCAATCGCATATCTAATGACTTATAATTGCACCAAAATGGCCGTTTTCTTAAAAAAAAACAATGGTTCGGCTATCAGCCAAGTTGTTTGTAAAGTAATTGGTGGCAGCGAACGTGTTAAGTCCTTGAACTATTGTAGGTTTGTATGGATGGTACATATTATTATTTAAGACTCTCTGTACTGTGGATTGTGACACATCAATTTCTCGTTCTATGGTTCTTACTGATGCACTACGGATTTCAATTGCAAGTACAGCGCTAACATGTCAAACTTTTCTTCATTTGAGTAGGGAATAATGGCCATTTTCAACAGGATTTGACAATTTTTTTATCGGATTTTTTATTTTAATGAGAGAACACCTTATTAAAACACAATTTTAATACCTTGAATTATTCAACATCAAATTCAGAGCCTTAGATAAAAAAATGCGATACTTATTAATTTTATTTTCTGACAAATAAATCGTGACCTCCTTAGAAAAAAAATTAATACATAACAAAGTTTGGGCGATTTTTTTTTTGTTTTTGGCCTTTTTCTGGGGCGCGACTGGATTTTCAAAAACTACACAGCTTTTTGACCAATTACAATACTTCCTCGCCAGTAGACGTGGGAAGTAAAAACTAATTTGCATCACAGCATGCTACACAAACACCATATAAAATCAGATTCCTTATCCATCGTTCCTATATACCAGGAGAACCAGCGAAATGGGAAAACACGACCCCAAAGCTTGACGCATGATCGAGGGCGAGGAGCAGCTACTGCCCATGCGCAGAGTATAGGAGCTCCTTGAAAATTGTAATTAAAACCTATTACTTAATATATACTATATATATATGTATATATATATACTAAGTGACATATAAATCCGAACACCCAGTTTAAATGGTTTTATTTTAATAAAATTTTGTATAAGTACTTAATGAAGCATAATAAGTAAATGATAAAAATTTCAAAATGATTGCACTGCTTTAAAGCCCTTTGACCTTTAATAATGTGTGGATGCACCCTGATGTGCTACGCATTCTCCAACGCGCCTAGGCATGCTTCTGATCAGGTGGTCAATGTCCTCCTGTGGTATCTCATTCCAGGCAACCACCAACTCCTCTCGAAGTGCTTCTAGAGTCTGAGGAGGACGTTGCAAATTGAGCAATCTCCTACCCATCATATCCCACACGTGCTCAATTGGGGATCAGTCGGGAGATCTTGGTGGCCATGGTAACAATGTGACATCATTATGTTGAAAGAAGTCTATTGTGACTCTTGCAACATGTGGTCGGGCATTATCTTGTTGGAAAGTTGGATCTGCCAGGGTGTCAAGATAGGGTAAAAGATGGGGTTCTAGAACTTCGTGGATTTAACGCTGCGCGTTCATGCTACCTCTGATGAAGATTAAAGGTGGCCTGGAACCATAAGCTATAGCACCCCAAACCATAACTCCAACAGTGTGATGAACATGTCTTTCAACAAAAAACTGTGGATTCCTCCTTTCACCACGTCGCCTTCTAACCCTGGCACGACCATCGTGCATGCCTAAACAAAATCGAGACTCGTCACTAAAGACAATACTGTTCCATTCCTGATCCCAGAGTGACCGTTGTCTGCACCACTCAAGGCGATTACGTCGGTGTAAGGGTTAGAAGGCGACGTGGTGAAAGGAGGAATCCACAGTTTTTTGTTGAAAGACATGTTCATCACACTGTTGGAGTTATGGTTTGGGGTGCTATAGCTTATGGTTCCAGGTCACCTTTACTCTTCATCAGAGGTAACATGAACGCGCAGCGTTATATCCACGAAGTTCTACAACCCCATCTTTTACCCTATCTTGACACCCTGGCAGATCCAACTTTCCAACAAGATAATGCCCGACCACATGTTGCAAGAGTCACAATAGACTACTTTCAACATAATGATGTCACATTGTTACCATGGCCACCAAGATCTCCCGACTTATCCCCAATTGAGCACGTGTGGGATATGATGGGTAGGAGATTGCTCAATTTGCAACGTCCTCCTCAGACTCTAGAAGCACTTCGAGAGGAGTTGGTGGTTGCCTGGAATGAGATACCACAGGAGGACATTGACCACCTGATCCGAAGCATGCCTAGGCGCGTTGGAGAATGCGTAGCACATCAGGGTGCATCCACACATTATTAAAGGTCAAAGGGCTTTAAAGCAGTGCAATCATTTTGAAATTTTTATCATTTACTTATTAAGCTTCATTAAGTACTTATACAAAATTTTATTAAAATAAAACCATTTAAACTGGGTGTTCGGATTTATATGTCACTTAGTATATATAAATCCATAACGAATAAAGATACTGATCTGCAATTTTAACCATTTTATTTCATTTGTTATGCACTTTCCAATCAATATAAAAAAATCATGTCCTTGTAAACATTTTCGAAAACATAGAAAAACGCTGAAATTCCAGCAAAGCGCCATCTAGTGTCCGCAAAGATTGAGCATTCATTAGGAGCGCAGGTGAATACTCTTTCAAACGAAACCAAGATCATCAAAATCAGCACAGCCAAACAGAGGTTCTGACTTTTTCTGAAATGATATTCAACCCTTCTTCCACACTAAAGTAACCAAGATATGAGAAAATGACATAAACAGAAAAGTTCTGAAATTAAACGGTCTATATGATAAAGCTATTTAATGTGTTTGTTAATTATGAATTTTTGCAAAATAATGGTGTTTGGCTTTCTGAAATTGAAGTAACGCCACCTAGCAGCCGTTTCAGGAGGCTGAAAATATTTTACAATTTCCCTGAGTCCCATTTGTAATAAAATGTTCTAACCCATAGGTTGAGTGGTTACTGAAATACCGTCGGCGTCCTTTATTATTTGCCCACTCAGTACATAGGTAGAAATGAACGTAAGACGGAGAGTAGATAACTAATTGTATGAAAACCTAGCTTAAGGCTACCCTCTATGAAGGGATGTCTAGGTAATAAACCTTTATTAATTGATGTTGTCATGATGTCATGACATGGATTGGTATTACAAAACTTCAAATATCTGAAATAGTAATCTTCCTATAATTGGTCTTAACTCATTGAAAAAAGAACAACCTAATGATAAACTTTCATATTATTTATGGGTCGTTATAGAAAACAGCATTATTTTAGAGTAAGTAAAAGCCTCGACCATGTTGCACCTTCCTAAACTCATTTCATATTCCTCATTTCTAAACCGATGTACACATCTTGCATTTAAATTCTAATAATCTAATCGAGATAAATTGACGCTTGTTATAGTCGATGAATGGGCAAATGATCTAAATATAATCTAAAAATGACCGCGAAACTTGACGTCTGGAGTATGTACTAGTGGTGCTAAGACAGGGTTGTCATGTTGGGGAATTTTCACTTGAGGAATTTTTTGGAGATATAATGTTCCGGGGGAAATCAAACCTTTCGCAGATAGTAAGCATCCCACCGCTCTATGAACCAAATCTACCTCTTTCCAGTAATTAACTGTGATTTGGGGGATTTTTTTAAAGTAGCAATATTGAGGGATGTTTGTGCTTTGACAGACCCGCCAAATGAATGCATTCCTAATAGTCTAAGATCCAACCGTTTAAATCTTCAGATATGTTTTTTGTTTTGTAAAACTTGATTTTTATTTATATAGTGTCCATGCATCGGTGAATCATGTGATAAACTCTCATTTTCCAAGCCATTTATGACAATATTAATTTTTTACCATAGGTTTGACAATGTCAACGTATGATACATATGTTTGTAATTAGAATTAATTTTAGTATTCACCAGCGCAAAAATCCAACACGCGCGCCTCTTTAAGAAAAAACAAAGTTGATGATGACAAAAGACGAAACGTTATATTGAAAATTTTAATTACGCCATCCTGTAGAGGAGAAAAAGTGGTAATGATAATGTATTTTTTATTTTGGAATCCAAACTCAAATAAAGCCAGAGGTAAAAATAAGAACGACTTTGACAAAATTCGGTTTCTTTCGTTTATCTACGGAAATACTCGGAATGGCGAAAATTTGCAAGTGCCATTTTCTTAGTTATTGAATGCGCAACTTTGTCCCGTTTAACTGACTTTGCTTGCGATTCCGAGATCCCAATGGCAAGAGTAATTTGAAACACCCGGTATAGTTGTAAGCATAAGTGACTGGCGGCGCCACGGTACGTATGCTTGTTTTCGCGTAGGCACGGCATTCAAATGAATTGGACATCTAGTGGAATATGTATGAATCATAGAAGCAATTGGAACAATTATTTGTTTGATAATATAAATGTTAATAATCTCACCCTCTCCTTCGAGCGTTTCCAGCGCAGATTCTGCTTCGCTAAGCCATGCCAAAAACTTATCCAGTGACCTGTCTAAATTGTGAAGTGAACTTAGAGCACTATGGAGCAGTTTGCCTCGATTGATGATACAGGCGTCCAGCCTTTGGTAAAGTTGGTTAATATACTCTGCAGCCTGAAAATTATCATAATAGTTCGCTTGAATTAAACGAAAAATTATCCAAAGTTCAAAAATCAATGACATCTTTTCACTAGGGTATTTTTAAAAGCTGACATAATCTTTTGGCATACAGATTGCAGATACATTACCAGTTTTCTCGTTCTTTAGGTAAAAGTGATACGATTTCAAATCGCTTAGCGATTGGTGAAATCGTTAAACGTTTGGTTTAGTTATCCGCGTTGTTGTTTGAACGCTTGAAGTTCAATTCGCCAGGCATATCTTGGCAATGGTGTTTGTTCCAATGTTACCAGACGGTATTTTTGAAATCAGTGATAAAAGTCGTTTTACGAGAATTATCACGAGTTACAAGTTTTTTTTTTTTGAAATTCTGCAATATTGGGGGATTTTCCTCCAAATTTGGGGGATTCTTACTTCACTTGGGAAAGTTTTGGCGGATATAATATTCTGGGGGATTTTTCAGAGGGAATATAAAACCTTTGGGTTTTTAGGGGTACTTTATTCTATTGTTAACCACTCAAAACTGTACACTCCTGAATAAAAATCTTTTCTTTCCATATCTTTTTCTTGCCGCATTGTTTGCTTTACCTTTTTCTTCACTAATGATAGTATGTATCAAAAATGATTTCTATATTCACTTTACATGGCAGTACACAATACAATTTCATAAAAACATCCAATTTTAGTGAATAAAACCCTTTTAAAGGACACGAAAACCGGCTCAGAACAATATTTGAAACTTGAAATTTTGGTACATTGAGGTGGTTTGAAATGATGATTTCAAATCTAGCCATAAAAAAATCCTGAGGTGTTGCAAAGCACTGTTTCGAGCAGGAAAATAGGCTTTTTGAAATCCAATTTGTGATCTATACACCCCACTAACTAACTCAAGAAATGTAGTTATCTTCTAGATTACAGTTACTTACCTTCTTATACCGACTAGTGTCTTCATGTTGATGTGCTGTAACCAGCCTTTGTGTCAGCTGCTGGAACTCTTCAATTCTGGGCTTGAATTGATGCAGTTCAGCATGCAAACCTTTCTGTTCTCTCAACTGTACCTCCAGGACGTCGGCAGTATGGCCCACTGGCGCCATTCCCGCCAGGCGTGATTCCATACGTTGTAGCCATACCTAGAGAGTTATGAGAATTTGAAAAAAATATTCTTCTCCAGAATATCATTTTTTTGTTTCTTCAAACACTCTTTATTCTTATTTTCAGTAAAAATAAATAAAAAATGGTCTCAAGTAGATTGACTCTGCACTTATAAAACATTGTTTGTACAAGCTAGCTCCTCTTGGCAATAGTTAAGTATGAACATGTATAACAAAAGAAATAAATTCATCAAGTCAGTTAAATATTCCCATACAACAATTAGTTCCCAGTCTTTACCCAGTTTACAAAGCTGCAATCAAAAAAAAACTCTGATCTCTGTAGGTGAGAAGAATGACCATGGTTAGGAACAAACTAGAAAAATTATCGATACTGTCCATTCATTTTATGTTCAGGTATGTTTTATGCTAAGAAGATCAATGAACTCAAATGGTATGCCCATATCAAGTAGGTTGTTTCACTGACAGTGATAAGCACAGGAATAATCATACATATGAGGGAGATCGATTTGAAAAAGTGGTACTAGTAATTTTAGTGTGTGCTGCTAAAAACTGTGACTATACATATACTAAAGTCAAAAAAATTGACATATATATTGTTCTCACCCCCTGCAAACTGCAAGTGCAACTCAAATATCAGACAATGGAATTTGGAGACTAGAGCGATTTTCAAAACCTACAAAGCTTTTTTGACCTTTTGTCAAAATTTCATCAAAATCTGAGTAGTACTTTCCAAGACCAAAGGTGGCAAGGATTGGATGAACAAATCAACAAACAGCCAGACCTATGGAAATGAGTGACATGGTTTTTTGCGATGAATATGTCATCTTACATCCAAAACACATATCCCAGTTTAGAGATTTTTTGCTTGAAATACTTCCTTGCCTTATTGGAGTGGGAAGCAAAAGAAAGACCTGCACAAGAAGGTGACCAAGAATGTTAAAAAGCCTGCACCAAAGACTCACCTATGGATATTCAAAACAAAAGAGCATAATAAATATGCCAATGATAATGATTACTATTGAAATAAAAGACTGGATCAGAAAGTTGTATATGAATGTTTTGAGGTCAAAAATCTCTAAATGCCCCTTTTGTTATTACCTTATTTATGAATTAAGTGCCTAAACCACAAAGTTGATCATGAAACAAAAAAGAGGTGTTTAAATTTAATAATGTCCATAATTTCCACTGATAAGATACCAGCCTATTTAGACCAAAGAGATTGCTGTGGATATCCAAAAAACAAATTCCTCAAACTGTCACACTCACCTCTAAATCTAACTTCTTCTGGTCAAAGTTCTCTTCACGCTTATGCATAGTGTGCCGGTGTCACATGCCTTGATAGACAGGAAGGGCGAGTACCTTTCGGGACTCAATCAGGGAATTCGGTCAGGATCAATGTTAGAATATCGGGTCGGTCGGTCGATGACCGCGCACCGCCCTGTTACTTGAGTGTACTCACAAACCTACCACTTAAAAGGAAAACATTGACGTTTAGTGGAGGTTGCAATACAGCTGCACACGGCTAGAAAATTTAGTATGAGCTTATTATTCCTAATATTTGTTTTTCGGATGGTTTTATAATTAAAATAACCTCAATTCGCAGCTGGCTGGGCTTGTTGACAAATAAAGCGACGTTGCCGCATCAAGCAAATAAATATAGTTGCTGCCTTTTTTGTTAAAGAAGTGGCATTGCCACAGGTCTCACTAGAGATCGCCGGACCGTGAACATCAAAGGCGTAGAAAGGAGAGTGGCAGCATCATTTCTTCTAGCATTTTTTGATGACAAAGGGTCTATTGAATGAAAAAAAAGAATTGCATTGTAAGTAAAATCTTATGATGATAAGTTGATACTTCTAAGAATAAGGTATTTCTCATTTTCATTTGAATAAAAATAAGTTTATTCTTAGTAAAAGTTAATACTGGAAAAATCTCCGACATTTAAGGTTTTTGTTATTCGTTATCATAATTATACGTAGGTATTTACTTGCATATCGCTGTTAACGGTTGCGCTTGCAAGACAAGTCTGTATCTTTTTGATACGGTGTGTACAATGTTGTTTGTGGATCAAGATTTAGATGTATTGCTACAATCATGTCGTCGAGCGAGGAAGAATTACCTGTCCAGATTGGCTATCAGAGACTTATATTCGCCAGGTTATTGAAAAATCATACAGTTCTTTTGAATAAATCAATGATTCCGTCGATTGGTCAAACTAAAGGAAATGTATGGACGAATATCAAAGTCGAATATTTGTCAAGACTTCTGGTACAAGTATTACCATTAAGAAATTAAAAAAATCCTCAATAAGATGATACAAATACGACTGGTAACAAAAAAATTAAACTACGTTAGCGAGAAAATGAATTGTTTTAAAAACTGAATTATAAAAAAAATCCAGTGTTCGTAAAAGTTCCTGGGGGTTGTTCCATTGGAAGTAAAAACGGAAAAACAGATACTCCCGAAAATAATGGATCAACCAGTATGAGTATGCGCTGCTTCTCTGATAAAAGTATGCGGTGGATATAGTTCTTACTGATTTTAAGGAGTTCTTCTCTTTATTCGACTAAAAAGAAGGAAGTGGAAAAAATAAGTGAAGTAAAACAGGTTTCAAGTGATTACTTGAAACTGAATGGGTTTACTAATACTATGAGTAGACTCTTCTTTATGAAGACTGACTTTTTATTCAATGCTTATCAAGTAAATACTCAAACAACAGGAAGTATAAGCAAAAACTCTATTTAATCCAATAGACAGGTAGACAGCTGACTAGGAATCATATTTGTGCTGTTGCCAATAATAAATCTGGTAAACCAATAAAAACATTTTATAATTCCATTATATATGTAGGTACTTTCACTGACTGAAAACGCTGCCAATAAAATATATGAAATCAAATAATAACGCTTGAAACATCGGGCTTAACATTGAGTTTTGGGCTACCTATGGCTAGCAGGACTGGGAAAAGCTCAGGCAGACCGTTCTACAATTTCCACATCCCAGCAACCAAAAGTACGGAGTTCGTTCGTCAGAGTTAGGGTTTGAGGCAGAAGTCTGGTGGGACCGTCTGACAGGCTTTACACAAGGCGGCATCGTAGAGAACTCTGAGGAACAAACTCCGTTGACATATCTATGCTGAGTACGCCACTGATTGCGGCATTGCCAAGCTTCCCGCTGTCTAAGCTCTTTATCGACTGCTTCAATAGTAATGGCAACATTGTAGGTTGTATCACGCCTAGAGATGGGGATCTAGGATAATTGTACTGGATGAATCGTAATTGTACTACATCGCTATTCCATTTACAGATAACGGCTTAAACTATGGCCCTTGGTCAAATCTCCAATCGTTAAAAAGCAGTAGAAAGTGAAAAAATTAAATCTCCAACAAGTGTGATTCCTCTACCAAAGCTGCGTAATTGCGTTCGACAGCTCATTCGCTAATTGATGTGAGAGAGGCTTGCAGATCGCAGACCGTCCGTCAAAACAGTTTCATCAACCATGAATATCCGCATAAACAATGGAATAATTCTTCGGGACTTCGAGTCTATTCCAAAGCATAGTACCTACTTCTCTGTGCCAAGCTTTGATTAGGTGCTAAGAAGAAAAAGACCTTTCAGCATAATATATTACACGTGGCTGGCAGAAAAAAGCAAAAATTTAAAAATACGCAGAATTTCGTTCGTATTTTTTGGTTTCCACTGATCGTTTCTGGGGTAATTTTACAGTAAATGGTTTGAAATGGCTTATATGTTTTCGTCAAATAAAAATGCAATGAAATACTTCTTTCATTGAAATGGAAGCATAACATCAACCCAACTCATTTAAGCTGAAAAGTAAATCTACATAATAGATAGATCGCAAGTAAACAAACGATTCGCGTGATGTTCGCCCTAACGCCGGCGCCTCGTCGTACAACAGGTGGACAAAGCAGCCCTCATTGGTCAATTCACAATCAATCACCCATGCCGCGTTGCCGTGTAGTAGTAGTTGAAGCACAGCAGAGTCTTGTTGTGGGGTCTATCTGTTCTGTGGATCTAGTAGAGTAATAATAGAGTAATTCCACACATTTTAGCCTAAAACAAAACTAGTATAATTTAGTGCATTCCTATCTCAATTCTAGTACATTCTGTCAACCTGTAATCGCCCAACTCTATTCATACCGCTCAACATTCCACCGCAACTCGTTTTACGTCGCTAGTAGCGCCGTGTCGCGATTCGCGATTGTCATTAGATTTTCCATCCGTCGCCCCCTCGATTTTCCACACGAAAAACTCAAACCACCCCTCACTTTCTAGAAATCCATCCGATGTGAAGTGCTTAGGTGCGTGTCGCGTGAATTCTGATGTTGCCATGGACAGGTAAATCGCGTAGGCCATGGGAGATCAAGATCGTGGAGCTCCCGAACGAGAATTGGAGCGACAGATCCTCCAGATCAAGAAACAGCACCAGATTCAACATCAAATCCTGCTCCAACAGTTTCAGCAACAACAACAGCACCTCGTGGAACAACACGAGCAACAACTTAGACAACACCTGAAGGAATTCTGGGACAGACAGAAACAACTGCAAGAGTTGAGACAACGTGAGCAGTTAGAAGCTTTAAGGAAAAAAGAGAAACATGAGGAAAGCGCTGTGGCCTCCACGGAGGTCAAGCAGAAGCTGCAAAGCTTCCTCAGGCAGCGGGCCTCAGGGGGGAAGGCCTCCAGACCAGAAAATTCTTGTTGGTGAGTTCAAAGAACAGTAGTCTGTTAAACAAGTGTGAATCGGTCGTCAGCTGATCGTACTTAGATCGCAGTTGGCCACAAGGCAGGCGTACCAATCGTGTCTCTTGTTTGTAAACAAGTGCATATCGCATAATAACGTAACCTCTAAATTTGTAGAATTCGATATTTATTTTTATTTGGGTGATGCTATGAAAAGTCCAATTACTATACTGTTTTCTTTCCTACATGATCTAAAACTTTAAATACATGGTCATTCCAAAAATAATTTCCTGTTAAAAATGTCGTGAAATGATATGGTGTAAATTTCTACGCTTCTGACGGTATTTATTTGTAAAAATACACAAATATTCTTAAAAATAATGTGGAAAATAACATTAAGGTATACCTACATTATATTTCCAATGCCCAAGTAGAATAGATTTGAGTTTTTTAAATGGTTTATACCTCAAATATTCAAACTAGTTTTTCTCCAATATGCTCTACATTATTTGACAAGAAATGCAGTTTAGATAATGTTAAATACTCTATTAAACAATATATGTTTCAAAAAATTATTGGCATAGAAATGTTTCCTTGTGTAGGAATCAGAAATATTTGGTTTATAGTGTTTCTACTATACTTATGTACAAAATATTTGTTGATACATTTATCCACTTTACTATTTCTCAAGTATATTTTCTGCCCTAAAAATGATCTAATGATTTTTAATCCATTCTGTGAATATTAAAAGCTCATTCATGTTGCTTCCCAGTAAAATTTAGATACAAATATGAATGATTTTATTTGTATTTTCTGATGATTATTTACATAAATATAATACCATAGGAGAGTCAATTTTTTAATTACAAACTTTACTTGACCTGTTTGTTAGTAGGTATATATGTGTGGGACAAATTGTGGAGGCTATTGAACCAGGTGCCCTTAACCAATTGAGCTGACATTTTATACACACTTTTGGTTTTCGAGACAATTTAAGATGAGTAAACTGCTGCCATTTTGTATTCAATATGGCAGATGCTACAAGATGGCAATTATGTATGATATGGGTATCAAATGAAAGGGCTTGATGAGAGAAATGCAAAAAGCACTTCATTCTAAATACAATATGGCAACAGCCTCAAGATGTCATTTATAATTACCATAGCCATCCATATGATATAGCTACCAAATTAACACATTCGATGCCCATGACAACATTGTGTCATCATGCAGTTTTCTATAGCAGTGCCTATGACGACAGTGTGTTGTCTTTGACGCAAGCCCATGCTGTGGAACGGGCCGACCTGAATATTATTTTTATTTTTGTATTCTATACCAATGTACAGTAATGGACAAAAGTATAGACAAATTAATATTGTGCTGTATTTCTTTTTTAACTTGTTTTATTAATAGACCAACCTGTATACATAATTCGTTATAGCATAATACTCACTTATACATAAATAAATTCATTAGTCTCCCTTCAATAAAAAATTAATTGAAAAAAACTGGAACTATGAAGGACAAAAATATATAGACAAAGCAAAACAATTATAGAAAAAAGAAGCAAAGTTCATTGAATTATAGAAAACCAACCATGTTTGTGTTAGTATTTTGTAGCATAACCATTATTATCAATCACCGCCTGGCATCGTCTCTCAAAGATTGTTGAAGTTTCTTGATATAAGATTCATCATCCTGCCTCCACTTTTGCTCTAAAGCGGCAAAAAGTTCATCCTTGTTTGAATAATTTTTATCTCGTATTTGCTTATCTAAGTATTCCCATAGATTTTCAATGGGATTTATATTGGGAGACTGTGAAGGCCATTTGAGAACTGGTATTTTTTCACCCAGAAAGAATTTCTTTGCGAGGGTGTGGTTCGGGTCATTATCTTGCTGGAAGATTGATCTTAAGGGCATATTGTCTTCCATATAGGGTAACACGACATGCTTTAGTATGTATGTGTATACAAACTTATCCATAATGCCATCTATTCTATGTAAAGGTTCCATCCCAAATCCCGAAAAGCACACCACCAAACCATAACAGACCCGCCTCCATGTTTGACAGTGGGCAAAGTGTACTTGTGGTTCAATCTACTAGGACGTCTAACGTAATGAACACCATCTGATCCAAACATATTAAACTTGGATTCTTCACTGAAACATACCCTCTTCCAGTCACAGATGCTCCAATCAAGATGCAACCGCGCAAATTTTAATCGATCCTTACGGTTTTTCCTCGAGATTAGCGGCTTCTTTCTCGGGCGACGTGCAAATAACTTCAAATCATTTAATCTTCTACTTATAGTCTTCGTAGGTATTCTAGACATTACCTAGCTATTGTATAGAATACCGGATTATACTGATTGCCGGTAACATATCCGTAAATGAAAATGGTAACAACCGACAACCAAGTCGAGGCGAATCTGCTTCATCGTTTTCGCTAAACCTAGACACTATAGGGCGCATTATTTGCATGGGGCTAATTTGATATTCACTGAATCACTATGACATATCACTGTTGGTAAACAAATAAATGAAATTATTTCACAGTTTTTAGTCATAAAATATTTATTTTTAAGATTTTTAACTGTTACCAATGGTAACAATGGTTACATGGACGCTTCGCCACTGTGTAGGACCTTTCTTTATTCTTGGAAACTTGACGGGCGAGACGTACTTGGACGTTAGAAAATACAGTAGAGCCACGAATTAGCGAAATAATTGAAAATGACGTTATTACATTCATTTCTAACAGGATGGTGCACCGCCGCACTATGTGGCCTCAGTACGACAGATTTTGGACACCCATTTCCCGAATCGGTGGATCGACAGACGAGGCCCCCATCGAATGGCCGCCGAGATCTCCGGACCTAAGTCCTTTAGATTACTTTCTTTGGGGGCATTTGAAAAGTCAAGCTTTTAGTACAAAGCCAGATTCCATTCAAGATCTTCGTCAGTGGATTACGGCTGAATGTAGACAAATTACTCAAGACATGCTTGTAACTGTCAGGAATAGATTCGAACAAAATGTTTGTTATTGCATTGGGGTAAATGGACACTACTTTCAGCACTTATTACCACATTGACCTACCTGTTTGTAGCAAATTATTTTTACTTTAATGTACGTGTTAACTGTAAGTTGTTTTTTTTTTAATACTTGGAGACTTGTTTTTAAATTTAAAGTCTTGTTACTGTGGGAACCCTAATATTGATTATTATTTTTACGATAAAATCTCCTATTATCACAATTTTTAAAATTTTATCATACACTCAATTAGCTTCACAACGATTGAAGATAGGTATAAAATGTATTATTCAAAATTTACTAAACACTCCATGGAAAATCTGAAAATTAGAAAAATGTGGGCTTCCATTTAAAAATCTAAAGTGTAACGCAATATCTCTTTTTTGGGTCACCCTGTATTGTACGGCTATAGATGAAAAGACGCCCCCTAGAAATCAAAATTTAAGTGTCGGGCGTTTTTCTCAAGTAGAGTCACAAACAGGGGTGCGACCTTTTCCTTGGGTCACCCTGAATAAATTACCTAATAAAAACAGTAGAAGTACCAAAGCCCTTGCTTGGGGTATCATTGTATTAATTGGTACTTGTTTCTGAGAAGGTGTAATCATTTTTTTACTAGAAAAACGATAGCAGAAAATACGGGAGAAATAAAAATTTGCTGATCGGAAATCAACCATAAAAATTACTCGTGCCCACTTGTGGCAAAGTCAAGTATTTGTTATATGTTACTATCGGATTTTTTTTCTGTCAAGTATTTTTTTATAACCCATTCCAACGAATAAAGGAACTAGAGTGTTCTGAGCTTGCTGGTTTTGAAGCAACATACAGTTCCATCTACAAGATAGTTTGGGATGCAGTCGTAATAACATATCTTACTTTACTCAAACATTGATTATGATAGACAATATTCATGTATCAATTTCATCACCCCGAATTTCAGCTTTCCAATTTGGCACGTTCAAAAAATTAGTAGGCCATTTTGAAAAGCATTGTATTTGCCCTATTTGTTTTAACCTCTATCGCTTATAGTAGGTATGTAAGTTCTGATGACATCACATACTTAAGTGAAAAATCTAAGGATAGGACATCGAATTTAAAAGCGATTTAAGGAATAATAACTAACTGCGTACCGATAAACCGCGTGTATCCATACACGATAACAGTTTATAAATATCACGAAAATAGCACCAGTCTATTTTTAAATTTCTGCTGCTACGTAAGAAACGTAGTCGACGGTTCTGCTGTAATCAATCGTCAAACTATAAGTTTACCTTGAATATATTTTAATAGCGTTCAACTCGCGTTTATTGTTGTAAAATATTAATACTGCGATTAGGTTAGGTGTTGTTTTGGAAAAACGAATTCATTCTTTGTTGTTTGTCCAGCTTATGGGTGAATCAGTTCAAGTTTTCGTGAACCAAACGATCACAGACAAATAAATGGTGTTGTATGTATAGTACGGGAAATGATGTGATGATACGTCGAATGCGTCATATAGGCCAAGGGAAATATACATGGTGTTTCAGTTTATTGTTGCATAACTTTAAGATTCGATAGAACTTTTAAAATTAATGCATAAAGTCTATATAAACATGGGTCGAAAAATGCGTGGCTTCCGAAATACAGGGTGTTTAAATTTACTTTCTAAAATAGTTTTTTTTTTAAATATTTCGAACAATGTTTGATGTATAACAGTGAAAATTGGTATACAAGGGTTTTTTGGTACGACAAAACGAACCATGGGCATAGTTTTACTGTAGCCGCTAGAGGGCGCTCTTTACTGTACCTGTAGTGTATTAAAATGACGAAAATTTTTTCTTGCTATTTGAATAAAAAACTGATTCTTCGCACTTTTCAACATAAAAAAGCTCTCTTGTGAATTTTCGTTATAGTTGGCCGTTTTTGAGATATTTCGATTTTTAAGGTTCCATGCATTTTTAATTATTCATGATAAAATAATGTTAAAAAGTCAGTATCTAGATAATTTTTAGAA